GGTACGTAGTAGTGAGCTTGCTAGGCTGACACAAAGAAAGCAAGGGCGCGACACGTGAGTACATCTCCTTATACGCTCTGCTCGTCGTTCATAGTGAGACGGCACTCACCATTGTTGCCAGGGCAGTTTGTGATAGGTTTCAGATGGGGAGTACTGTTGCTGTGGGGTAGGAGGACAGTGTAGAGAGACACAGGTGAAGTCCGTGCCTTTTAATGGACACCGGCACGACGCGGCACAACTGTCCGGCTTTTGGTTGCTCGCGTGGTGTTATCCGGCGCCATCAGTTTAGCCATCGCACCGTGTTAGGCATGTGACTTTGTTGATTTGAACCTAATTTTCTTCGTTGATCAGGTCACGCCTCGCTGGATGGTCCGTGCGCACACTCGATTTCGTCGGCTTCGACGTGGCCCCTTGAGCCACTCGGTTTGGGGCGGCTTCGTTGTCGGCGCCACATCACTGGCTTCAGCTTTGTCTTGCCACTTTCCACGCAATGATGCATTCGGCGCTCTTCCTCGAACGCGGCAGACATACTCTGCACTAGGCCGACAAAGCAGTATAGTCCGTAAACAGCATTTACTCCGAGAAATCACATATTCGAAAAGCCTTTGCGGCGCGGAAATTTCTACTGCTATCACTTCCGTTTGACATGTGCTTTTCGACGTCCCGCTCACTCCATGGCAGATGCCCTTGAATACTCCATTGTCCCACAGCGCCGAGAGCCAGCATATCTGACCATCGGGCAAGATAGGGCGCTAAGTTCCCTTCGCGGCTGGATCCAATGGGTGAAGAGTCAAGCCAGCTTTGTGCGTTCAGATGGTGTCGCGTGCTCGATTGTCATCGATCGTCATCACCTCACCATCCACAACGGCTGGGACAATGTGCTTTAAGGCACTGCTGAAAGATTGTCTTTTCACGCCTCGTTTGCGCCTTGAAACCACATTCTTTTCGGTGTCGGACGAGCCACGGAAAAGCTGTCTTTTTGTAGTGCCTTTTGTCTTCTTTTTTCGGGCTCGAGAAGACGGACAAAGGTGAAAAAAAGGGCTTCTCGACGGAGAAGGTCGCCTTTCACCTTTTACCCTTTGCTCAGCGCCGAAAAGGCAAAGGGAAAGGTAACAGAGAAGTCAGACTTATTATTGTCCGTTTCCGCACAGAAACGATGAGCCTTTTTGCCCAGCGGGGGCGAACAATGATGTTACTATCAGGAAGCAAATCGTCAGGATGGGTATGTCGACCTCCTTGAAATACTGGAGCTGTACGAAACAGGATTATCGCACCAAGTCTGCTTCGTATTACGAAAATCATTCCTTTTGACTCAGAGCCCGGACCTCAGGATGGGTCGAGTCATCTTAAATAGTGATAGTATATTGTATTTAGTGGGGGGACACAAGGCAGCCAAACGTACAGAAATCGGGACGGGTCGCAAAAGCTCTGAGTTCCGAGTTCCGGACACCGTTCATTCTGATTCCGCTTCGTGTGTTCGAACGTTCTTGATGGGTGACATGATGAACCTAGTCATTGGCGTACAGGCGAAACGGGCTCGTGGCTCGATCGAGATGACACCGACTGATTAGTCACTGAGAGAAGCCTGACTACCGTACCGGGCTCACGCCGTTTCCGCTTGGCCAGTAAGTACTGTCGCTATTCGTATCCAGCTGTACCGAGAGCAACGGCAAACGATTATGGACAGAGAGCATGACAACGAATTGAAATATTGAGGAAGTCCCCGCGTCGTCATCGACGCATACAGGACCAATACAGAACGATCCAAAGTGCCGATACATCGTCAACTCATCTTGAACTACCATCATTCTGCAACTCTGACCGATTTCGCCGCTTCGAACGCATCCCTCTCGTGCTCCAATATCGTCACAACCTGAGGGAACCTCGGCGTCACCTTGATATCGAACGCGGTCGGACGCCTATACCAAACAAATGATGTTAGTAAAAGGGACACTACAAAGAAGAAGGGATTATGCACGCACACAACAACCCCGGTATCGATAAATCCGTCCACATCCATAGGCACAGGTACTCCATCAGCATCCTTCGGTCTCTCAATATTCATTGCCCAGAGGATCATCGCCATCTCGATAAACAGTGAATTCTGCAACGCATCACGCCGAAACGGATCAGCCCGCCGCTCGAGATGGTCAAAACCACGGGTGTTATACGTACATTTGCGACGTGTTTCCCTACGCAAACCCTCCTCCCAAACCCATACGTGAAGTGGCCCTCCTCCTTCGCCTCCTGCGGACCTACTCTCTTCTCGTGATCGTCTAGATGTCTCTCCGGCTTGAATTCCATAGCATCCGGACCCCAGACGCCTGGGTCTCTGTTGAGAAGCCATACATTGGCGATGATCAAGGAGTTCGCGGGAATGAAGTGGCCTTCGTAGTAGTCATCTGCTCTGGAAGCATGGGGGACGCCGAGTGGAACTACTGGCCTCCATCGAAGTGCCTACATAGCATATCGCCTCGATATAAGCAGAATACTCGATCGTAGAGTTCAAGATGAGAAGAAAGGACAACGCACCTCCTTAGCCATAGCCCTGATATACGGTAAATGCTCGTAGTCCGTGAACGTAGGAACACGAGCTCTTCCCACTACAGCATCCAACTCTGCTTGGGCGCGAACTTGGGCATCAGGATGGAGAACCATGGCTTGCATCCACCATGCCATGATGCTAGTGGTTGTTTCTGCGCCTGCGGCACTAATGTGGAGCACGCACATACGCGAGGGGAGAATGTGCCCAAAATAGTCAATACAGTGCTAAATGGAGGGAGAAATGGGATAGTGCTCACTACATCGCCACAGCGATCCAGGAACTCTCGCCTAAAGACAGGTTATACCGGCCTGGGTCCTTGGAGATGCGACCCAAGAGGCTGGAAGGTTCCTCACCCCTTGCCTGTGAAAGGAGAAAACTCGCATCGAGTGAATGCATAAGCTCATGAACCATTATAAACAGAGTTATGTTGAACATAAAGTAGACTTACGAGGCCGGCATATACAGGAGCCGTCATTCTTTCGAATGTGACTGAGTCAGTCTTGAACGAATTGAGCGCCGCTCGCTTCCATTCTGCAAATCTGAACCAGGTTAACAAGAGCGTACATCCTCAGTAGCGTTTCTTCCTTCAGCACTTCGGGTGAAGGTTGATTGCTATAGAATGCATGATGATAATAACTCACCTAGCAGGTATATACTTCATCCAAGGGAAGAATTCAACCAAATGTGATCCAGGCAACAATGCAATGGTCAACCTCTTCGTGAAATCGTTGATCGCAGCAATTCTGCTATCAAAGGTCTCCACGGTCACTGGCGTGCCATCCATATTTGACGTGTCAATGTCCGATGTGTCTGGATTGGAACCAAAGAGGAGATTGATGATGAAGGCTCCATTGGCGCGCTGTATATTTAGAAGCCACTGCGATGGAGAACGGAGAAGGTCCAGAGCAAGAGAGACGGATTCTGCCATTTGGCTGGGTTGGTAGGCAGTGGAGGATGATTTCGAAAGTTCCTCGTGAGTAGCGTGACGCATGCGTCTCCATCTACAGAAAATACACATCGGTGGTCATTATACTAGCATGAATGACATGGGAAAATTTTAAGCTAACACGTCACTGGGAGACTTAAGGGGCATGAAAAGTCCCCCGGTCAGCATCTCAGATCCGACGATATTGCGTGGGCGATTAGAGGTGTTCCCTGCCCGCTTATCGAGAAGGCCTGCCGCTGCTTTGGGAGAGTTGAGGATAACGACGGGCTGGCCTGCCGCGTTGAGGTATATGATATCACCTAGTAAGGTGTCGACGATGGCTAGTCAATACGTTGTATTATGCGGTGACCATAAATTTGAAGAAACACACCATACGTCTCCCGCCACTCAGTCAACTTGAGCCAAAGCTGCGGCCCGCCCAAATCGAGAGCATTTCCAATGAGTGGCCATCCTCTGGGTCCAGGAGGAACCTTCCGCAACGGGCTGCGATAATGATGGACGAGAGAGTAGACCGAAAAGCTGACGAGGAGAGTGAGAAGGAGGGCAGGATTCTGTCGAGCAAAGTCGACGAAGATCATCGTAGAACCGTACATTCGAAGTCTGAGGAAGTTGGGCGGCGTCACTTGGAGAAAGGTACAGAAATACTGAGTTGAAGTCCAATATTCCTCTCTTAAGTATGAGCCTCACCCTCCATAATTACAGCTCAGCAGGCCGATAGGTGCTGATGTCTGCTTGCAAACATGCTAGCCATTTGAATGGTGTATAGCATATACATATATGGAGATTGTAGCAATACACCGGGGTGCTCGGATCACGAAGCTGAGCAAAATGGTAGAAGACTTCCAAAAATGCACCGAGGCGGTATTACTCCCAACTCCCTCTCCAATACAAGGGGACATTCGGAACCTTAAGTAGCTCGAATGAGCTTGCGGGTCGAACGTCGACTACTGTAACTCAGATACCAAAATGCTTTATACAGAGAACTTTGTCACCTTCTTGCATGTTGGCCAAGATGAAAGGCAAAGAGGACCTAGAATGGAGGAAAGAACCAGGAATCCATGCGGTCGCAGGCAGCTATGAGGGAGCGTGTGCTGATGCACGTTGGTATACACCGCGCACCGGAGTAAATGCTAGTACTCAGGCTGCCAGTGGAGATATCGGAACCTTCAAGACTCACATCATGCTTGGGACGAGAATGTCAGCGACAGAATCGTTCTTAATTATAGGATTCAAGATCTGTCAGCTCCTCGTCAGTGTCACAGGGAAACTTGAATAAAGGCGCTGCCGACAACATCGGGATGAACCGCCGTTCTGAGTCCCAGTTTGACATGTGTTTCTCACGCTTGAAGGTGGGCGCCTGTGTTCACGCGCTCACGTTCGCCAACTCCAAATCAGAATCCCAACTTCCAAGGTCTTAGCAGGCCTTTCCTGGAAAAACGCTCACTTGCATGGATATCGAGGGATCCACATCATGACTTTGAAAACCAATTTTTTCTTCTGTTGTCTGAATACTAATAAGTAATGATCATCACCAGTGACTGCCACTCAGTCCTCAAGGAAGCTTCCACCTTTAGAATTCGACTCGTTGAACGCACCTCCCTGGTCGTCTACAAAGGCTCACATATGAAACAAGGCTTGGCTGGCCAGCAAATTTAAGCTGTAACAATGTTCATGTACCCACTAAGTAGTATCTGCCGGTGTCAGTTGCTGAAACGGGGTCGTCCCGGCGTGTCAAGAGCACGCACGGAAAGGTGGAGCAAGCCCTAGTAATGATACTCAAATGACAAGTATATATGTGTGTGCCATAAGTAATCGAGATACTTTGTGCACTCAGAATGTAACGAGACTAACGACCTAACCGTTTGTCAGGAGAATTATCACCGCTTCAACACATCTTTCTCATGCTCCAGTATCGTCACAACCTCGGGGAATCTCGGCGTCACCTTAATGTCGAACGGCATTGGACGTCTATATCAAACATGAAAAGGATGCCGTCAATGAGTCTCCTGCAGTGACAGAAGTGGGAACATGCACGCACACAGTGAGTCCCGTATCCACACATCCGTCTGAATCTATCGGCACCGGCAGCCCATCCTGGTTCTTCGGTCTCTCAATGTTCATAGCCCAGAGCATCGTCACAACCTCCATGAACAATGAATTCTAAACCAAGGCCAAAGATAGTAAGCAGATCGTCAAATAGGTATTCATGAATGAAATCTTCCAAAAGTACCCACATTTCCGAACCCGAACGTGAAATGACCCTCCTCCCTCGCCTCCGCAGGGACTCTCAGCTCACTCCCATCATACATATGCCTTTCCGGCCTGAATTCCATCGCATCAGGCCCCCACACCAGAGGGTCCCGGTTGAGAAGCCAGATGTTCGGTATGATGAAGGAATTGGCGGGAATGATGTAGCCTTCGTAGTAGTCGTCTACGGTGGAAGCGTGGGGAAGACCGAATGGGGCAACAAGTCCCCAGCGAAGTAACTAGCATTTCGACAAGCGTTATTTGTCAGCCATTGAACTACAGGCTAATATAGGAGTATTTTGGAAATGGGAAGAGATGATGAGGAAAGATACAACGTACCTCCTTAACCATGGCCCTGATATACGGCAGATGATCGTAGTCCGCAAACGTAGGAAGGCGAGCTCTTCCCACAACAGTGTCCAGCTCTGACTGTGCGCCACTGGAGGCAAAGTTTGATATGTCTGATGGAGATATTTTGAAGATAGGCAGACTTTACTCAGAAAATGATCTGCATGAACCCCTCTACAAAAAGCCTGATGATATCCGGAATATGGTTCCCGATAAATCCAAATCAGGATTGAGTAGGGAAAACGTAAATATCGCGAGGGGAGCCACACAGAATTTACTGTGGCTGGTAACTCAAAAATATTCCCCCTAAAGGCACGGCATCTATAGCGGAATATATTTCCCCGCCAACTTTGGCTGGGAAATATATTCCTCGGTGGATGCCGAGCTTTTTGGCAGGACCATTTTAGGATATCATTCACAATAACCTCTGCGTGGCTCTGATCACGATATTTTTATTTTGACCCTATATCTGTGTTTGGACTTATTGGTGCCTTTATCGGCAAAATTATCCGCATTTTGGCGGTGCATGAACGTGAAAGCTTTTGTAAGTTCATTCCCAGTATCTTCAAAATATATTCTCCGGATATTTCGAACTTTGTCTCCAGTGCGCGGGCCTGGGCTTGAACCCACCATGTCATGACGCTCGAGACTGTTTCTGCGCCCGCGATACTGTTATAGGAATATACGCGTGTATTCAAATGTAGAATTATGAGCCTTTCATCGACCACAGTAGAAAATAAGAAACAAAATTGTACGCACTACATCGTTGCAGCCGTCCAAACGCGCTCCCCCGAGGTCAGGTTGTACCGATCCTGGTCCTTGGAGATTCTACCCATGAGGCTGGAAGGTTCCTCACCTCTGGTCTAGAAAGAACAAGGAACATAGTTCAATAGATGTTGTATGAGCCCTAGACCAAACTCAGGAGCAGAGTCGTGCTAAGGGTGGGTCGACTTGCCATACTGGTGTGTGCAGGAGCCATCATTCTCTCGAATATGGCCGAGTCGGTCTTAAAAGACTCGAGCGCTACTCGTTTCCACTTCGCAAACTTAAACCAAGCCAGGAAATGTAATGCAGTATTAGCGGTCGTGTTATCAGCGCTCAACTCGAAGACTATATCATAATAACGGCTCACCTCACAGGAATATATTTCATCCAAGGAAAAAACTCCACTAAGTGCGCTCCAGGCAGCAATGAAGTCGCCAATCGCTCCGCAAACTCATTGATCTCCGCAATTCTGCTGTCTGTAGCCTCAGAAGTCGTGGCCATCCCGTCCATCTTGAGTGGCGCATTACCGTCCGTGGCCGCATTGGAGCCATACAGGAAGTTTATGGTGAAGGAGGCATTGACACGTTGGACATGAGAGACCCACTGCGATGGAGAATGAAGAAGTTCGAGAGCGAGGGATACCGACTCTGTCATCTGGCCGGGATGATAAGCGGTAGCGGAGGATTTGGAGAGGCCTTCGTGGGTCGCGCGGCGCATGCGTCTCCATCTTCAAACAATGAGTCTGAACCCGATTTGAAACCGAGTATCAGTATATTGTCGCAAACGTGTGTCATCAAGAAGGACCGTACTTACACGTCGCTGTGAGATTGAAGGGCCATGAAGAGACCACCGGTCAGCATCTCAGATCCGATGACATTTCGTGGTCGGTCGGATGTGTTTCCTGCTCGCCTGTCGAGGAGGTCTGCCACTACTTTGGGAGAGTTGAGGACAATGACCGGCTGGCCTGCCGCGCTGAGGAATATGGTGTCACCTAGTGAAATAATCGACAAGTTCCGGTCAATTGAAGGTGCATATAGTAGGTGGCCATCGAATCGACAACATACCATGTCTCTCGCCACTTAGTAAACTTGAGCCAAAGGTGTGAACCACCCAAGTCGAGAGCATTCCCAATGAGTGGCCATCCTTTAGGTCCGGGAGGAACCTTTCGCCGCGAGCTTCAGTAATACTAGACGAGAGAACATACTGAAAAGCTGACGAGGAGAGTGAAGAAAACGATAAGATTTTGCCGAAAAAGTCAGCAATACTCGCAGTGATACAAGCCATTTGGGTAGGTTCTGAAGGTTGGGAGCGGCCACCTGGGAAGAAGTGCAGAGTCAAAGACCAGTTTTCATTTTTATATGCAGGCATCAACCCGCGCCCTGTGAAAGGTTCCGGAGGAAGAGCAGGTAATTACTTCATGGGCGCAAGCCGCACAGACCGTCCTGGTTGAAACGGCCGCGCTCATGCAAGTCAATTGAGTACTGTGGGTCCCTATATTTACATGGAGTGTCGTTCCTGCCACAATGCAGCGGGGCCCTCGGATCAGGAGGCTGAGAAAGATGGTGTCAAAACATCGATAAGAACAGAAGGCTCTTGAATACGTATGACATAAAGTAGATCATGAACTTACGAGTGGCTGCCACATCCCTGAGGCTCTGGAATAAAAGTCTCAAAAGTAGTTCACGAGTCAACTTAGAGGTTCTCAATCGAATGGCCTGTCCGAGTCGAACCAAACTGGTGAGTGACCGCTATATCCTACGGGGTCAGACAGTCGCATCCAACTACTTACCTATGAAGAAGAAGCGTGCATTGATGGAGGTTAGCGCAAGGTTGATATAACGTTGAGTACCGTGGAGTCGCACCGGGGGTAGTACTATTGGGGTACTGGTATCAAAACCGTCGACGCCGCTCTCACGCACTTCAAACGGGCTTACCCAATGCAGAATCGATCTAAACGGAAAGGTTGGTCTGAAAGCCTACGAAGTCATTTGAGCCGGCGACAGATGGAGGAGACTTTCCAGAAAATCAGGATTAGGGTAAAGAGGAAGAGGGAAGGTCCGGGGAATCCGGAAGTTGAACGTCGTCGTGGAAGCCTAGAACGGCATGTCTTTCGCACGCACGCCACCTGTGGCACTTGTTTTCAACGACTCGCTTTGACATCTCTCAGGTGGTACTCACCAGCAGGTACGCCCTCTGCACGACATAAAACTATCATGCGGTCGAGGGCCAGTATTTTCCCTCCGACTCCCCACCCTCTACGCTCAAAAGCTGCCAGTCACACAGTTCCCTTCCCGAGCACGCGGACAATGGGAGCAAGGATGCTCGAATGTCATTTTATCTATATAGATACCATAATCGAAACAGTGTATACAATCCACCTCATAATGTAAGAAGATCAACATGAGACATCATCGTCCAACGAACTCGCGCAACAGCTCATACACACATCACCGCTTCAACACGTCCTTCTCACGCTCCAATATCGTCGCAGCCTCGGGGAACCTCGGCGTCACCTTGATGTCAAACGGCATCGGGCCACTATGTTCCACACAAAAGAAACTGTGAGCCCTACGAAAGCGAATGAGCAAAGAAATATACTTACACGACAAGACCAGCCTCGATACAGTTCTCCAGATCCATCGGTGCCGGCTTGCCACTCGCATCCTTCGGCCTCTCGATGTTCATCGCCCAAAGGATCATCGCCATCTCGATAAATAACGAGCTCTGAGCACGCATCGCCACAACAAAATCAAAAGAATAGTCAGCGTCACATCTCACCCAAGGGGAGATCGGGAGGAACTCACATTCGCGACATGTTTCCCCACACAAACTCTCCTCCCGAACCCATACGTAAAGTGACTCTCCTCCCTCGCATCCGGAGGTCCGACCGCCTTCAACTGCCCTTTCTCATCCAGATGCCTCTCCGGCTTGAACTCCATCGCGTCCGGGCCCCACACGAGCGGGTCCTGGTTGAGGAGCCAGACATTGGGGATGATGAGTGAGTTGGCGGGGATGAAATGGCCTTCGTAAATGTCGTCTGCGACGGACATGTGTGGAAGACCGAGCGGGTCGACTGGGTGCCATCTCAGCGCCTATGAACACGCGACATGAGAAAACCATCAGCAGGTTATTTCGTGTGGCCCAGACGAGCGAGGTAGTATTGCGTTACAAGGGGGAAGGCAACGCACCTCTTTGGCCATAGCCCTCATATACGGCATATGTTCGTAGTCGGCGAAGGTGGGGATACGATCCCTCCCTACAACAGCGTCCAACTCCGCCTGTGCACGAGCCTGGACTTCGGGGTAGAGAATCATGGCCTGTACCCACCATGTGACGACGCCTGCTGTTGTTTCTGAGCCAGCGGCACTATTTGCGTCGTCGAAAAGATATGAGTATGACGATTGCTTGCGACAAAGACCCAGAGAACGGGAATGAGGGTGGGGAAATAGAATGGTACGTACAACATCGTAGCAGCGAGCCAGGCATTCTCGCGGTTTGTAAGTTGGTAGCGCTCGTAGTCCTTGGAAATGCGGCCCATCAGACTGGAAGGCTCGTCGCCTCTGGCCTACCACGAAGATAAATGTCAATACGAGAGCCACTGAGGATTTGGGACTAAGAAGGTGGATCAGACTGAGGTATGATGAACTCACCAGACCGGTGGTGACAGGGTCCATCATCTTCTCGAACAGCACTGAGTCTTTCTTGTATGATGCAAGTGCTACTCGTTTCCATTTCGCGAACCTATGAAAAAATTCACCAGGTGTAGAGTGTCAATATCCAGCCTTGTTTACCTACACTTTGATAGGTGCGATCGAACAAGCACTCACGTAGCAGGGATGTGCTTCATCCATGGGAAGAACTCCACAAGATGGGAACCGGGCAACAACGCACTCGTCAACCTCGCAACAAAGTCGTTGATCTCAGCGACCCTACTATCCGTCGCATCTGACAACGCTACACTCTCCACGTTCTCCCCTTTCTTCGCCACTGAGTCCGACCCGTACAGAAGGTTGATGGTGAAAGAGGCACTGGCGCGTTGGATATGTGGGTGCCATTGAGACGGAGTCTCTAGGATGCCAAGAGCGAGGAGTATGGATTCTGCGACTTGGGCAGGTTGGTAGACGGTAGAGGCAGATTTGGAAAGACCCTCATGTGTTGCGCGACGCATGCGACGCCAGCTAAAGGTGGATTGTTAACGGCTGCCGGAAATGATCGTACGGAAGACGAGAAGCTTACAGGTCACCGTAAGACTTGAACACCATGAAGAGTCCGCCAGTCATCATCTCGGAGCCCACGACATTGCGAGGACGGTTCGAGTAGTTGCTCGCTCGCCTATCGAGGAGGTCCGCAGCCGCTTTGGGTGAGTTGAGTACGATGATGGGTTGTCCTGCCGCGTTCAGGAAAACCACGTCGCCTGCAATCAATTCGATAGTAATGGATCGTCAACAACGATAACAAGAACGATCATGAGTGATGCGGAGAACGCACCATATACCTCCCGCCATTTCGTCAACTTCAACCAAAGCTTCGATCCACCGAGCTCGAGAGCATTCCCAAGGATAGGCAGCCCTTTTGGCCCAGGAGGGACATTCCGCCACGGGCTACGATAATACCGCACAACAGAGTAGGCCGAGAAGCTCACAAGCAGAGCGAGAGGGACAATTGGGTTCTCACGACCGAGATCAACAACGATCGTGGCAAGGCCGGCCATTGCGTATTATGGCGGGAGTTATTGAGTACCGTAAGAAAGATCGCAAAAAGGGCAGAGGTGGTCGATGGAAGGGAGCATGCTGGTCATATATGGAGATCTTGCGCGCTTCCCATGTCGAGTCTGAGTGAGGCTTGACCTCAATTCTGGTGTGTTCACCTGCGAATCGTAGCGGAGAAGCTGGGCTGCTTCGCGGTCGCACGCCGCACGGACGAGTCGAGACGGCCGCTCGGATGATATGCACCAAGAACGTAACACAGGTCATCAAAGCGCTTCAAGTTCTCCATACTTATTCTACTCACAGCCACCAATTGTCGGGCAAAGCAGTTATGACATGAAATGGTTACGGCAAGAGACGTCGACAGGAGGCCGCCTCACTGGGCAGCCTCCATTTGGTCCCGACAGAAGAAACGGAGCGATGATTCCGTGGCAAACGCTATATTGAACTGGGGAATGTCGGGGCCCGCGCTGTAATAAGGAATACACAAACATGTCGTACAACCAAGGTCAGCCGTCAATGACGTCCAGGACCGTGCGACCTGGTAAGTATGTCAATGAAACCATTCCGAGATCCAGTACTGCGTGCATTGTGAGCGCCACTCGAGACACGATAAAAAAAAACAGAGCAAAGAGTCCGCGCCCGAGGTCACGAAACATCTTCGGAGGATGTCTTGCTTTGGAATCCTTCCGGACAGGCTTGCGCCTCAGATATTACCAAACGCCGACAGCTTTTCTCGTCCACTTTCAACATCGCCTGTTATGTTGGTCTGCCATGAATTCGTCAACTGCCAAGTTTAGTGCATCGTATGACTCGCAGCAGATCCAACTGTTCAAGCCCAGTGTAGGCTCGCCAGCAATGAAGAATCGTAGAGAAAGACTGGACGAAGAGAAGGGAAGAGGACAGAGAGGCTTCCTGCTGTTGTTGGGCGAGAGCCAAAAACAGCATTATGTTCTCACGAGCCTCCACGTGCTAGAAGTTGGTGCCACTCACGCGTTTGTGTCAGTCCTTGTCAGTCTGAGTCTCTCCAAACGTTCACCGTCTCTGCATCGCCCTCTGTGCTCTGTCTCGGTTTTCTGCTTTTGTGACACTCTCATAGCATACAGCGGGACTCACGTCAAACAATACCGCCTCGCTGGCAAGGCTCTGTACACTCTGTCACAACACGAACCTTACGAGTGCCACGACCATAGCGACATCCCTACCTCAACGTTCTGCTTCAGCCGAACCCCTACGGATAATCTATCCACGCATCTCTGCTTGCTTTATTCAGACTGAGACTTGAATCATGCGTTTCGGTGTCCCGCGTTCAGAGTCGCCTTCTCCAGTCAGACAGTGCGTTGCCACAATTTCGCGCTTGCTTCCCCCTAACTAACGGTCGTCGTCAGTAGCCGCTCGACCTATGGGATCCATTCTTCGGTACTCATGTCCGACGAAGATGACACCTCTGGCTCAGAGTCGGACATCACGACCTCATCAAACGATTGGATACCTCACAACACGTCAGGAGTAATCAGCAGGTCTCAGATTCAAGCAATGGCAAACGATCCATCGTGCGTTTATATTTCGTTTCAAACTCTTCCATGAAATGCCATTATCTCCTTGAAGGCATGATTTGGCCTCTCGCCATTGTGCCTCCACGATGAACGCGTCGCTAATGATGATCCGACAGCGCTTCTGCACGACCTCCACTATCCGTTCAAGAGAGACACTTTATCGAGGACACTATAGCTTCAATCCGCCTACACACGCACCATCATGATCCCTATGAGGAATGGGAAAAACGGACACGCAGGGACGCATTCGTAAGCCTCTTACTTTGCATAACTCACCCCACCGCCGCCTCCTAACCGCTCACCCCTAATTTTAGCGTTCAGCTCGCAAAGAGCAAGCCCTCTCAATATCCGCACGTCAAGCCAACATCTCCGTCTCCCAATCGCGCGCCACGGCCGCTCAAGAAGCATCCTTCCAGGCCGACATGAACTCCGTCAATGACCTCCTCTCTTCCCTCAAACTCAAGCATGAACGCGAAGAAGCTGATCTGGTGGCTCGATGGAAAGAGCGCTCGAAGAAGATGTGGGAGAAGATCGAGGGGGCGATCAAGTTTGAGGAGGAGAAGGTCAGGGTGAAGTTGGAGAAGGAGAGAAAGCTTAAGGAAGAAGAGGAGAAGAAGCGGAAGGCTGAGGAGTTGAAGCGGAGGATTGCGGAAGAGAAGAGGAAGGCGGAGGAGGAGCGCAAGAAGAAGGAGGAGGAAGAAGAGCAGAAAAGAAGAGTGGCGGAGGAGGAAGAGAGGAAGAAAGCGGAGGAGGTGGAGAGGAAGAAGGCCGAACAGCTCGCGAAGGAAGCTGAGGAGAGGAAGGCATTGGGTATGGCCACAGCCGAGGAGGATTGGATAGGCGCTCGCTCGACTTTGAAAGTTAGTCCTTTTTCGCTATATAGCCTAGCATATATTAACTCTTATTCACAGAAACTCAAAGCGGGCCCCATAGCCGCAGTGAAAGGCAACCCAGAACTAAAGAAGCTCGCCAACGCTAACCGGCGCAAGATCACGCCAAAGATCGGCCAACTCACGAACGACACCCAAGCCATCAACGAAATAGTATGTCCACTCTTACCCCTCCCTCATTATCCTGATTCTGAGCCCTGTACACAGTCCTCGTTTATTCTACAAGTGTTCCAGCAACAACTCCCACCAGCCATCTTCCTCTCCCTCGGCTCCTCCCTCGCCAAAGCAATCCTCCTCCAGGCAGAAACCGAAGTCACCGCCGAAAAACGGTCTGCCTATCCCCTCGCCCAACTGACAATCAACCTCCTCTCGGTCTTTCCACCCCCTTTCTCCGAGATCTTCTTCGCACGGCTACTCTCCCGTTGCGGTGGTTGGGTCATCCCAATACCTTCTCCCCCCACACCGACATTCAAGGACAAAGACGTCGACGGTATGCTATGGACTGCCAATCCCAAAGCAAAGAGAAAGGCGCAGGGGATGTATAGGGAGGATGAGGTGAATGGATCGGCAGAGATGGTGGCAAGGGTGGCGGGGATCATGAGGGTGTATTTCACGATGCTTGTGATCGACCATCCGAAGCCGATGGCGAAGGTTTACCAGACGGGCAGATTGTGGGCCTGGTTGGCGAGGCTGATGGGCTCACCAGGGTTGTTGACGCATCCGTTGGCGGCGGAGTTGATCTACGGTTCGTCGAGCTCTTATACCTTGTCGGCTTCGGCTTTAGATATTGATCGTTTCTCTTTTATATCACGATTCTGCGTTTAGTGGCGCTCGAGGTAGGCGGAGAGAAAGCGCGCGACGTCTGGGGCCAACAATGGATCAAGCTCATGGGCCTCATCTACGAGGGTGTCACGCAGGGTATCGCGGGCACGGACAAGCGTATCGGAGGAACTTCGACGGAGGGCAAAGCTGCGCAAATTAGGGTGCAGCTCGAGATAGAGAGGATCATGTTTGGTAGAAAGTGATCCCGCTTGTTTCTCGTGGTGATCAACATTCCTTTCAGCCTCTGCCAAGGGTGTTGCTTTGGTGCTCGTGGAGAGCACCTACTCCGTATGCTTTCGTTTTGCTTTCGCTTCACAATGAGCATGTTTTGTCCCGTATATCCTACCTCGCATCATGCTCATCTTATCTATCACGCAATTCGACTGTTGTCTTCTGTGGTTCGGGCATGTTAAATGGTCGTCTGACAAGACGCCAAGGGGAACGATTGATAAAGGAAAATGTTAAACAGGACAAACTATTAAATACAACGAGACGGTGATATAATGGGGGATTGGCGTATAGAAACGAGCTAAAACAAGCAGGAGTCGAACTCAAAAGCATATACGGTAACTGGCGTACCGACCGCTCGTTTCACTGGGACGAGTAATTTTGACGACCTGACTCCGTCGAAGGCCATAATATCGTGCGATGGGATCGGCAAGCTGAATCCTAGGTAGCTGGGTCTCCTTCAGGCGGCTGGATGTTCGACACACACACGTATAGTTGAGTGAGCTACCGTTGTTCTGATAAGGAAGAAGGCAAATAAGACGCACTATCGTTCAAGGAGCATTTTCTTTTCCTCTGTGGTAAGAACGTCGTGGCGGGGTACAAGTTTGTGATGGGTTATGTTGACGAGCAAGTCCGCCTCCGAGAACTCTTCGACCTTAAACTCAGCCATTGAGACGATAACCTGTTCGGACGGAATTTAACGACGTAGTTGTTGAGTGAGTAGCCGTTTCAACGCACCTTGCGCGCCGCTGGGGTCATGATGCCGGGGAAGATGATGATGCCGCGACGTATATTCTTCTCCGTCATGATTTGTAGAAGTCTGTTCAAGTCAGGATAGATGGCCATTATCCGTGAAGAAAAATGCTCACTTGCGCATGGTTTTGACACCAACACTCTTCTCGTCGGAGAAAAACACAAAAATATGCTCCTCTACATTAACGCGCAGATTGGTGAAGAAATTGAGTTGATTTCGACTACGACAAAGAGTTGCGGCGCGGTTCTGCAATCAGCAACGCAATTTAAGCATAACACGAAGAGGGTTAACGTACTCAACACTCCCTCCACTGTTCGCATAGTGGGACTTGAAAGTGGTTAGATCCATGTGAATCTCATCGTCCGCTACTTGATAGCCCTGCTCTGCTGTAGTCATTGCTTTGAATGGTTAAGATGGCAGTAGACATACCCTGTCCTTTACGAGCTCGTGGATTGTCCGGTTCACTTTCCAGAGCGTAGCTGCCTCGCTATCGTCGGCGGAAGACATGGCGAGCAGAGACAAGAGTGCTTACATTTCAAAATCAGCCTTGCTCTAGATCTTGACGCGTGATTAGATTAGATTAGATCAGACCATCTCATAAAGGCCAATATTAATCTCAGTCTGGCGGATTGTGGCGGATGACAACTACCATCATAACCCCTCCTCCTCTGCGACCGAGCCCCATAGCTTGAATCCCCTTGGTGTCTCTACGAAAGAAACACTATCCACAAACCATGAGTCGTGGTCAGGCTTCAGGCGCACAAATTGGCGCACTCGATAGCGGCGAGTCGTTGACCGCATTGGAGACGAAGTGAGTCTCGTTCATATACGTGCCACCATGCGAACTTACCGTAACTCCTCTACATTAGGCCTCGCGACTTTTGGTTGGAATCTGGTCGTTCACGTCTTTCCCGCTATATTAGCATCGATACGGCCGACCCACCAGAAACTATCGTGCACACTCGCGACGCCATAGATGATGAGATCGAAGGCCTTTACAAAACCATACTGCTCATGAAAGCACAAAGGAACGCTCTAGCTCCCGTTTTACGACTACCTCCCGAGCTTCTGTGTCGCATCATGCTATTTTTTCGATCTATAGAGCGCCCGACAATCCTCGATTCTGCACGTATTAATCCGCGGGCAATGCAGCATAACAGACTTGGATGGATCCGTCTAACTCACGTATCGCGGCAGTGGAGGACGCTAGCCTTGGGTTTACCTCACCTGTGGAATGAGATACATCTCGATGTTTTCGGCATCACCTGGTGTCAAGAGTTAGTTTCTCGTTCCAGGGATGTACCCCTGAAACTTCATTATCATACATCGTGGCAGGATGTCCATATCCCTAATCCCTTCACCCATCTCAACGAACCACCTACCTCGAAACTGTACGACTTCATTCACAAGCACCTCGCTCGGTCTCAAGAAATCTCGTTCACCAATTTGGGCATGCATCATAGATCACAACTTCTGTGCGCTTTGGACCGCCCGGCTCCTCTTCTCGAGGTTTTGCGATTAGAAGGGGCGAAGGCGATCCCGTCCAATTTCGACTTGCCTGATCTACTTTTCGACCGCAATGCGATGTCATCTCTACGAACCGTCGCATTCCAAGGGATAACCTTCCCAACTACTCATGTTTTCTCCCATGTCACCAACTTTTCTCTGTCACTCAATCCCCGTGATCTTGTGAATCGCGATGCGATATCAAATCTGCTCCACAGTCTCAGTACCATGTCCGCACTCGAATACCTTGAGCTCGAAAATCTTCCTGTGGACCACTCCTTCGACGATCTTCCTACAACCTTGCCCGTCAACCTTCCCCGCCTTTCCGTACTTTGTCTTCGTGCCAGAGATGCATTCGCGTTCTCCACCTTGTTTGCTTTTCTCGCTCTTCCCCTGAGCGTTAGGTTTCACATCATCGTAGAGGAGAATTCCAGTTGGACCACTGAGTCGAATGCGAATTTCATTTTCAACTCATTGCATGTACACTACTCGACGCACAACGACCCAGAATCCTTCTTCTCGACGATCACCGACCTAGAGGTCGTCTATGGCGACCCAGAGCTCCAGATCAGGGCATACGACCCACGTCTTCTCACCAGCTTGCCCACTCACGCTATGGTCGAGAGTCCTGGCGGTTTGAACGACGCGCTAAACTCTACAACGCAAATTCTCGTCAAGATCTTGGACCCGGCGAGACGAAATGCATATGGTCACGCATACATCGATCAGAACGCTCTTCTTTCCATGGTGCAATTACTTCCATCGGCCAGTTTCTCATCCCTAACGATCGCTGGATCCGTCCATCCGTCGAACCCTGTAACACCATACCGAACCATCTTCAATCATCTGTCCAACTTGACTCTCGTATCCATCGACAACCCCGCAGAGGTGGACCTCTTCTGCGAAGCCCTTTTGCCACCTTCTCACGAAGACCCCCCTGTCGAAAACTCCGTCCGAGTTCCCTCCGAACTACCTCTTCCATGTCTCAGGACCCTGACGCTCTCTCGCTGCCTGCTTGGCTTTAAAGAGCCTACTGCGAGCCACGGAAAGCGTACTCTTCTCGAAACCCTCGTCCTCATGACCGAGTGGAGAAAGCGGTTGGGGGTTCCATTGGATTGTATGGACGTACAGAGATGCTACCGCGGCCATGGACTGCCGCACGCAGTGTACGCAGAGTTGACGAGACGATTATCGAGTGCGGTCTCTGAACTAGCCTTGCCGATGAGTATGGAGCTTGTGGACGACGGGGAAGATGCGTATAAGGATGGGCTGGCTGCTTTAGACACTGACTAGCTGTCATTCTTGGCGTGAAGGGAATCGTTCACTGATATTGGCTGCTTTGATACATCACGGCGGTACACATATTCCAAGGTCATTCATCGCGTGTGTTCGCCGTGAGCCGTTCATTACAGAAATCTCTCCGAGAAATGGGTCGAATTGTATCGTACTTGTATTATCTCTGTGTAGGAGGGTGGGGGCAAGGGCTGCCTACTTTGATACTTCACGATGATATATTCCAAGGACATTGTTCAGGCATCATGTGTGTTCGCTGTATAGCGTTTACGGCCTGCTGCCTTCACAACTCGGGCACCAATATCTCCGAGAAGTGGGTCGAATTTTACCGTACTTATATTGTCTCCATATACGAGGATAGGAGCAGGGGCTGCCTACTTTGATACATCACGATGATATATTCCAAGGACATTGTTTAGACACCGTGTGTTTTCACGTATATATAGCGTTAACGTTTATGGCCTGTTTCTGATACTTTCACAACTCGAACTGTCCAACCCACAAGTATCTCCCGGAAGTGCGTCGAATTGTATCGTACTTGTATCGTCTCTGTACGAGGATGCAAGCAAGGACCGCCACTGGCTGCTTTGATGCATCACGTCCTCGTGAACCCTTAAAGAATACCCACCCGGGTCCCTTCCTTCCGCCCCTCAAACCATCCCAAAACCATCCCCTCCCAAAAGATAACACAACCTACAACCTCCACCTACGACTTCTGAATCCCCACCACTGCGCGGGTCGGAGGAAGGGTCGGTGGAGCGCAGACTCAGGATTGGGTCCGATTTTCCAAGGACATTGTGTGTCAATGTGTTCGCTTTACTTATAAGTAGTAAGTAGTAAGTAATGTCCCCGCGGCAGGCAGATGGCATTCAACCGGTGTTGAAGATATAAGTAGTGTCTATTCACGGCCTGTTTTTCTGACCCTTTCACGATCCGGATTCCGAACCGTCCAGCCCACAAATATCTCCGAGAAGTGGGTCGAATCGTATCGTATCGTACTTATATCGTCTCTAGTACACATGAATCGTAATCTACTCTACTCATCCATCGCCATAAAAACAAAAGAAACCATGATACACATCTAAATCGCACACCCTTCCTTCCCCTCTGACCCCCAAAAAATAAACCATAACCTACGACTTCTCAACAACCGGCACCCCCACCACACCCTCCCTGACTGTCACCGGCACCTTCTCCCCCTCCAGCGACTCCACATCACTTCCCTCCGACCCTCCCTCTGACGACTCGGGTGCGGAATCCGGATTCGGCGCGATGCCGAGTTTCCTGCATTCGGCCCTGGAGAAGGCGCCGAAGATGTCGGTGTCGTCGGAGGCGCCGAGGCCGGGGGGCGGGAAGAGAACGTTGAGGGTGTAGAAGAGGATGAAGGAGATGAAGAAGCCTGTTTTTGTCGCATTCCATCACGTCGTTAGTTTGGATGCTCACTCCACAAAACCGAAGTAGAAGAGGGAAGGAGGCAACGAGGAAAAGGGAAGGAGGCAACGAGGAAAGAGGAAAGAGGAGAAGAAAAACCCACCAAGGAAAAAACTAATATAATAAAGCTCGAACACCGGCCTCGCCGCATCCCCAATCGGCTTCGCAGTAGCCACCAACCCTCCAATCGTCGGCGCCCAGCCGGCCAACCAAGCCGGAAACACCCTCCAATTCACACCATGCCAGAACCAATAATCGTGCTCTTGTCCCTGCCCCTCTCCTCCTCCTCCTCCCTCCCCTCCTGCCTTCCCTCTTACGACCTCCACCGGCATCCCCGTCCCATCCATCCGCCCCTCTCCCGGCGCTCGGTATAGGTCCGAAAGCCTAACCTTCTGTTTCCTAAGGACAAAGAAATCCGCACACATAATCCCCATAATCGGCGCGAGGAAAACAGAGAAGGAGGAGATGACGGTGAGGAACGTCGTCGCTTTATTCACGAGCTGCCACGGCTGGACGATCCATGCGGCAAAGAAGGTGATGAGGGCTCCGCGGCGGATGGAGATATAGCGGGGGAAGAGACCGGCGAGGTCGATACCGCCTGCGACGGCGTTACCGCAGATGTTTTCGAAGCCGGACTATTATAGCATATGCACACCACCGTCAGCGTAGGTCGACAGCGAAAATGACGAGGAGGAGGGGGAGAAGGAGGGAGGAGAAGGAGGAGGAGGAGAAGCGAACGCACAGTCAACGCAAACCCCAACGCCAAAAAGAAAACCCCCGCCCTCGCCTTCCCACTCCCCCCCCCATCACTCATCATCCTCATCAACAAATCCGGCGGATTCCAATAAACAGTCCCATAAATCTTCTCTCCCGCCGCCGTCACCACCAATCCCACGAAACTCACCAACGTGCCCACGCAGAACAGGCAGGTAAAGGTGCCGAGGATGAAGTCGCGCTTGCGTTTGCCGTAGCGAGAGAAATCGGAGCCGTTGGTCATGCCGGCGGCTTTGCCGCCTATGGTGGAGTTGATGCATTTGAGCATGATCCAGGCGGTGGACCAGGAGGAGCTAGAGGAGGAGGAGGAGGAGGAGGAGAGGGTGTTGGCGCGGTAGAAGATGGGGCCGACACCGCGGGCGACGCTGAGGGACCAGATGACTGTTTCGGGGGAGGGGGTGGGTGGGTAGGGAGGGGGGTAGGGAGGGGTGGGAGGAAGGGAAGATGGAGGAGGGAGGGGGTTAGAATTCTTGGGTGAAAGGCGAGTCGCAGAAGAAGAATGAAGACGTACGCATGCAAACCATACCAAGCCCACAATAAATACTCGTAACCTGGAACGGCCTCCGGAATTTCTCGGGCGGGACCCACAGGAAAGGAAGGGAAAACAACCAGAAGATGAAGAAACCGACCATGTCGCGGGATGAGGCGGGGAAGGACGCAGGGAGGGCTATCATTGCCAACCAACCAACCGATCAACCAACCAATCAGCCAACCAAGCAACGAGACACGTCAATGAATAAAGTAAAGTAGGGAGTGGGGAGTGGGAGTGGGATGAGAGACGTACAATCAGGGAGGTTCGCGAATGAGGGGAATATAGCGGTGATGCAGACTGCGACGAGCTTGCCGCCCGTCCATGCTTGTGAGGCGTTCCAGATGAAGTCTGTGACAGGAAGGTGAGCGATATGGATTATGATAGGATGTAGTTGAAGAAGAATGAACGAGCACGCACTCAATAGGATACGTTGAAGGAGGGGGATGTAGCTTGCGCGCATGCCCCACGAGTAGCGATTCTGGACGGTGTAACCAATGTGATCTGTCGATGTATGCTATGTTAGTCCGACTGCACCAGAGTGATAGATGAAGAAGGAAGGAGGAGAACGGACACTTGAGGCCACACCAAGCGACGAGCGTGGCGAAGAGACCGATGATGGCACGACCGACGATGATGACGCCCAAGGCTTGTCCTACAGAGAGGCCAGCGGTGAGGAACGTGTTTGGTGTCTGCCATGTCGCGACCTGCATCATGATCCAACAAAATCCGAATGAGTTGTATGTCTCAAAAAGAAGAGGTTAGTGCAGCACGTACGTTGAGGGAGCCGAGCGTCCAGAAACCGAAGAACTCGAAGAAGCCCCAAGTCCTGCGCCTAAGTTCACACGATTGTCAGACATATCCGTACCCACAACAAGCAAAAAGAACATACGCAGGTGGAAGAGGAATGAGATCACGATTCGACCAAGCGTTCGTCTTTTCGTGCTTTCCCTCTTCGCCACGGAGTTTGACAGCGCTGTTAACTCTCTGGAGCAGCGTAGACCCAGACATGGCTATGAACGGAGGGTGGCGGCAGCGGGGAGCAAGCAGTCCGACGAAGCTTTCTTCATTGTGGGACCGCTGTACTTTATACTCTTCCAATTCAAGTTGTCATAGATAAGTGCGGTATCTCCTGGAGCTGGACGAAAGCGAAAGAAGTGGAAAGTCGAGCCGAGCCCGGCGGTGGAGAAGAACTCGGGCTGGCTGAGGAGGGCAAGAGGCGGGAAGGGAGGAGCTGCTGTGCCTGATCTGCTTCGTTATCCAGGTTGAACTTGACAGACTGATTTGCGCATGTCAAGACGGCGAACCGGCCGTTTGTCGGTTTCCTGTTCGCCGACGGCCTGGGTGCTAGGCTTTCCAGCGATCGCACCGTCCGGGTTCATTGAGTGGCATGCCTGGAGTTGGCGTTATACCTGGACCTATAAGTTGTGGACTCGACCTTTTCTGAAGATATACACACGCATGATATTTCGCCATTTTTACTCGAGCACATCCAGCTATCGTTCCAGCCGATAGCAGAGACGATAAATAGACAACTTGGGTGGAGCCTGCGTCGGCGGTCGTGTGTGTGCCTGGCGGAAGCTGAACTCGTCCTCCGCTTTGAACGCTGTCAACAATTTGTTGCCGCACAAACCACGCAGTCTCGCCTCGCCTCTCTAATTCCTGTAAATTGCCGCCGGCGCTCTCCACTCGCAGACTTTCACTTTCATCGCCTTGGCTTGGACTCAGGACTGCTCTGCTCTGGGTGACTTGCACCACCGACAGCGACGAGAAAAAAGGCGGAACGGGTCTCATTCTCGACACGCCGCGGCGGCGACCCTCTGCTCTCGCTCTGACTCCATTGACTCTCTTAAACAATGCATCGGTATTCGAGGAAAAGATATAACTCGAGCTGAGCCTTAGCCCGACGCGGTCGATAAGCCATCTCCTTGCTTGTCACATAATATGTCTTCAGAACAGGCTACTCTCCGCGTCGGTATCGATGTCGGCGGCACGAACGTCGACGGTGTCTTGCTCGACCCTCTCGCAGACGCCAACGCGGCGAATAGGGGCATTATCGCCTGGTGCGTTCAAAGCTTGCACTCCATGAAAGCTACTTTAACTGACGCACTCGCAGGCACAAGTCACCGACGACGACGAATCCGAGCGATGGAATCCAGAATGTCATGACCGCCCTCCTCACCAAAGCCAACGTCGACCGCTCCCGCATCGCCAGCGTCACCATCGGCACAACCGTTCGTTCCCTCCCTCCCTCCCTCTCCCTCCCTCTTCCCCTCATCTCCTCTCCTCATCCCATTCTACTCATACTTATAAAACGCAATGAACAGCACTTCATCAACGCCGTAATCGAGAAAGACCAAGCCCGCCTCGCCCCCGTCGCCGTAATCCGCCTCTCCGGTCCCTTCTCGCACGACGTCCCCCCCGGCATCGACTGGCCCCTCGACCTCCGCTCCATCATCTGCAAATACTCCGCCTGCATCGACGGCGGGCTCGAAGTCGACGGGACCATCATCCGCGATGTCTCCGAGGCGCAGGTTGAAAAGGTTTGTAAGGAGATTGCGGAGCTGGGGATTAAGAGCGTGGTTGTGAATGGGGTTTTCTCGCCTTCGGATTTGGTGCAGAGGCAGGAAGAGAGAGCGGGCGAGTGGGTGAGGAAGTATTTACCGGGGGCGGACGTCGTGCTCTCCAAACAAGGTCCTTTTCCCTCCTCCTTCCCTCCTTCCCTCCTTCCCTCCTTCCCTCCGCTCCTTCCTTTCCCCTTCCTCATACTCACACCCCCCCTGAACAGTCGCAAACCTCGGCTTCATCGAACGCGAAAACGCCTCAATCCTCAACGCCTCCATCCTCCCCTTCGCCCGTCTCACCATCTCCTCCTTCCAACACGCCCTCCGCCTTCTCTCCCTCTCCTGTCCCGTCTTTCTCACCCAGAACGACGGGACGATTTTGAAGGCGGATAGGGCTGCGCTGTTGCCGATTAGGACGTTTAGTAGTGGGCCGACGAATTCGATGTGTGGGGCGGCGTTTTTGGTTAAGGGGGGTGTGGGGGTGAAGGGGGGGAGGGAGGGAGAGGGGAAGGAGAATATTTTGGTCGTGGATATTGGAGGGACGACTTCGGATTGCGGTATGCTCCTCGCGAGTGGACTTCCCCGTCAAGCAGCAGCTATAACCGAGATCGGCGGCGTGCGCATGAATTTCTCGTGTCCTGACGTGAAGTCGTACGTGTCTTCTCCCTCTTTACCTCCCTCTTCACCACTCCTCCTTCACTCCTTCCCTCTTCCCTCTTCTCTCCCCTCCTCTTCACCACCCCCTCCTTCCCTCCTCACCCGTCCTGACCGCACCATCCCCACCCCCCCACAGCATCGGCCTCGGCGGCGGCTCCATCGTCCGCAAACCCTCCCCTTCCTCTCCCTCCTCCTCCTCCTCTCCCCATGCAAAGCTCACAATAGGCCCCGACTCCGTCGGCCACCGCATCCAACAATCGGCACTCGTCTTCGGGGGTAACACAGCGACAGCGACGGATTATGCGGTGCGTGCGCAGGGGCTGAGACATATTGGGGATCCGGGCCTTTTGGATGCTAGTGGGGAGTTCGCCAGTACCAGCCCTGGGAGTGAGACTGGCACCAGCACTGGGAGTGAGACTGGCACCAGCACTGGGAGTGAGACTGGCACCAGCACTGGGAGTGAGAGCGGCGCGGGGAAGGAAGGAAAGGAAGGAAAGGACGGCGAAGGATCAGTGAACGAGTTCAAGAAAGTGATGAAAAAGATGTTAGAAGGTCTCATTGATCGTATGAAAACGAACGCGGAGGACGTCACGGTTTTGTTAGTTGGGGGTGGAGCGGTGCTCGTACCCGTCGACGACGGCGATGAGGACAATGACAATGATGCGAAGTTGAAGGGGGCGAGTAGGGTTGTGAGGCCGGAGTTTGCGGGGGTGGCTAATGCGATTGGGGCGGGTATGTCTTCTTCCCTTTCCTTCCTACTTCTCACTCCTTGTGATTCGGACTGGAACCGGCACTGATGACCTTCTGCTCCGTAGCCATCGCCCGCGTATCAGGAACAATCGACACCATGGTATCCACCGCGGACAAATCCATGCAAACGATCCTGGACGAGATATGTGCGTTAGCGGTGGATAAGGCGGTCGAGAATGGGGCGGTGAGGGAGAGCGTGAAGATTGCGGAGATGGATTGCATTCCGTTGCAGGTTCGTCACCTCCCCCCTCCCCCCCCCCCCTTTTATTCGTTCTTTTTTTTGGAGAGCACGGTTGTGCTGATTGTGCGCTGGATTGGAATTGGAATGGATAGTATGTAGCGAACAAGTCGCGGGTGATCGTCAAAGGTCTGTCCTCCTTACCACGGCCAACGAAACGCGAATAAAACTGATCGAATGCATCATATCCTCAGCCATCGGCGACTTTGACTTTTCCAAGCCCACCTCCTCTCTCCTTCCCCTTTCCTCCTCCTCCACCACTACCACCACCACCCCCACCACCCCCATCACATCCACCACCTCCTCCACCACCACCCCTTCACCCTCGTCCGCACCGACCCCCTCAAACGACGCCACCTCCTCAAACAACGTAATGGACAAAAAACCTCTCGACCTCTCCTCCCTCGCCGCCGAAAAGATCGCACTCGATATCCCGGCGTACAGGCCCGTCGTGAACGAGAAGCGGGAATGGGTCGTTTCGGAGGTGGATCTGGAGTGGATTAGTGTGGGGTGTTATATTCTCGGGACTGGTACGTAGCCTCTTCATCATTCCTGTCTGCCATCTGCCATAAAATCCACGCAGACTATGAACTACGACTGACGGAAGGTTATTACTTTTTTGTTTGTCTTTGGGTGTGTTGTGAACAGGCGGTGGTGGAACGCCATACCCGCACTTCATCCGTCTCCGCGAGATGATGCGCAAGGGCGCGGTCGTGCGCGTTATTTCGCCGGAGGATATTAAGGACGATGATGTCGTGGCGTGTGGGGGTGGCAAGGGCAGTCCGACGGTTGGGATTGAGAAGTTGCCTGCGAATGAGTACGTTGGACGCTTTCGCCCCCTTCCTCTCTCCCATCATGGCTGCCGCGACGATGCAATACTGATTTTCTTTGTTCGTTGTGCATGGCGATTTAGGATGGTCGAAGCGCAGAAGTTGGTGTATGATATGTTGGGGTATAAACCCGATTCGGTGATCGCGCTGGAGATTGGGGGCGGGAACGGCTTGCAGGGTGCGTTCTTTCTTCCCTTTGGATTCATTCATTGTATCTCGACCTGGAAACTAAGAACTGACGTCGTTTTCGTACGAATAGGCATGTTGCTCGGTGCATCTAACAATATGAATATTCCGACCGTCGACGGTGACTGGATGGGTCGTACGTGTTTATTTTGCGGGTTTATACTTGTTTGTTTGTGCTGACAGCCCACCAGGCGCGTACCCCGTCTCGTGGCAGATCACGCCCGTCGTACTCGGTGGCGACCAGGCTCACTTTGTGCCTACCGCCATCGCCGACGGGAACGGAAACAATATGGTCCGTATTTCTCCTCCTCTTCCTCCTTTCCCCTTTCCGTCCTTTGACCGTGTTTTCTTACTCCACTCATCTCTATAGATCATGACCTCCGCCACCTCGGAAAAAATGATCGAACGCGCCTTCCGCGCCGCCCTCTCCGAAATGGGCTCCCACGTCGCCTGCGCCAAAGGTCCCTGCTCAGGCGCCAACGCGAAATCCTGGGTAGTCGAGAACACGATCTCGCTCGCCTGGCGCGTCGGGCGCGCCGTCGCGCTGTGCAAGTCGCGCAACGAGCTCGACAACGTCGCGGACGTGATCATCGACGAGGTCGGCGGGAAGGAGAGCGCGAAGGTGTTGTTCAAGGGGAAGATTGTCGGCGTGGAGAGGAAGGTCGTCAAGGGACATGTGTATGGCGAGGTCGTCATCGCCGCGATCGAGAGCGACGACGAGGGCAGTGGGAGTGCAAGTGGGAGCGGACAGAGGTTCAGCGGGACGGTGAAGGTGCCGTTCAAGAACGAGAATATCCTAGCGGCGCATGTGGACGCGTCTGGGAAGGAGACGCTCCTCGCGTGCGTGCCCGATCTGATCTGCGTACTCGACACGAACTCGGGAGAGGCGATCGGCACGCCAGAATACAGATACGGCTTGCTGTGTACCGTGATTGGCATCACGGCGAGCGAGCGGTGGACGAGCACGGAGAGGGGGATTGAGATTGGGGGCCCGAAGGCGTTTGGGATGGATGATGTGGAGTATAAGCCGCTGGGGACGTTCAAGAGGCCGAGGAGCGTGATTGATGAGTTTGGGCCGAAGAGGGTATAGGCCTTTAGCTTAGGGTTCGCAGGCGTGTTAGACTTGGGTAGACTTTTTGGGTTTGGGGTGTAACTTATGGCATTATTTTTTTGTGTTATTGTATGGCTCAATCAAACCTTTCTTGACGATATGTCTGTCGTGTAGGTTGATGCATACGCATATGGAGACGAAGAAGTAACATCAGACGCCGGATTTTGTAGTGTATGGCCTACAACAGTCCCTGCTGGAGTACATATTATAACAAGGAAATGTATGCATGCACGTGTCTAAGGCCTCCTGGTGTTTGTAACTGCCCATACTGCCATGAACCTTTTTAAACTTGAACAAGCGGGCATCCTCAACTCAGTTGCTAAAGTCTCCAAGGTATGCACAGTAAGTCAAATGGCCCTTCGATGAGACCAGACACCCGATTTCGAAAGCAAAGTGAGAACTGCACTTACAGCGCATCCGTCATCCGCTGGTGCGCGCCCCGATACAAACCCCACTTCACGCTGTACGCAAATCTCAATTGTAATGTCACCCAGAGGATATACTGGAAAGGCGTACGTCGAAGACACGTTCCCCATAAACCCATCTGTGTTGAAATCTATCACAGTCTTTCCCGTATCAGCATCCGTGATTTATACGCCATCTTCCCATTGACTCCAAACGTCACCGTCATGGAGTGTTGCGTGACTCTGTCCGTATGATCCCCCAGGGCGACAGATGGGCAGCCGGACTTGGGGCAAAGGCCTTTATTCAGAACATCCTTGATAAATACTTTGTCCTTGATAGCGCTGAGATCAACGACCGGTTCTCCGAGGCTGTCCGTGTAGAGTTGCATGAGGAAGAAGAAGTTGTTCGTGGTGCCTGCAATAAACATGAAAGTCAGGGGATACATACAAGTAAAATGTAGGAGATACGACATAACAGTTTTGGAAGACAAATAGTACTTCCAATTGTACGTCGCCGTGACCCCGTCTGAAAGACCACCAAAAGATTCGTTCGGCCTATCAATTCCAAGAACTTGACGCTGAGACACATACCCTTCTCTTTCGCGTCGTAAAACTCGATCCTCTGCTTGGGCGCGCCGTTATCGAGCATCTTGGTCGGGTCGCTTGTTTCTTGCAGGGTTATGCAGTCGTCGATCTTGATACTCGAAGGACATCCTTCGATAAGTATCCCTGAAAAAACATTATCAGTATGAGAAGTGGAATCGGAGATGGACAGGAATACCGGAGGACACGTAGGACATGCCGGCAACTTTTCCCCATACGTCCTTCGTCTGTGTCCCATCGGTGAGGGTCGTCTGTGCTCTCCTTGCGGTCTCTATACCAGTGAGAAAGAGCGTGAATGTAGCAGCGAAGAGGAAGAGGGAGAATTGCATAACGGTGACTAGATTAGACTGGCCGGGGATTGATCACTAGTATCCTGTCAGGATATTGGGAGTATATATACCACCGAGTCGCTGAAGTACTCGTGCAGTTTGAGAGACTAGAAGCCAAGCGTACTGCGATGAATACTTTATGAAACAACAGGCATAGCCTCCAGACCCTCCAGTGAGCGACTCTATCCATACCAGTCATGATTTAGATGAAACCTGGCTAGATATTGGTATGCCCGAAACACTCGCATGGCTCCATGAATAGAACTTCCGAGGAGCATCAATATCCTTTTGGTGTGAGGTGACTCTCAATACGGGCATCTCATTACCTTGCTTGAAGGTCCTTCCAACCCCCGTAATTGCTCAGAATCGTCCCGGAAATAAACATGGCCAAACATCGGACTTATTTTGTGGCGGCAGTTAGTCTGTGGCGCGCGTTCGTCTCTTCTCGAAGTCATTGCTCTCAAAGCCTTGCAATTGCTTTCTTCCTTACTGCAGGCCTTTGCCTTGGCGTCTAGGATAAGCAAAGCATTTCATCTGCTGAGCATGAGCCCGAACGGTGCTGCTGCATGGTGTGTTGTGTATTGTGTGCAGATCGAGCCCGCACTGATATAGCGTCCATATGTCTCTTCACCCTTCACTCTTGATCTTGGAATATCTGGTACCCATTTCAGAGTATTTCGGTTTGTGCTATCGCGCGCTACTGAAGACGTGATTGTGAGCGAGCATTTTGGGTCGAAAGCGGCCATTCCGAGCAACGCTTTGCCAACGGAGTACGGGATCTGCCGGGATGCGCACGAAAACTAACCTGGTAAGCATCTACTCTGCCCTGAGAGATGATACTTCTCTACTCAAGGATGCTCTGACCCTGCCCGTTGTAACTTACCAGAGGACAGACATCATAGCATCTAACGACAACCACCGGAGCTCTGCCCACGGACTCATTTATGCTGTCTCAGTCTGGTGCGGGCTCCCTTCGATAATATGGTCTGACACAGTATCAGCATCCAGCAACGCGACGGCGGAATGAAGGTAGCGGCTGTAATTGTTGTTGCTAATTAGGATGTCTCCCGCGCGAGGGCAGCGGTACAGCGGAATGGCCGGGTGCTTGTGAGAGTACTTACATAGCTATTCGAAGATCTAAACTCGAGAATGCTCTTCAACGGGATGAAATACGATATATTTTGAAGAGCATTCGAACGAAGACAACGCAAACGGCGGGAGCCTAACATCATTTGACAAGCAAGGTGGCTGTTGCCGAAGGCAGCGCTCCCCGAGTCTAAATAGGACCCGGAAAGATTAGGGAAACGAGTTGATCGGGTTAAGGGACTAATTGGGGACTAAATGACCTGCGCCATCGACTATTGTCGATGATCAGGTGGTTTATAACTTGTGTAAAAGTACTCCAGACGCACGAAGCAAGCATTGGTCCTGATCCAAGCCTAGCTTTCTAATGATATAATATTAGTACAAAGTTGCTCGATGACTTCCGGCCCCTAGTCAACTGAGGAACCCTTGTTCTCCAATTCAATCTTCCTAACAGATCCCAGTCCGACGACGGTATGTTCCCGGGGCCTGGGGAGGGAGCCCTAAGGAAGGAAGATGAAAGCAGACGCAGTGCATGTATGAATCGGAGGATAGCTCAAGAAAGATATACGCCGTCGAGCGTCGGAAGTGATCGTCGTGTTAGATGATGCACAGGTTTCGTGGTTCGCGAGTGGTTCGCGTCCAAGAGAAGGAAACAACCCCGGGTCATTCCGGGTAGCCTTTAACACGATCTTCAGAGGAAACAACTCGGAGCTTTCGTATGTCACATATTGGACTTATATTAATGTATGGACTTGACCGAGTGGATTCTCTAGTTTTTTTTCTGATATTTTACGAGGATGGCGATCCGTTGTTGGTGACAATAGCGTTTCGCAAAATATTCCTGCTGGTATGAAAAAAATTAATAGGAGTACTGAACTTTCAAACAGCAAACAAGGGAGGTGGACGGAACGCAATTGGGACGAAATGGGTACTCCCTAAGTTGGGAGGATTAACTAGCTGCCGTTATAATCTCCAAGATACATGCTGCGAAGTTACGCAATTCTCGAGTGAGTGATGCATAGAGCTTGAGTAGAGCAGGAGATACTCACAGCGCCTCCGTCATGCCCTGGTGGGCGCCTCGGTATAGCCCCCATTTCACGCTGTACGAAGAATAAATAGTCAGAATTCTTTTTCAAAGCAGATTATGCGAAGTCCTACGTCGAAATCACGTTGCCCATATAGCCGCTCCCGCTGAAATCGAGCAACGTCTTTCCCGTACCAACATCCGTGATCTTGTAGTCCATCTTGCCCTTGCTGCCGAACGTCACGGTCATGGAATGCTGCGTGACTCTGTCCGTGAAGTCATCGAGAGCGATAGTCGGGCACCCGGATTTTGGACAGATGCCTTGTTTCAGGACGTCTACAATGAATACCTGATCTTTGATCGCACTAAGACCAACGACCGGTTTGTGGATGCCGTCCGTAAAGAGTTGCATGAGGGAGAAAAAGCTGTTGGTTGTGCCTTCCGTATTTAAGGTAGTCAGTCTATGCACGCGTGCAAAACCTATTGTTAAGTGACAAGAAAATCCATACCAGTCTTAGATGACAGGTAGTATTTCCAGCTGTATTTCGCCGTGACACCATCTGAGACGCCGGAGTCAGAGTCAGAAAGCCTCATCCACACCTCTCAGAAAGACTAATACTAGAAGAACGTACCTTTCACCTTTCCTTCATAGAACTCGATCCTCTGTTTGGGTGCACCATTATCAAGCATCTTCGTCGGGTCGTTCGTCTCTTGCAATGTCAAGCAGTTGTCAATCTTGATACTTGAAGGGCACCCTTCGATGATTATTCCTGTAATGGCAGCACAACGGAAGGTTGAGATCAGTATGATCAGCGACTCTGGTAAAACACGGCACATACCAGAGGACACATAGGACATGCCGGCCACTTTTCCCCACTCATCCTTCTTCTGCGTCCCATCAGTAAGAGTCGTTTGTGCCCTCTTTGCGGTTTCTGTGTTAGTGACGACCAATGCCATGACGCCGGGCAAGAGCACGATGGCGGTGTATGTGATCAGATGGGAAAGATTCATGATGACCAGTAGTGAAGGAGACATGACTGGACTCGAGTCTGAGAAATTCAACCATTGAGGGCAGCTGTTTATATACCACCGATTTTGGCTTGCATGCCCAGAGTGAAGAGTCGTATAGACCGACGGACCATGAACGCATGATGTTAGTAGGTGTCACAGCCTCCAGACACTCCAATTTGTATACCAGAAGCACACCAGTCATGATGTCGATGAAACCAGCTGAGATGCTAAGATGCCTGAAACACACAAAGCACAGCCTTCACTAACCGAAACTGGTTGCGCTGTCGTTTTCAAAAACGCATCTAAAAGCTGGCATCGCAGTATTCAATGAATAGTTGAAGTTATTCAACTGAGACCTACACTCTAGATTGAAGTCCGGTATACGTGCAGGAAGACTGACCACGACCGAATCGAGAGCAAAATTTCGTCCCCGAATAAGTTGTACAAGTCAAACAGTCCCTGTCCAAACGCTGAGTCAGATTTATTCACTAGACGCATATGCAGACGCGAGAGTGAGAGAGAATCCACACCAAGTTTGGGTTCCCAGCAAGCGACCCATAACAGTCCATCAAATCATTCTTAAGACCTCTCAAACCACACATCGGCCCTCTCCCGCACACTACTTCCCCTCTCCCTAGCCGTCCTCGCGGTCTTACCCTCCATAAGATCCATGAGACCGAAACCTTGAACTCTCCCTCCATTCTCTTGCTCCTCTTGGCCCCCTACGCCCACGACGAACTCAACTGCCACACCACCCGTACTGCCATCCGACATCGCCTCAAACGGACTCTTATCCCTGCCATATCCCTCCGGAAATAAATTCGTAGCCTCAAGAACGAACTTCTGACCCTCGAGATGAACGAACCGGAGATGGGAAGACCAGAGGCGGGGGAAAGAGGCATAAAGCTCTTTTGCACTGTTTCTCGTGTAGGGTCCGGAAGCTTCCGCGGCGATTCTGTGGGAGTCGACGGTAGTAAAGTTGGACAGTACTTCGGTGCAATATTGCGACGTGCTGTACGCTGTGCAGAGAGTGAAGGAACCGTAACCCGAATTGTTATACGTCCCGGTGTATGCTTCGAGGTTTATGTCAAGTTCGTCTTTATTCACCGCCCGGTTCCTTCCGGTGCCGGGTCGGCGAAGAGAGATGTTCGGTTCTTGAGATGACCACCGCTCAATTTCGATTTGTTCCGTACGATGTTCGACGCCGTCAGTAGTAGGCTCAAGCAGGTTACTAATAATCTTCTGTGTAATCGGGATAGTCGCGACAGATGCCTTGTCGTCCGCGTTGACGAGGACGATGATGCCGAGGCCATCACTGGGCAAGAATGAAATACGTGTCGCAACGCCTGGGATACTGCCGGAGTGAGCCACTACCTGTTCGTTGTTGCAATATCATGGTCAGCAGTTTGGTCTCGAGTTTCATGGTTAAACGAGGGCAAGAAAGGAGGGAGCGGGCACTACAAAGACATACGTCGTGACCAAGGTAAGAGTTCCGCCACCAACCCATTCCGTAGCCTTGGATAGACTCCAGCGCAGAGGAAGGCTTGCCAGTATCAATGACATGCGCCGTAGTAACCTCCTCGAAAGCCGAACGTGGTATTATGGTCTTGTTCGTTCTCGGATCTACGCCCGAATTGAGGAGCGTGCGGACCCACTTCTCCTAAAAGAGGAACAGGCAGTCCAGATTGTCAACCATGAACTTCAACGAGACATAGGAAGGCGGAGGACTTACCAAGTCATCGACGCACGAAATCACACCACCAGGCCCTGAGTTCAACATGATGTTATCGTCACCAAACCATACTGGGATTCTCCTCCCGAATGGTGCCCAGCTCTGCGTGGCTCTCCCCCATCCATTCGCTTCGTTCGCGGAGTACGTTGTGGAGGACATGTTGAGGGGCTTGAAAATGCGTTGGGATACGAAAGAAGTGTATGGCATGTTGGAGTAGGTGGCGATTATATGGGAACCAAGCATATACATCTATACGGAGGAGTGTATATATTAGACGGAGTGTGTTGTGGCATGAGCATTGGTGAGGTAGGACGTTGCAGGCTGCGAGTCGCACCTACCAGATTGTTGTACGCGTATTGGCCCCTCAGCTCGAACGAAGGTTTTAGATACCTCATCTTGCCAATGATCTCAGTAGGTGTCTCTCTCGGTCCATACGACAAATCATGCCTACGACCACACAACCCACATCAGCCAAAGCGTCCGTACTCGCATCACCCCACACGCCGTAGTCGGATAGACGCACCTATACATGCCAGTGGAATGACTTAAGGCATCCCTCACGTTCGCTTTCTGCTCCATCCATTTATCCATGAGCACCCATTCCTCTGGAAGTAGTTCTTTAATCTTCGTATCCCAATCAAAAATGTTCACACCATCCGGGAGAGCGGTGACGTTCCGTCCCTGAGCGAAATCATCCATGAGGATGCCCATGGAGGCGGAAAGAAATGCTTTGGAGCATGAAGCAAGGTACATCGTTGTCTAGTTCACGGAGAAAGTCTGGTAAGCTTCCGATGCAAGATTAACAGAGGTTCTGAGATAGCGTACATCCGTACTCATCATTTCTCCCTCCTCAGACCTAATGCCCCAAGCGCCATACTCGGTTTCTCCAGTCGCATGTACCACACCCAACGCCAACCCAGGTACCCCTCCTTCCTTCATCAAAATTTCGACAAACTTCGAAAATTCAGGTGTGATAGCCTTCGGTATTTTTTGGACTACTCCATCATTTGGCGAAGACGACAGCGGTACTTGAACGTATGACCCCTGCTGGGCATGTACGACAGCACTTAAGAGAGCCTGAACACCCAGAAGTAAGGAGAGGACTTTCAGCATTATCGAGTCCCAGACCTAGCAGGTGAGCCCAGGATCGTTGTAGAGAGGAAGCAAGGAGCGAGGCCGCACCAGCCACATGATAGTTGAACATCAGAGGTGAGGGTCACGATAAGCGCTGGACCAATTTCATTATCTAGCGTCTGAGCGTCAGGTGGCGAGGAGCCCCTGAGCGCGCCACACAAACGAATTGTGGCTCTTCGTACAGAAGTCCATGATAATCCACTCTTTGGCGTAGAACGCGTAGATATTTATGTTACAGAAGGATGCACTATTTACTACATGGCTGAAGTACTCAATTGTACTCTCTTCTGTCTGGCCTCCTACAACCGAGACTGTTCTCATCCGATTTACTCCTTTGGTGTGTCCGCGATGCGATAGGTGATCTTCTGACCGCTCACCTACGAATTGGAAACAATAGTTAACAATAGCTAGGACATCAGCGTTAGTCCTGATAAGTTCGGACGAACCTTCCCATCCATCATGTATCGGAACCCTTCCGAAACGCTAGCCAGACCCTTCGGCATAATCAGCTTCGGCGAAGGCTGCAACTTTCCTGTCGCCAAGATACCATTCGCAAGCTTGAATATTTCCAAACCATTGACAAGGTCCTCTGGTGTAGGGGAGAACGGTCGAGGGAAATCGAAGGACTAGAGTCAAACCAGAACATGAGTGTATTCAGTAAGAGCAATATCGAACGGAAGTCAACGGAAGAGCCGTGTCTCTTACCTTCCCCATCAAATTATACGCCAAACTATTTACCACTTTCACATCACTCCTCCCACTCCCCTCCTTCTGCGGCAAGACCACAGATATTGTCCCTCCCTGCTCTCCTAACGCAGACGCCACCTTCTGCACCGTTCCACCCTCACCCACACAGTCCACCGCATGCCTGAGCCCACCCTTCCCATTCGCAGAGGCCTTGATCTTCTCAATAACTTCCGCATCTCTATAATCAAAAATCTCATCCGCTCCCAGACTCTTGCAGAGCTCGAAATTCTTTGGCGAGGCCGTTGCGATGACATGCAACCCACTCAACTTCGCCATCTGAAGTACATAATTCCCGACTGACGATGCACCGCCCCACACCAAGATCGGAGTGGTATTCGGAGGGGTCGCAGGAGAGAGGGGCGTTGGGAGCCCGACTTGAGATTCCCAGAGCGTTTGACATGCGGTGAGCGGTGCGACGCCGAGCTGAGCTGCGTCTTCGAAGGACCAAGAGCCTGGGACATGAAGTACGCGGTCGGCGAATGCAACGGCGTACTCTGAGAAAGCACCATTCGGGTAGCGACCTGACCCGACAATATGGACAATAAAGCAGAGGGATGATCAACTTTATATCGACGAGTAGACAAGAATAAAGGAGCGCACCGCCATGGATCATCGTCGCCACACGTTCTCCGATAGTTCTCAAACCAGGCTGCACATCAGGTCCAATCTCCTCCACTGTTCCCGCTAAATCGCATCCCGAGATAGCTCCCGCTTTCTTTCCGTTCGTCGCAGTTTTCCTTTGCCACGTTCACCAATGCCCGCCACCACCATAGAGTCAATACCATCTCTTCTTGGTTTCACTAGGAAAGATGCATGGAGATACACTCACCAATCAGTAGGATTTTGCGCGGCAGCGACAACCTTGATCAGTATCTCTCCCTTCCCTGGCTTGGGCACGTCTACCTCTTGCACTCCGACCGTGCCATCTGCATTGACGACGACTGCTCGTTGCTTGTTTGGTGCCATGGCCTGTTCTCTTGCAGAAGATGGAAGGTAAAACGGTGATGATAGTGGTGAACGAAGTATGAGATCGATGAGAAAGTGAGCCGATGAGATATGGTCTGATACGCAGACTGGGAGGGAAAGCGATCCTATTTATGTTGACGGTGAAGATGTTCATCCCTCACATCCCACACCCACAACAACAACCAAAAGCCATGTATGCTCTTACTGCACGCGCTTACTGATCTGGAGAACAGCTCGAATAGTGGGTCGTAGACGCTGAATAACGTCTATCAGTCATCCTGAGTAAGCACTGAGAGCACGAAGCGATAATTATTTGTTTGATGAGAGCAATGAGAGCACGAACGGCAAGGGCACAGGAGCACAGTTTCGGCGGGCCTGGTACCGTCGAGAATGTAGGAACAAGACATACATAAGGTATTGCCAAGAATGCAGCAGGCGTTTGAGGTTGTGGGACGGTTTCGCCGCCGGGTCACCCGTCGAGGATACCAAGTGGATACCACCGTTGACGTCTAACTTTTAAATAAGTCATTACTCGGTCCTTGAAATCCGCAGCACCGCCAGGGAGCTTACCGCATCCGATATAGAGATCGTTACTTTGTTTAAATCTGCCCACTCTGCTCGAAGTATTAGGGATGCTTGCCAGCGTTGACGGCTCGCAACTTCGCCAGCACGCTGATGATTGTCCAGGAGCATCCAAGAAAGCCCAAACAACCAGAAGCAAAGAGAGGACTTTCTGCATCATACTCGACAATGATACCCGAGCATAGTTGATGCGCCCATGATACGTAGAGAGACCGGGCAGGAGAGGAGATACAAGACGGTAACCGCATGATTGTGGTCAAGAACAGCTTCAACTCGCGCTAAGCGCCGGACCAATTTCGGCGCTTGTTTGGGGAGGAGTGCGCCACAGTTGTGGCTCTCCAAAACGAAAACCAGGACAAGACACTGAAAGCACTGGAAGTAGTACTAGTCCATTTCTCTTTGTAGATCAGGATGTATGACTACTGATTATTTTATAGAAAATTCACTATTCTCCAATAGTCACTGAGCTTGGCAGTGAACTCTCTTCCGTTTGCCCCTCCCTCACGGTCCGCTTTCATCGAACTCATGCCTTCGGCGTATCCGCAATACGATAGGTGATCTTTTGGCCGCTCACCTACAAAATGTGAGTCATGGTCAGTTAGGACATCCCTGCTAAATTCTAATGAATGCAAACGAACCTTCCCATCCATCATGTATCGGAACCCTTCCGGAACGCTAGCCAAACCCTTAGGCATGATCAGGGTCGGCGAAGGACTTAACTTTCCTGTCGCCAGAATATCGTTCGCAAGCTTGAACATCTTCAAACCATTGGCCACTTTTTCAGGCGTAGGGGAGAACTTTAGAGGGAAATCGTAGGCCTAGAGTGTTCAAACACGAGAATGGTCAGTATCAGTGGTACACTGGGAGGGAGTCGTATGAAGAGTTGTATCACTTACCTTCCCCATCAACTCATACGCCAAACTCCACACAGATTTGACATCACTCCGCCCATTTCCCTCTTTGCTCAGCGGCATGATCATCGAAATCGTCCCTCCCTGCTCTCCTAGCGCAGCAGCCGACTTCTGCTCCGTTCCACCCTCACCTACACAATCCATCGCATGTCTGAGCCCACCCTTCGCCTCCGCAGATTTCTTAATCTTCGCAACGACCTCAAGATCTCTATAATCGAAGACCTCATCCGCTCCCAATTTCCTACAGAGCTCGAAATTCTTTGGGGAGGCCGTTGCGATGACATATAACCCAGACAGCTTCGCCATCTGAATCACATAGTTTCCGACTGACGACGCGCCGCCCCATACCAAGATCGGGATGGCATTCGGAGGGTTTGCAGGAGAGAGGGGCGTTGGCAGTCCGACTTGGGACTCCCAGAGCATTTGACATGCAGTGAGCGGTGCGACACCGAGTTGAGCTGCGTCTTCGAAGGACCAAGAGTCTGGGATATGAAGCACGCGGTCGGCGAATGCGACTGCATACTCTGAGAAAGCGCCATTCGGGTAGATCCCTAATTCAACAACGAAATGGGACAGTTAGGGCTTGTATCCTGAAGAGGAAACGAGAGAAAGAACGCACCACCATGTATCATCGTCGCCACACGCTCTCCAACACTTCTCAAACCAGGTTGCACATCAGGTCCAATCTCCTCCACCGTTCCCGCTAAATCACATCCCGAGATAGCTCCCGCTTTCTTTCCGTTCTTTACCGATTTCCTTCATCACATTAATAGACAACCGTCTAGACTCAGCATAGCCCTTGCTTTCATTGAGTATGGACGGACGAAGATGTACTCACCAGTCGGTAGGATTTTGCGCGGCAGCGGCGATCTTGATAAGTATCTCTCCCTTCCCCGGCTTCGGTACGTCTACCTCCTGCAGCCCTACTGTTCCATCTGCGTTGACGACGACTGCTCGTTGCTTGCTTGGTGTCATGGCCAGTTGTCTTGTAGAAGAAGCAAAGGTACGAGTACTAGCCTGCTGTTGGTGATAGCGAAGAACAAAGGACGAGAGAGTGAACTGGCGATGAGATGGTCTGATGCGCAAACTGAGGGGGAAAGCGGTCCTATTTATGTTGTGGATGAAGACGTTCATCCCGTATGTGCCACGACATCGACCAGGTCACCAGCCAGAAGATATGTAATTTATGTTCTTACTAGAGTGTACGCGCTTACTGATCCAGAGAAGAACTGTAATAGTAGTAAGTCGTCGACGCTGATTAACGCTCGTCGGTCATCCTGAGTAAGCACCGAGAGCACGAAGCAATAGTTATTTGGTTGATGAGAACAACGGGAGCGGAAGAAAGACACAGCTTCGGTCTGTTAGGGCACTGATAGGGCCTGGCAATAAGACATGTGATGTTGTAGACTCGTGAATCAGTCCTCGAAGAAACAGAATCTGCAACAGCACGTCGATGTTGGTAGCTCAGACGACTGACTTTGAGGACAGTAAAGTCGCCCTAGCCTCTAGGGATTGGTTCGAGTCTGACATGTATGCCGTCGGACGGCACTGAGAATACGGCATTTGACCGTGGAAAGCACCTGCCACATTGGGTCAGCCACTCATCGAAGATGTGACGTCTAACTTTCGAATGATTTGTTGTTCAGTCCTTCAGAATTGCAGCGTTCTCCAGAAAACCGCTACCAATTTGACAGAGCGCGCTACTTTGCTGTGCTATCCAGTGTTTTTGAAAGGATTCAGTATACTTACAGTGGCAGCATTTTGGGCCACACTGGCCTGATGATTGTCCTCACATTGACTCAAGTCACCAACGTCTACACAGGAAACAGACTATAGTGGGTACAATCATCCACCTTCCCGCGGGACGATTGTCTAATTTTGCAACTTTTTATTAACCTTACACGCGGGTTACAGGAAGATAATATTTACTGGTCCTGTTTCCGTGAAGTCCGTCCCGCCAGGTCCTGCGCCCCGCGAGACGATGGATGGCGGTAAGCATACACAATCAGATCGTCCTCGCCTTCCCAAATCCTTAGGCACTCATTCCGTCAAGTCAACGGCCACACCCACGCCCATCGGCAGCCCCTATTCACCCTTCCCGCTGTTCCGTATGCCGTAACTGTCTCTCTTCTCTTCTCAAGATCACCATCCTCGAGCATCCAACGTGCTGCAACATCACATCCGTTTCTGGGATACCCAAGAAACCAGGCCCCTTCCTGCCTCTCGACGCTCTGAATTCGAACTTGACTCGATCGGGAAGGGAAGCGACTTCATCCGTTCAGTGTTCACCACTTAGCTATAGCATCCGCTTCCGCTCCGAGTCGACTGATCGTCCGTAACTCTAAACATCTAAAACGTGGTGTGCGTGTCTTCCTTGCTCTTGGTATGTCAGGTATGTGTGTCCCCGACACGCTGTAGAGGGCTGCTTCGAGATAAGCCTGAGCAGTCGGAGAGTCTGCGGTGGTAGTGTTCTCACAGACTGTTCCGAGGGTACCGTGCATTATCGCACTGAACGAGGCGGAATATAGGAGAGTGCCAAATGTGAAGAAAGAAGATCCTCGGAGGCTTCGTGCTGCGACAGTTGAGTTTGCTCGAGTCTTACTCAGTGAAGCAGCGAAACGGCCATGCCATTACTGCACTCGATCGACTAAACGATTGCATACCCTGAGCGGGCAAGACCTCAGCAGTGAGTAAGTAGACAGGCCATCCAACGATCATGACCATGCAGAGTAGAATAGACGAAGGCAAGAGAGCCTTTCCTCAGCCGCTTCCGGCTGTCCGAGACAAGTTCTGCAAAATACCCGTGATTCTCTCGATCCCAACCACGACGGCTCTCCACAATGTTCCACAATCCGCTAGAGAATTGTGAATAACATAGCCTGTAAGCCACGTCGTGTCGTCCGCACGTTGATGCGACTCTCCCGCATCTCGATCTCGCCGAAGACAGTTCCAGTTCCTTCACAAGTAATCAAGTGCCGGAAACGCACGGCTTCCGGATACGGCCAAGGCGAATATTGACACGGCGAAGTGGAGATAAGATGGAACAGGAAAGTCGCGAGGCGTCCGGGTACTCAGGCTGTTACCGTGCGTAAAGCTGAACAATATCGAGTTGCGCGTTGTCCTCATGTACACACTGATACAGATAGACAGGCCACATCTTGCGTCGAGATTGTGTTCAAAACAAGACGCCAAGTATCGCGGTCAATATAACATTGACGCACATCACCTTTCGACAGAGCTTCTGCGTGCACAGCGGAGCTTCCTGTACAGGAAAGGAGAGAATATAAATTGACGAGCGTTCTAACGTATTCTCGAAGGTAGTTTTTTTAAACCATGACCTCAGAAAGAAGGCAGAAGGGTAACTAACGTCTGCAACATTCGCTCATCCATCCTCGTAAAGGGCGCCCGCAGATACGTAACACGAGGCAAACGCTCAAGCATGCAAGAGTCGGACTTGGAACAAACATGCATTATACACGTTTCCGTTATCTATGCGAACGACGCGGTGATAAAACACGAACACGAACAAGGCGACAAGACGACAAGATCAAGAACAGGCTCATCAGCAAGTGGCAGAGATGCAGTATGTCAGTGCGTAGTCTCGAGCGAATGAGGTCGATGCGATATCTGCCAAAATAAAAACACGCTCGGTGACACAACGTTAACGAGAACATTTAGCTCACGGCGAGACGTACGTTGATAGCGAGCTATGACTTCACCACCTCGACGCGTTTAAACAATTGAAATGGCGTTTGACACTGCCCCAGTCGTGTAAACCTTTCCGGCAGTCGCAATGTGCCAAGGTACTGGGACGACCCATTGCTATCGGCTACAACATGGTTATTTCGAGGGTGTGGAGAATGTGTCCTGATGGAAATGTCGAGAAGATTGTGTATGAAATCGGATATAAAGATTAATAGTGCACTGTGGGGAACGAAGGACGTCCTCTTCTTAAGCGGCAGGTCTGTGTACGTCCAGTATCCTTGTGATCGCCCAAACCAGAACCGAAGTTGATTTGCATGAAGACATACATTATATCGCTTGTCTCCTATGAACTTCATACTTCATACCACAAAGCTTCTCTACGTACATCCCCACCCGTATACCTCGGACAAACCGAGCTCAGAGCGCCAACGAGGCCTCTGAGACGAGTAAACGCGGTCGCCTCGTGTTCCTTCCCGAAGCCATACCTCGACGTATGATCTCGTACTTACGACCCTCAAGGCCTGTCGGGGACGTAAGATAAGGAACGCAAAGCTTTAGGAATTTCATATACGCAGACCTTGAAGGATGGTCGTGTGAGCGTTCGTCATTCAAAGCGGAAAGGACGCTATGTCGTTGGCTGAGAAGTTGAACATGCAGCAATAAGAATGGCGGCCATCTTGCATGCACAGAGAGTAGATGGGTACAGAAGGTATTCGCCTGTTCTCACCGGCAATGCACGCCAGGGCAGACAGGGGAGGCTCGCTTGTACGATGGCGGAGATAGGTGAGCTCGTGGTGAGAGAAGAAGGAAATACGAATCGAAGGTGAGGAACGAGTATATTCTTCGACAAGGAAGTGTAATATCGTGATCTGTCTCGCCCACGGGATAATCAAGCAAATATGCAGACCCATATTTGTGCGTTTTTAGGGCGGCCCATGCTGTATCGATCTCAGTGGAGTGGCGAGACACTGAGGTGACCCTCCATCTCCGGCGAGGTCACAACAAACGAAGAAGATCCCCATCTTCGTTCTTTCGTTATGCTCCGGATATGGCTCAGTGGCTCACCGATGTAAGAATGAACCAATGCATTGTAAGTTCAAGTCACGAGAGCCGTCCATACGAAGGACAGCTGACGGTGATCGTTGGTGCTCGAACAGCAGAGTAGCGGAGCCGGATAATTCATAGTCTTTAGCCTATGTGCTATGAGGTCAAGTTGAAGCAAGCGCTGACGAGTGGCTCCAAGGTCTCGTAGAGAGTGGAAACTGGTCGCGCAGCGTTTTACCTCCGAGGAGACCATGAGATGCTGCCGCTAAATGTAGCGCAGACTGTGTGGGTGAGTGTCTGACGAGCGTTTCATGTAAACACTTGCCGGGATTTCGCACAGGCTGTGCTGGCGGCATGCCTGGGCAAAGGGCATAGGGTGGTATGGAGAACAGTCGTGTGCGTACGGTTTCGGTCACCGCACCGATATTTCAACGTGAAAATGGCCGTTACGTCCGGCGAAGGCTTGAGACGGTCTGTCTGAGCGTTGGAGTCGCAGTGACCTTTGCGATCTAGCAAAGGACTTCAGGAAGGCCAGCAATCGGAGAAAATCACAGACAGCAGGAGATCTGAGGGCGATGATGGGAAGGAGAGCGCGAGAACGCCGAGGTTGTCAGCAATCAAGGGGAAGACCGGACGCCGTGCTCCCGGTAAGGAAACCTTATAATTAAACTGTATAGCGGGTGAAGCTGCGGAAGCAAAAAGCAGAATTGTGTGACAGTGTTTTCGTTCACTGTGCTGGGGATGGAAGCAGATGTGCCAGACAAAGCGGGGTGCAGCTTGGGGCAGATGGCCGGGGAGAAAGGAAGCAGACCGATGAAAGACAAGCTGGCCAGACATGTGGCGGCGAATACGCGCCTTCCGGAGTCATATCTCGAGTGTCCAAGAAAGGCAACTGTGCCCAGGGGTATAAAATGGCCAGCCCAGCCCGTCCGGATGATTTTCACTTTGCCCCCGTCTCCTTCATGCGACGTTAGATTTCTCTATAACTTACGATGCTCACGCTCGAGCCTTGCTCGCTGTGCGATGTCTGCGCGGACGATTTCGGTCCTCGTAATCTGCCCCATTCCATCCCCTGTGGTGAGCTCTTTTTGCAATTTTTTTAATTGTCTTTTCCCGTACCTTTTTCGGCCGAAAATTTTTCACTGACGATGTACGCGGTGTCCGACAACAGGCCATGTATTCTGCTTGAAGTGTTGCAACACTATCATCGAAAAAGCCACACCGCGCACGCCATCCGCCGTCTGTCCTTTCTGCCGCGAAACGTTTACGCGGGAAACCATCCGTTTAATCCGTATCGACTTTGGCGGCAGCCCAAGTACCAGCGGATGGTCCACTCCCCGACGAAGTCCACGCAGCCCGCGTGCACCACTCATCGAGGACGATTTTCCCAATGACCTCCTTCTGAAAGCCTCCTTGCCCACCTTACCTGACGACGTTGAGGCCAGAGCTCGAGCTGAAGCCCGACGGCTTGAGAACAAGGTCGCTCGTCTCGCCGCAAAAAAGTGCTCTGTCGACGAAGTCCAATCCCTTCACAAGGAGGTTGAGGCCTGGCTTTCCTCCGACATCAGCAGCAGCGACTCCGTGCGTCTCACCTCTTACTGTCTCCTCCAATTTCCATTACAACTGACACCCCTTCCCATCGATAGTCGTCATCGCTTTATCTTAGTGGCCTCCTTCTCCGTGCCATCATCCAGAACCACATCACCTTCTCTGACGCTACCAAAGCAGCGAAGGCTCGGATTGAGGAACTCGAGAGGGACAAGGCCAGACTTGAGATGGAATTGCAGAGGTACGTCTCCCTTCACTTCTGACTCGACATCCAAACACACTCTGACTAAGGCTGTCCCCAGAAAATCGCAGCACCCCCAAAAGGCTCTAGATGGCCACAGCAATCGCTCTGAGCTAGGTCACTTCCGAACGAAGTCCGCAATGCCGACCACTTCCCCTACTCGACCATCCATTCCATCATCCGCCACATCCACCGCATCTCACCACGCCTTCCCACCGCCCATGTCCCGCGCAATGTCACATTCTCCACCTAGCTCGCGTGTCGCATCGCCGACTTCCACCGCTTCCCACCAATTCCTCCCCTCCGCCCTTTCTCGACTCACCAGTCTCTCGTCGAGTCATGGTCTCGGCCGGTCCGCTTCCGTGGCCCCTCCTCACCGTACCTCTACTCCGGGCGCGCCCTTGCGCTCAGCGACACCTGCTACGCCCTCTTCCACCTCGACATCCCCTGTCCGTGCACCCTTGCCCCGCAAACAACGCACGCTCTCCATGTCCGGTGGCACGGCACCCTCGTCCATCTGGTATCCCTCGACCGCCCCTGGTCTCAGACCCCCCGCTCCATCCGGCGGAGTTGGAGCAAAGCCCTTGGGCCCGCGCCACGCCACGCCCACTTCTTCCGTTCGCGGTTAATTCTGGATCGCAGCTATCAAGGCATTTGTGCTTGTCATGATGCCGATCGGAGTTGTGTTTTCTCCAGGCCAGTGCGTTTTTTTGGCTGAGATGCTCCGCAAACACCCTTTACCCTGCCTGGACGTGTGCACGATGGACATAAACGCTGTCATCATCGCTATTTCTATACCCGGCCCATGATCGTCGTCTTTTATATAGCCTTTTGCTTAATACGGTACACGACAGCTAGTCTTTCGACCACGACCGCGCGTATTTTCCTGCTTTTTTCTCCCCTCTCTCTCTCTTCTCTCTTTACTGTACATACATCGGAATTTTCTGTGCAATAGTTGGGCGGTGGGCTGAGCGCCCTTTTTGGTGTTTGTTTTTTTACTTACAGTTCTCGATGTGGACTTGGGTTTTTGTCCAGTACTTATTCCATTTTGACATCTTTCAGACTGTTTATTCCTGTTTCTCTTTGTCTTATTTTTCGCCCATCTCTTCCCTGTTTGTTCTGTTTGTTGTGTTGACTGACAATTTCTCCCTCCTCTTCTCGTCTCGTTGCGTTCCACGCTCTCGGCTTTCTCGTGAACTTATTCAACTTGTAGCCACAGCCTTTCCCCTTCTCTGTCTCTTCTTCTTCTACATCGTCTCCTCTCTTCGTCGTCCTCCCTGTCCGATTGTCATCTCATTGCCTGCTCCCCCATCCCTCCCCAGCCTCTCTTGCGCATCTCCCTGTTTCCGCTTTCGTTATCCTCATCTCCCTCTCGCCATCCCAACCTAATGGCCTCCCCTGCCCCCGCTCCATGCTATCGTTAACGTCCTCTTCATGACCGCATCTCACGTCTTCACGCTTCGCCATCACAGCCATGGCACCGGGAAACCCGCTTACCACCGTCAACCTTCACTCTCCATACCATACCACAGCGTATACACTACAACTCTCAGACACCGACATCCTTCTCCCTATCTCGACTGCATGCATTGCATACCTACTTTAGAAATACCCACCATAATTATCCTTCTCTTTTTCGTTTCGTCCCCGTTCTCGTTTCAACTCTACTCCAAGCCGTGTTTTGTAGTAGTACTGACTTGTCATCTCTTATCTCTTACTTTCCGAGGAGGGGAGAGGAAGGATGTGTGCTGGGAGAATCTGAGCGATCGGACAGACGGACGGACGGGTGGGAGGGAGAAGAGTGTGGGTTTTGGATCGGGTTGGTTTAGGTGTTCTGTTGCTGATTTAAAGTTAGTGGGTGGATGAGTTGGTTGTTGTTTCGCAGGTCCTTGTGTCGGTTTTCCCTGCTACTGTTCGCTGTTCTCGTACATACTAATTCATACCACGTTACGTTACGCTACCCAAACGCTCCGCTACGAACCCGTTCCCTTGCTTTCTGCAACTGCTCTTGCTTTTCGTGTTCGTGTTCGTGTTTTAGATCCTGCCACGTTATAATACACTGCGGATCTTCGTTATGATTACTTTATACCCCTCCGTGCGTGCATGCACAGTGCACACGACCATCGTTGCTTCGTTGCTTTAAGTAAAGTGGGATTGCATCAGGGCACAGCAAACTTGTCTGTCAGTGGGTAGGACACAAAAAACAAAAGGTCGACAGATGGCAAAAATCGATTGTCAAGATGGCGAGATCGTGTGGCGCCGCGCCCAGCCTAATACAGATCAGCGTGGGATAAGTGGGCTTTGCGCTTTGAAGTTAGATGAACCAAGTGCGGGACGGGAACGAGGCAGCAACTATATTGATGTGGCGCTCCGGCGCACGCGAGCAGCCATGTCTGAGTTGTTGAACAGCTGAACGAGTCGGCTCTGAATCTGATGCTTCGATACTCATTCTCATCTAACACATCTCATTGTAAGATAGTAATTATTTCGCATATTTTATAGTACAGTGACCGGCGCACTGACATCATGGTCAAAGATGGGAGATTCTGCTCGGATCGGATGAGGCTCTGCCAGTAGACTCTGATTCAGAATAGCCAGCTGAGTTAAGACCTTTTATAATTCCGAGTCATCGACGCGGACCCATTCACTCGTCGGAGTACTGATAAGCACACAAGATCCGCTCGATGCGAGTACGATGGTGCAGTTTCATTGAGGAGGCTGCATCATGGTGGAGGCGTGGCGTCACGAACTTGGTAAGTGACATGGTATATTTTTCCACGGGTCCATGCGCAGGACTCCTCACAGATCGAGATTCCATCCATGTAGCCCACTATGTGTGCGCGAGGTGTTTCATTAGAACGGTCAGAAGTCTACCAGTGAGTTACCTACCTATCTCTAGCGTGTGTCCGGATCCGGTCTGCCTGTGGAGACGCGAAACGCACTCAGTACCTCGCCCAACCGTCACAGAAGGCACTAGCTTGGCTGTGCATCCGCCGGAAAGACATTCACAAGGGTGGCTCAGAGTCAGGCCCATCGATCTCTCTCTCCTGCCTTCTCCATCAAAACATGGTAGATCAATCGAATCCGGGCCACCCCTTGTCCTATCCCGAATGATCTAGTCAACACTGGGTAGTGGCACGTTCGAGCATTTCCGAGCAACAGCGGCACCTGCCTGCATTGTCGAGGCCTCTTATCGTTTCGAATGCCTTCGACACTGACTGTAGCCGCCAAAAAATGGAGTTAGCAGTGCCACGGTGATTGTAGACGATGTGCCGAATCAACTGCGCGAGGTCACTAGTTGTGTCTAGGTGGTCCATCGCGTCTCACGAAACTGGCGATATCCACGAAGTCGAAGACGGGATCGCATCTTGACCCTCCGATACAGAAGTCCAGACATCGCATTGCGAGGGACATCTAGATCTACTCCATCATCTAACATCTGGGGACTCTACATCCGAACCGAGAGGCTCAAAGCAAAGACTTCTGTCACAGAAGTCCGATGTCCGACCGCACTTCGCCTCCCCAAGGCCTCAAGCCTCAAGCCTCAAGACCGAAGGGTGCGCGCCGCGCAAATCATGCTGAGCCTAATCCAGTCCTTCGGAGCCTTCAACCGTCAATTGGAGGTAAGTGCCTCGTCGCATTGCCGCTAGTAACCTTTCTGCGCCACCGCACGAACTATGTCAGGTGGGTGCTCAGCGGGATGGATTTGGCAAGAGGATTAGAGAAGAAGGTATGGGGGTGGTTGAGATGGATCCGAAATGAATAGAAGGCGGTGCTATACAGGCTCATTTCGTAGCGCCGTCTATTCCACGGACTCGCGGCTCCGGACTAGGTGATAACAATGAAAATAATCACCCAACGATCACATACCAGAGAGACCATTAGGGGAGTCCACGATAGCCGTTTAAACCTGCGTTTAATCCCACGTTTAAGACCGCAGCGCGGCTTTGGGGCTTAAACGCACGCTTAAACGTCGGTTTAAACGGTATCGTGGACTCCCCTATTGACAGTAGCAAATGGGACACCCTCCTCGAATTCATTCTCAGGCATCTGTCGAGGTGCAGCAATCTCCATAACCGCATTTCTCCTGCCAGCACAGTAAAACCTGACCCACGAACGAGCCGGCACCATAGCGCTGCTCGTCGAATGGAGCAGGAGGATTGCGGGCCAGCGCGATGTTGACATCAAACATCCGTATCTCATACCAGCTGTCAGACTCGTTCACCTGCACTGTAATGTCCTTTAGAGACCTCTACGCCACGAGTGCGATGGCCAGTGAAATCGAAGTATTCGCCGCCGGACCACCAGGGGATGATAAGTCAGAGAACCTAGTTCGCAATCGACATAGGAATAGCGAAACGACCGATCGTTGGCTTCAAAATCTGCCTAGCAGGTTACTTTGGCGGAAGAAGATGTATGAGATGTACGCCATCCTTTCTCGTCCATTGTGAGTACGGAATCCTCGATATGCTTCAATGACCATATTTTACTCTTCTCGTCTGGCATGCAATCCATCATAGACTGGAGGTCGGGATTGGCACAGGCTTCAGCAAGTATTTTTTTTGCGGTCAATAATGGTCGCCTCTTGCGCCAAAGGTCCCTTCGGGAGGGATTGAGAGGGTGATGCGAGGGAATGACAACAGAGTCCGATCATCTAACATCCTCGTCGATGAACTCTGCAACTGAACCGGGCCAATAAGACACAATCAGGCCTCAGGTAAGGATGAGCACATGGTAGACGGACACAAACCTAGCCGCGGGATTACACGCTGCAGTTGATGTTGTTGTCTTAAAATTCAAACTCGAAGAAGACAATCCTTCCGCTTCGCTATAGATTCCAGCTGGTTGCAAAATCGTAGACCGCATGAGGATCGTGGCATGAGTAAGAGCCGTGAAGCAAGAGAGGTATGACGACGGATCCTACGTGCAAGGGAGAAACGACTTATCGCCATCTCATCCATCTCTAATCCATCCATCCGCGACATCAGCGCTCAATCTCTGACACTCTTGGCCCATTCACGGTCAGGGAACATGCATAACATATCGAACGTGTATTGAAGCTCATATAGGACCTGGGCAAGACCCGAGAATGGTTTCCCGACAGGGGTTCGAGGTAGAGATCCGCTCCTGGCGGGAATACATGCTCGGATGAAGCCCAGAATCATGGACACGGTTGACTTATTCATAGAGCGAAGGCAGAACTAGCTCACAGAACTAGAATTGAAGAGAAAGCGGACGTGGCCTCGAGGATACCCCTGTGCCAATCGTGCGAGCGCCACACGGAAGAAGAGAACGACCAGACTTCCAGAGCCACAATCTCACGCACGAAATGCAACATCGAGCCATTTATCTCGATCATCCATTCATTAGCAACCCAGCGTAGCGGGATGATGCGTGCGTGCTGAGAGCCATAGTGATTTTGAGGCATGGAGGCGAGGCATCATGATACATGGGTGGCATAAGAATATCCCAATGAGAGGTAAGGGTAGTGAAGAATGGAACGACGAGAGCGAAGACAAAGCACGAGATGATGCTGCTTAACGGCCACCCTTGCCGCCCTTCGCACCCTGTTTCGAGACGTTCTTCAAGCCAGCAGGTGCAGCCGCACGCGTAGGCTATAATCATCAAAGGAACAAGATGGATCCGCAGGTAATTAGCTTCCCTCCACCAGATCACAGGTACGAGGCGTACCTTCGGCTTCTTGGACTCCTTCTCCTTCTTCTCTGCCTTAGCCTTCGTGATGGCGGTCAACCTCGCCTGAGTACGGGCCTGAGCAGTTTGGTTGCGCTTGGCGGCGATGGCGGCGAGGTCAGCACCGACGATACCACGCTGATGCTTCACGGTCTTGCGCGAGCGCTTCTTAGCGACCTCCTCTGTGATGCCCTTCTTGTGCATGCGGCGGTAGAGTTGTGTCCAGGCGATCTTACGCGGATTCTTGCGCTGGAGGAAAAGGGATTCATTCTTCGAGGCAGCAAAGCGGAAGATCTGGAGAGTTTCGCTGTGATGAGCTGGTGATCTCTAAGAGTACCACGGGGGGAGATGTGAAGCAAGCATACCTTGCTATCGCCACGGATGAAGAGACGACCCTTGGAGGGGTAGATACGGAAGCCGGAGAACGAGTCGATTTCGACCTTCTGCACTCCACGAATCACATAGTTCAGCAAACGAAACCGCTGTGTAGCCATGATACAATACGCACCATCTGTGATAAGAACAAAGACCCAAAAGTTCGTCAGCCTGCAGTCCTCGTTCTACCCGTCATCCAACCTGCCGAACACCCATCCAACCTCCCAAAACACAACCATACGTCTCCCCTCTATTGCATCACAGAATCCTCCGCATGCGCATCCTGGGGTGTTCTGAAGGCATCAAACGTGAATTCTGCTCACCTGGACGGATTTTGGGCTGTCTTGAGGGTTTACTTGCCGGCGCTTGGCTGGCGGTGAGTCTCTCTGCCACCGTCGGAGTTCGCCTCGGCATTTGCCGGATTATGGGCGTCTGTTGACGCGAGCTCGCCTTGAGCTCGCTCGTTCTCTCGCGCTCACGTCCACCTATATCCACAGTTTCATTATGATCATGCTCAAAGACTCTTCTTGCCTACACTTCCCCCAAGTCACCAAGTAGCAATGTATCCAAAGCACATCGGTACTATGGTGGCATGTCTCCGTGATCGACGTAAGCATCAAACGCCCGTACAAGTCAAACTTCAAGCTTCAAAGCTTCACGACCCGCCGTGCGTATGTCCGCATTGGAGGTTTACATTGTGCCTGTTTGTCAGACTCTTGATCTCCATGTCATATTCTTCCCTGGTCCCGTCTGTGGCTAGTCGTTCTCACCACATCATCTGTGGCGTCTATGGCGTTGCGGCACGCGTCGACCAATGCATCAAATCTAAACACTCTGCTACATGACTATCGGCGCTCCATTGTCGATAATTCCCGAAACACATGCACCTGTGTAACTGGATAAAGCTCTTGAGCTCGTCGACAATCACGCAAGATACGTCGATATCGTCTCACGATAACGCGCCATAACCGGTGACCTTCGCGAGTTCACCGAATAGTCACTGACTTCAGAGACTTCAGTTGTGCCAGACGGCGCCGACCCGCTCTTTCCCATGGAAGCATCCGTCATGAGAACCAAAACTGCATGGATTGCATGTTATCGGTCTGGCTCTTTCACTGATTGTCAGTACGATAGTAGTATAAGAGCCACCTTCTCGACAGTGGATTGATGACGGGTGGTGCTTCGCTTCTTGTCTTCTCTCTGTCCACTACACTACCTGCTGTTTAAAGTGACATCCATGACCAGTTATATGGATGAGAAGCCAAGTGTCAAGCGGACGTGGCGGTCGGTGATCTGGTGTGTATCAATACGACTTCTTATCCTGTATCAGATTGGCTAGAGGCTGACGAGGTAATATTCAGGGATAACGAGTAAGGTCGATTGTTATTGCCCATAGAAGCTGGAGTCCCTAACTGTTTTGTTCTTATGATCGAAGCGCTGATCTGAAGAGTCCTGAAGAGCGTCGCTTGGTGTTCAAAATTGGTAAGCCGCGGTCGTTCTACTGGTCCCAACCTCGCCTAGTGGACTGACCTTTGTGTTTTATTAGACTGCACGATTCTTATCTACGCATGTCTCGGCGAGTTCTTGAAGCTTCTTGACCAGGGCAACTTGGTAGGTTTTGCCTGTGACATCGTCGAGTCTACGGCAGTTCACAGTCATTCCAGAGTAACGCCTACATTTCGGGCATGAAAGAAGAGGTACGCCTTCAAAACCTGCCTTGTTTATCAACAACACAAACAAAACGCTTACGTTTTTGACTTCAGATCAATCTCACCGGAAATACAGTGCGTTGATATCCCCCCCCCCCCCCTCACCGAGTGAGCTACGCCACCTCACGCCTTGCCAAGTACAATACTGCATCCTCCATGTTCTCTGTTGGTAAGTTGATTCGAATCGCGTACCATATGCCCGAACATGCTCAGTGTCCAAAATCATGTCAGGCTATGCAATAGGGATCATACCCGCCACCCTTCTCCTCACCAAGTTCCGTCCTTCTATCATTCTCCCGATCGCCGAGCTCTTCTGGGGTACCGCAACGCTCGCAACATGTGCTGTCAAGACGCCCGCTCATCTAGCTGCATGTCGATTTGTGTGTTTCTCCTTAACCCCACAGTCGGACTTGAATACAACAGCTGATACATACGTCCGTAGTTCGTTGGACTCTCAGAAGCACCGTTCTATACTGGTCTGGTCGTCATTCTCGGGACATGGTATAGTGTGTTCTACTCTTGCACATAATTGCTTGTCTTCTTTGGTATTCATCGAAGCTCTGTCGATATCATGATCTCAGCTCCAGCAGAACAAGGCAAACGACAGTCCATCCTCTTCGTGATGGCCCAAGTCGGAAATCTATTCTCTGGATATCTCCAAGCTAGTGTTTATCATCTCGGTGGCGTCAGTGGAATGAGTGGTTGGAGGTGTGTGTCTGTTATCCGCCCCGGCTTTCTTCGCCTCCTTCGAAAAACACTCACTACCATCTCGTAGATGGCTATACGTCATTGACGGCTGCATGACTATCCCCGTACAGCTCCACTACCAATATATCCCTACCGTTCCGCCCCCTCTACTGACACCTCCGCCAAATCCTCTAGATCGCCCTCCTAGGTTTCCTAGTCTTTCCCGACACCCCAGCTGCCGCTCGTTCCTTCCTCTTCGATGCTTCCGAACGCGCCCTCGCCACCACACGCGTACAAGCCGCTCGCATTGCCCAGCCGACAGGCCATTTCATCCGGTGGAACGTGATCAAGAAGGCTCTGATGAACAAGTATTATTGGTTATTCGTATTGGGGTATATTTTGTATGGGTTGAGCACGCAGGCGTCGTCAACTTGGTCCGTGTCGCATTGAATTTCATGACTTTCAGTAAATGGTTAGTTGACGCGATTGATTAGGTTCGGTGTTTGGCTGAAGTCAGAAAACTACTCAGTTTCTGTGAGTCGAATAAAACATACCCCTTCGCGCATCTCATTCATTACTCCCTTCCATTTTCTTCTTCACTGCACCTATCAGCTCCGCAACATAATCCCAACCTGTACCAACGTTGTCACCATCGTGTCCGTCCTCACCTTCGGCTGGATCTCCGACATCTACCGCACTCGTCCAAAGGTCATCGTCGCCGCCATCACCTATTCTCTATTCCCACAGATCTGTTTATCGGTGTGGAATATTCCAAACGGGTTGAAGTTCTTTTCCTATTTGACCTTGGGGGTCGAGGTACGCACGATAATTGATATTACGCGCTCGTTCAGTGAACAAAATATGCTAAAAGGTTTGCTATTTTTCATAGTTCATCACGGCGCTTTTCTTCTCTTGGGCAGCGGAGAGCATGAGAGATGATTTTGCGGTCAAAGCGTACGTCGCAATCTCGGTTTTCAGGGACTTTACAACCTAACAGGACGTCCACTGTGACAGATTCACCCTGGCATCGATGAACGCCCTTCAATACGCCATGTCAGCATGTACGTTTTCGTTCGCGGCCCACTTCTCTTTCAGTCTCACAGAGACACACACCTGCTCCACTGACGCAAGCAAATACGTTTACATACGCAGGGGTTTCGATTTTGCAATTCCCCGCTTCCCAATCCCCAAAATTCGCCTTTGCGTACCAACTTTGTGCGATTTTCGGCGGAAGTTGTATCGGGATAATCGGAATTATTTGTTGGCTTCAAAGAAGGGAGGAGGGGAAGAGAGAGACGATAGAGGAAGAAATTATTGAAACGAGCGAGAAGGGGGAGAAGGAGGAGAAGTAAGGAATGTGACCAATGAGAATGAGAAACGGGGAGCGACGAGTGGGGAAGAGGACAAAGGAATTGCACAAGTCGTTGGGCTTGATTCTTTGCTTGATTGCGTCCAGAAGGCGAGCATGGTGGATGCTCGGGCTTTTGAGAATGTTGCGCGAGTTGTTGATGAATGAAATTGCCAGATTGCGGCGTGTGCACAGACGAATGGATGATTCACGCAGGGGAAATGACGCTGGTACAACAATAGCGCTTTCATTCTGAGCACAGTAAGCAACGTATATAAAGGAGCGAACATCTCTACAGGCAGTGAAATTTAGTCCGAGCTACAGCAGAAGAGCGTAGACGAGGAACAATGTGCGTCGAAGCAGAAAAAAGGGAAAATGAGAAAGAAGTCGGCACAGTTCACGTAGGTCCCGAGAGAAACATAAAGGGGAATAGTCCATGTGAAGACGGAAAAAGTCCTGCAAATTTTAGCGACACAGTCCTGCTACGAGCGCTCACGTGGAGAGGGACAACGTCTGAAGAAGAATAGTCAGCGACAAGGTTATTACGAATGGAGGGAACATTAACTCACCACTCCCACCATCCCGGTCACGTTCTTCTTGCTGGAGAACGAGAGACGAGAAGAAGTCTTGTTGTACAAAATGTAAGTCTTGGGGAGACTACCGTTCGGGTTGGTCCATTGGGCTGCAATAAGACGAATGTTTGATGAGTACATTGCAGATTGAGGACGCAAAGAAATGTATCGTACCTGTGAGCGCTCCAGTCGTTGAGTTCAGGCTCCACATGGTAGACAACGCGCCCTCCGCGACATTGGTGAACAACTTCTGACCGGATAGCGTCTTGTTGGACTGTCCGATATAGGGAGGAGTGTAGAGAGCATTCTGAGCCAACAAACTTCCATTGCCCTTGCCTGTACCCTCAACGAAGTGCAAGACGACGTCGCTGGTGCGGGCAAAGAGGTTGCGCCTGCGAGTGGTGCTGCTGGCATCGACCAGGCTCCTGAACGAGAGGAAGGGTTGTCAATGATTAGGGGGAGGGGGAGAACAATGTTCGAGTCGACTTACGGATCGTCAGCGGATAAATGGCCAAGGACAGTACCATCAGCCGCCACGATGGCAGCACGACCACTAGGAGGCGGACTCAGCGATTGATTACGGCGAACTATTAAGAAAATTGGCTCACGTGGTAGCCGTCGCAGAGGTGGTTGTCTGCCTAGCGGTGAGGATGCCGGAAGGCTTTCTCTTGACAGGAGGCAAAGGCCCAAGATTCCGGCGGAGTCTGTCGGCGTTGGTCTGCCTGGAAGAGAGGCCTGCGGCGTCAACGCATGAAGTAGCGATGAAGATGGTAGCCAAGAGAGCGAAGAGAGCACAAAGGGAGCGAGTTTGCTGCATTGTAGAGAGGATGGAGGAGATAGAGCGTGTGACGGTGTGCAAGAGGGGGTAGCTGAAGAGAGAGAATGGACGACGAAGAAAACTTGGAGTGGAGGAAAAGGGATAGAAAAACTCTTGGAACGACTAAGCGATGAAATTGTGGGAACAGGCCCTCTCCTTTATATACAGGATATCTTCGGCCACATCTGAAACATCCGCCACCTCCTCTTCTCGTTTTTATCCGCAAGGACACAATTGGCGTCATATCGCAGAGCAAACTGTCAGTACATCGTTGCCGCATAGGAGGCATAGCGGGCGATCGTCGCCATTTTTTCCCTTTTTTTTTCCCCTGGAGCCGATGGGCAGAGTTACATCCGATGAACCTGGTTATAAATCAGTGCTGTCAGGATCTCTCGAAATCTATTGTAGGATTTCGAGGCTGGCTGGCTTGCTCGACATTGACGGAAAATCTCCCTTGACCTACGGCCTAGACTCGCAGGCGTCCGAGTCTCACTTGTACTCGCTGAACGCAATGCGCCCATGATTCGGCAGAGTGGCGATATCCAGTGCCGATTAGGTGGGCTTGGAACTGAGGGCTAAAGGTTGAGAGCGTGAGTTCCTGGCGGATGTTTCAGAGCGGACTCTTGGCGAATCAGAGTCATCCGTATTGAGGTCACGGCCGAGACTTGACTCTATCGATCCGCTCCAGAGATGACAGAGTCCTGAGGAGTATCCAGCGTAGAACCAGTATCCTGAGCTTGTCGAGTGGGTCGATTTGGACGGACAAAACAGATCGGCACGGTGGAGCGCGGCTCTGACGAGCTGCAAGATGAACGTAGTTGACCGTTCCCACACGTCACGTTTGACAGTGAACTGGATGGCTTCTAAAGACCAAATAGTCCACAACAACTTTCCGTATCAAGGCATGTTCGTCCCTCAAGACTTCGAACAGTGCATAAATGCTTTGTTAATTTATTTATAGGCGCGGAGGTGAAGATGAGACTCCTAAAACCCGATTTTTTACTTACCGTCTGGTGATTACCACTGGAGTCGAGAACTTTGAGAATTTCGAACTTGAGTCAACTCGGCGACTCCCGTCGGAAGGATCCGCATGTGGCACCGAGGAGTGGCCCGAAGATTCACCGGTGGCACCAACCATCCACAAGTCTACTCTGTTCCTAAGTAAGCTCTACCAAACCCACCGAACATGTACAGGGCTGTTTCGGCGCCACTACCTATCATTTCAGAAACTCCACAGTGTCAGCCATGTAATCGTCGAGAAACAGATCCCAAAGGCATAATCCACGGACAAGCTCATTGAACATTGACATCAAGAATCGGACTCAAGCCTGTCAGAACACACGCAAAGCGGATCCGAATCCGAACGATGTGATAGAAGTGAAAGACAAAGTGAGTCCCAAGAGGAACTTCAAGGGTGAAAATAGAGTCGTGTGTATATTGCCCTGCTAGCGGGACAGCGAATAGCGAAGCAAATAGTCGACGAGTGAAATATGAAGTTAAGGTCCAGGTCCACAGGATCGCACCGTAATGTAAAATATCCTAAATGTCGCCGTAAAGGTAAGATGGGGAGCAGAGGAGAGACGAAAAGAAAGGGTTGATGAAAGAGAATTCAGATATGCTATGAGACGAGCCAGGCCAGACATGTGATGCGAAATTGAAGATTGAAAGGAGACGAGTGCGTCGAATACAAAACGACGGTAAGATAGCAAAAGAAATTATTCGAAAAGAAGAACAGAATCCAAACTGAACTAGGCTGCTCAAATCCACGCTCACCCCACGCTCACTCCTCCTCCCCTTCATCCTCTTCTTGAATGACGATCGTCCGGAACGCAGCCCCAGACCGATTATTCGGTAGCTGTCCCCTCCGTCCTCCCCTCGCCTCAGGCGCCTCATGCCTCAAACTGTCCTCACTCCCGATTGGCAACGGCGATATCCTCCCAATAGGCGAATGCCCCGCCTTCCTCGACCCCGACGGACCAGCAGAACCACCACCAGCAACGCTACCACCGCCAACTCCTCCATTTGTCCCCTTCCCAGCTCTCTTACCCGAAGCTGACCTCGAAGCAGCACTCGCACCCCTCGCCGGAACAGGCGACAGAATCACCGGTGCCTCCATGACGGGATACCCACCGAACGTTTGATCCAAGGGCAACGGCGACGCACCACCGCCTCCCAGCCCGGATACAGGCAACCCAGAAGCCAAACTCGACACCTGGCCCAATCCACCCGCAAACGCAGGCACGTCGTCGTCCTCGTCTACCCAATCTGATTCGTCGTCCAATCCATCTCTCATGCCACCAGCACCCCCACTTCCTGGTCTTCCACTGCCGCCGCCACTGCCAGACGGATTACTGAGGGACGTACGGCCTGTGAAGACGTCGCGGATCCCGCTTGATCCTTCGCCTGCTGGAGAAATGGCGAGGACCTCAATGGGTAGACTCGCGGTCCGGCTTTGCCACCCTGGCGGTTCTAGTCCCCATGACTTCTTCCAGCTCGTACGGCCGACGGAGCCGCCAGAGGAAGAATAAGAGACGGCTGGGGGCATGAAGGGCGTTTGGCGCTTCTGTGCGACGAACGTAGAGTTACCATGGGAGTGGGCATGCGGATTACGACGGGGGGTGGTTTCATCGTAGGACCGTTTGTTGTGTGCTCGGAACGGCGAGGCTGTCCTCATGGCGCTTTCGCCTTCGGATTGCTCATAGAATGAGCCAGGGCGGGAAGAGGGTAAGGAGTGGATTGAGGACGTGGCGGAGTTGGTTCGTGCGTGGGCGGGTCGGTTGAGATTCTGTGCTGGAGAGCGGACGACACGCGTGGAGGAGCCTGAACCACCCCGCCTGTGGTAAGGCGAAGCACGACCAAGATGCTGTACAGATCCTGCAGAACTCGCCGAGGGTGACTTCCTATGCCTGTGCTTGTACGAGAAGCTCTGCACCGACGAAGGTCTCGAGGAAGGATATTCTCCTCGCTCCGAATTAGGCGTGTGGCTGCCAAACGACCTGCGGCTGGGATCGCTCCGTTGTCTAGAGATGTTCACCATGTGGTCGATACCGTACTGTGGCGAGTCGAGAACAACCATATGCATCGACGCCGTAGATGACCTGCGCGAATTGACGCTGCTGGAGCGATGTGAAGAGATGGAAGGGCCTTTTGCTCGATGTCCGTTCCTCGCCGATCCCTGACTTGGTCTCCTCTTCGGTTTGACTGTACCTCTATGCTCTCCTGAAGATGGAGTCCTTGGTCCATGTCCATACGCCATCCCACTTGCTGAACCTGCTCCGGCCTTCCTCTTCCCCTTCCTATCCTCGTTAAACCACATGCGGAACGCCGACAACAAGCTCGCCCGATTCCGATGGTGACCAGAGCTCTTGATCCCGCTCTCAGAGATATTAGGCAACGCAGTGAGCGTATCGCCAGGCGAATTTGCCGGGGTAGGGAACAAGTCTGGATCAGGAGAACTCATGCCGCCGTGTGGCCCACCGCCACCAGCTATGACCCACGGCGATCCAGTGACAGCAGGCGAAGAAGTCATGGGGTCTCCGTAGTCCATCCCAGGCGTCGAAGGGATCGCGGTCGTGTCCTTCACGGGCCTCAAAGGAGGAGACTTTGTCATCGCCCTACCCGCAGCGCTTCCATGTGAGCTCCTCGATTCGTCGGCGGTCGTGGTGGAGGGCCTCTTGTCATCTTCCTTTCCTTTACCCTTCTCGTCTTTGTCCTTCTCCTTGACCATTTCTGATGACCTCTTCCTCACGAGACCAGCGGCTTCCAAAGCCGTAGTCGCTCGCTGCATGATGCTGACACTTCCCGACCTGGCCTTGCCCTCCCTGCGTCCCTTTGAACCTTCCTTATTCTCCTTCGTATCTTTATCTTTCACACTTCCGGCGGGAGTCGAAGGATAAGACTGATGCGATTTGCTAAGTGAGTCGGCGGCGGTATTCGTAGCAGCCGAAGGCATCGTAGGCGTCAAGAATGGATTGTTCGGAGACCTAGGTCGTGGTGGTGTCGATGGTTGCTGATGCGAAGGGCCAGTCGGCGTCGGCGGTATGAACGCTAGCTCAGGCGCAGAATGAACTGCCATCGTCCCGGGAACCCTTGTAGGTGCCATCGGCGTATCGTCCCCCTCGTCATCTTCTCCTCCTCGTCCCCCACGTCCATGTCCATGATCCGATCTCTTCTTCAACTTGTCCGACACACTTCCTCTCCTGTCCGACACACTCCCTCTCCTCCCCGCCTCGTCCTTCCTAGACGATCTCTGCCCATGCCCCTTTCTCTCCTTCTCCTTCTCCACCTGCGCTAACGCACTCAACCCGCCCTCCTCCAAAACCTTCTTCTCCGCCCTCCTCTTCAAGATCCACCACATCGCCCCCGTCGCGTCGCACGCATCGCTCAACACGCTATGCACGATCTGCGCCGTATCGAACCCGAGCCCACTCAGCCCATTCAACAAATCCCTCTCCAACTGCGTCCCAAATATAATCGGCGCCGGCGTCCGGAGCAACGACGCGAAATCCTGCGGAGGCAGCGGAATCGCGAACTTTTCGGCTGGCGTAGGCGACGGATCGCGTCGCTCGGGCGAGCCGCTGTCTTCGTGGTCTGAAAGCTGCGAGGAGACGGACCTGCGTTTAGTGCGGACGGGGGTACGTGTGGGCAGCGGTGGTTCTCTCATGTTGACGTTACTGGTATTGATGGCTGGAGAACGAGGCCTCGAAGGCGGTCGGCTGTGACTGCCGTTGTCGCGGTAAGCCCAGGATTGATGAGCAGGCTGAGGCGTCATTTCCTCCTCTTCCACTGTCTCTGGCTGTTGTTTCTTGCTCACGCTCGCAGCGGCAGCCTTACGGCCGCCGTTTCCCCCTTCCCACTTCTTGATCGTAGACTGGCTAGGATTCCGATGTAGGTGTAGTGCCTCATGCTCGTCCTCTTCGTCATCCGGAGAGGTAGCAGAGGAAGCTTCGAACTCAGAAGAAGTATTGTAGAGTGTGGATTCGGACGTGACGGAGGATCCAGATGCGTCGTGAATTGGTGCGGTGTTTGTGGTGGATTCGGCGGTCTCGCCCGGACTGGTGGCTGATGTAGAATTGGGCGGGGAATGAACGAAGGGTATAGGTGACACGACGCGGGAAGACGGCACATGGTTCGTGAACCAGGAGTGTGCGAGGATTTGGGGTATTGTCAACCGTTTCGATGGGTCTTTTTGCAGGATGTTCTTGATGAGGTCGCGGAATTCTATTATAGTTTTCCCAATTTGAAGTCATTTAGAAGGTAAGATGGACGTGGTTTATTGTGAGTGGATGGGATGAGTTGAAAGGCTACTCACCCTCTGACAGCCACTCGGGGTCCTCGAATTCGCCGATGATGACCTTATTACGCATGATACCTTCGTCGTCGTCGTCAAATGGTAGAGTGCCGGTGAGGAGGCAGTACAGGATCACGCCAAGGGACCATACGTCAACCTCTGTATTTTCGGAAGTTCATGTTAGTGGACTGTTCATAGCCGCATTGTGATACGAATACGAGCAAGAGCTTAACCCGCACTGACGAGTATTGCTCATGACAGAGAAACAAAAACTCATGGAAGAGACAATTCCTCCTTACTGGTGCTAAAATTCGCCCCATGCAGCTATTGAAAGACCGCTGACGTTCCTGTCAGACATCGCCTTGCTCCAAGCGCCATGTTCCGATGCGTTCGGAAGCGTGTGAATAACAAACGACTATCGACCCGCTGGACATGATGGTGGCAATGTCATATATCCTATTCTAGATCATCATGGCAGGGGTATGACAGCTGCATGCCGCGCTGTGAGACCGCGGGACTCTAGGTTATGGTGGGCCAGTATCGAGCAGTGAGGAACACGGTGTCAAGGTCGCTCGAGTCGACTGAGGCACGAGCCTTGCCACGACTCGTGAAGTCCGACGTAACGACAATCATGACGTAGTGGACGCAAGCCACTTCCATTGCTCGGAATTCTCAAAGAACGATGAAGATATTCGGAAGAGATTCCATATGATGCGAACAACTCACCTGGACCCAAATATTTCTTTCCCTCCAGCATCTCCGGCGACGCATAACCCGTCGTCCCACAGAATGTCTCCATATACGCCCCTTTGTCAAACTCCCTCGTGAACCCAAAATCACCGAGCTTAACACGACACCTCTCATCCAGCAATACATTCTCGAGCTTCAAATCGCGATGGACGATACCCTTGTCATGTATATAATTGACCGCGAGACACAGCTGGCCGAAGATGATCCTAGCTTCGTCCTCGGTGAGACGGCCCTTCTCTGCGAGGTAATCGAAGAGCTCTCCGCCGGAACATAGTTCAGTGACGAGCCAGATGGAAGACTCTGTCGCGATGATCTCGTACAGCTGGGTAACATGCGGGTGGTGCAGTTGGCGGTGATGGTGGATTTCGCGGGTAAGGGTTGCAGAGAGGCCCTTCGGGATCTGCTTGATGGCGACTCTGGTCGATGTGAGACGGTGTGTACCTAGACGAACTTTTCCGTACGCTCCTTTGTACGTCGAAGTGTGATTTAGACAGATCAAGGTTCAGAACCACCGCGAAACAGGAACGGACGATGGCCGGCCTGAGATGAAACACACACCTTCGCCGATGACTTTGCCTAGTGTGTAGTTCCCGACGACTTTGATCTTCGTGGACGAGAGCTCCTTGCCGAGTTCGTTGTACGCGCTCACTAGTTGCGCTTTGTAGTTCTGGGCTACCGAGCCCGATTGTTTGTGCCCTGGTGGCATGGCTTGATGGTGCGAATGTGAAGTATCGATGTGTACAAGAAGAAATCAAAGCAGAAAGAGAAAAAAGAGACGTCAAAATGTTGGAAAGTAAAGAGAGGCGCAGGCGCGGGGGCCTAGGGAGTTGTAGTAGACAGGATAGTAGAGGGTGAGGGTAACTGAGCCGTCGTTGCCTCGTTCTCCATCAACGACACCCATTCCGCTCCGCATCGCTCGTGTGAATCTTTCACCCGGCTGGGACGCGTGGCGTTGGGCCACACCATGGTCACCCCGGCCCTTTCACTCGCACGACGACGTTGAGATCGCAATACTTGTCCAACACGCTTTGCAATTCACTCAATTCTACTAGTAACTGGAACCATCATTGAGGACACGCTCTTCCATGGACGAGACAACTACGAGATAGTACAGGCGTATTCATCCAAGAAACATTCTCAAGCAGAGACCCCTTCCTCTGACATCTAGTAACAGCAGGCGCTCTATGATTCATGTCAGCGACGTGATGCTGGGATGTGTAGTAGGTGATAACTTACGGCACCGGCGATAGTACGCTTCTCTTCCTCGGTTTCCTCCTCCATGAACTTGAGGATCTACACAAGGAGTGAGCCATGATAAATTCCCAAAAACCTCACCCGTCGAGAACTTACTGCGGCGAGCGCATCTGGAGAAAGGCAGAAAGGACCGTCTCTTGACACGTCCTCGAGCTTCAAGGGATCATTGGTGGCTAGAATAGAGCGCTCACTTAACGCACGAGTAAAAGTTATGTCCATCAAGTGTACGAGACTCACAACTCAGACTAGCAGACGCGATAGTCGTACTGGAGAGAGCGAGGAGGGCGTAAACAAAGGTGAACTTCATGGGCAGAGAAGCGAAGGGAAGTGAGTGTTGGCTCTCCTCATGCTCTGAGTACTTGAAAGGCATGATCTGCGACGCTGAATCATACGTAGTCCGTCTCGGAGTATCTTGTCGTAATTTGTTGGCAAAGGAAGAGTGTCACATACCCACATACCAATGACTCAATTCAGGGCACAAAGATCCTGAACCACTTCGTGCACTATGCATGTCAGATACTTTTGGCAAGCTCTTGTGTGAGTGGAAAGGAACCCGACTGGGATGTGCGGTGTCAGTCAACAGTGACACGCAACACGGCCATGAGCATTTTTCCCATCTCGAAGACGAGTCGCACAACAACCGTCTTTCACGACCCTCAATCATAAGGTCTGATAGGGAGATAGCATTCCGAGTATGGTCTCAACGTCGAGATTCCCAAAAAAGAGATCTTTCATGGAGGAGACAACTATAAACAACGTATAGACGCACATATCCCAAAGTTTCATATACAATCAAGAGACACCGAGAGCGTACCCAATGGTCTGTGTAAACCAAGGTCCTACAGTCCGGGGCATACGACGATGTTCTCACGCAGAGGCCTCCTCTTCCGCCGACATGTAATAGACGCTCTGAAACCCATGTCAGACGTGAACACCATGATCTCAAGTGAATGATAACTTACAGCACCGATAGCACGCTTGTCTTCCTCGGAGCGTTTCGCCTCCTCTTCCTCCGACATATAGTAGACAATCTAGTTTGTCAATTAATTTAAGTCAGATACCACTAAAGAATTGACGAAGAGTAGACAAGCTCACAGCTCCGATGGCACCTACGACGACGGAAAAACGACAGCTAGTTAATCAGCAGCAATGAAGACAGCTTCAAAACATAAGGCACTTACGCTTGTCAGCCTCAGCACGCTTGGCATCCTCTTCCTCTGACATGTAGTAGACGCTCTAAGACCAGATCAGCAACAAGATAGGTTATGCAAGTTGAGAAGACGCTATAGCTCACAGCACCGATAGCGCGCTTCTCTGCCTCAGCACGCTTCGCCTCTTCCTCCTCCGACATGTAGTAAACGCTCTGAGACCCATGTCAGTTACGAGACGGGAGATACTTATGAAATGAGCGGTCGCAACGTACAACGCCGATGGCACGTTTCTCATCCTCGGAGCGTTTAGCCTCGTCTTCTTCAGACATGTAGTAGACACTCTGAGAGTCAGGTCAGCGACGAGACAGGTAATATACAATGAGTGATCGTTGCTTACAGCACCGATAGCACGCTTTTCTTCCTCGGAGCGTTTGGCCTCCTCTTCTTCGGACATGTAATAGACGCTCTGTGGGAAGTGAGTCAAAGTGAACCCTTAAAAAGACAAGAACTAGTATCTTACCGCGCCAATGGCACCTACAGCACCCGAAAATTTTCAAGGACGATTGTTAGTTGGCAGGCCAAAGTATCAGGAGAAATATGATGTATATTGCAGCAGGGTAGGCCGCAAGTGAATTAAGCAGACGTACGCTTGTCCTTCAAGGGTTCGCGCTTCAAGACGCCATTGGTGGCTAGAATGAATGCTAGATCAGTTCCCGGACGATAACAATGTTCCCGAGAAATCAAACTGACAACCAACAATAGGAGACGCAGTGGCTGTAATGGCAAGAGCGAGGAGAGCGGAGACAAGTGTCAACTTCATGTTGAGGGACGAAGGAGGTGTTGATGGGCGAACAAGAAGACTGAAGAGGACACAGAGAAGGGAGTCTGGTCAGTGCTAGCTCTAAAACCAACACTTATATCAGGAAACATACGAGCGACGCTGTTCGCATGACACGGACATCCCTCAGGCTGACACGAGCTATCCTGCTACCTATCTCAGTACGTTAGTTGCATTCTTGCCTTGCTGGAGATGATTGGAAAAAAGATCACATGCCGACGGTTCAACTTTAGACTTGCGGTAGGTACAAAGAACATCGAACCCTTTACGCCCCCTGGAAGAAGAACACATTCGCCTACCACACTCAATTGTCAAATGAGCATCGTGAAACGGCTCATGCGGTTCACAACATGGGTTTCGTGTGGAGGTAGGAAGCCATCAGCAGAAGACGCGTCAATGATCGTGGAGGTTCTTCTCCATCAAAATGCTGCCCTGAGGATTTGGAGAAACAGGCCGCCGAGAATTTTCCTGGATAGTTGGTAGCCAAAGTAGCGAGCCTGCCAGTGGGTATGGTGGGGCTACTAGCCTGAGAAACACCAGCATGAACGAAGGTTCAGTGCTCTGTGCTATAATAACCAAACAAATAGGAGTATCGCATGTTCTACCAGAAATGTTTTCGACGAAATGGTCGGGTAGTACCTTGTAGCTCAGCATATACTGCAAATCGTGGACACTGGACAGTAGTGACGGAAGAAAACCGTGAGTCGTGACACGGCGAAAAAACGGAACAAGCCGGTTGAGTTCCACGTGACCATCTAGACATTTCCCGCTGAATTTCCTTTCTCAATACACTCTTCCAGTTTCTTTTCACCGTTGTGGTCGACGATGCCTGCCAATACCGACCATATCGCTTACTCTATGCTGTTCAGAGTCTCAGATTAAGCCAGGCTCGGGAGCTGGAAAGGAAGCCAGGGCCATACGAGGATGCCTTTTTCATGTCCGAACAGCGGTATTACCTCTCCAATGTCTCCCTGTCATTAGGCTGTGCCTCTGGGATTCTTCGGTTCTGCCGTAGCGGAACATGCGGGTCATAGAAGTGGAGGGCACGCAAGTCATATCCAAATGCTCTAGTGATGGTCACGACCGTGCCCGTACGTTGTGCCGCGGCGTCGTGTTGCATGCCTCACAGAAATCACCATCGACCCTCTGGATCCAGCTGAGAGAAGATTCAGACAAGGCTATCGTTGTTCTTTCTACCCGTCGTGTTTACCTCAGACTTCGTCTCCCGCAAAAATTCGCAGTCCATGCCTTTCGTCTGGAGGTTGCCTACTCTTCTTCATGTCGCCATGGCGTCTCTGGCTATAAGCCTCACGCTCAATGTTTTCACAGCCCGCAGACTTGTCAGGCAAAAGGCAGACCAAGTCCGCCATTATAGTGTGTATATGATTCTCTTATCGTTAGTATTGCCCCTAACCATGTTCACCTCACGATAGGCTACGAGGATGACGATTACCCAAACCGGCTGCCGCTCTACGTTCCTCCTGTTGCCCTGGTGTTTGAAGACTCTGAAAAATTCGGCATCTCAGACTTGGACGCATGGGGTGAATGGAGGACCACAGATTCATTCCCTAAAGCCAACGGGTTCGTCAGATTGGGACCCAACGGTGAGCGACATTCTACCCACTCTAGCTTCCGATTGGTTGTATTGAACCAGTCGTAAAGGACGTCCTTTCGGATTAAGCATGTTCCACCAAATGCATTGCCTTCAGATGATTCGCGGAGCTATTCTTGCCGGGGGCGCAGATTACGATTATGTGCATACTAAACACTGTTTCAACCTCATTCGACAGGTATTTACTTTGATAGCCTTCGCGTTTGCACCACCACTCACATCGTTGACTGCCGGCAAGGCGATCTTATGCGCCTCAGATACTACCCTTGACCCTCTGGATGTCACGCTCGATGGTAAGCTGGCGGGTGCTGACGGACTGGGACAAACGCATGTCTGTCGAAATTGGGAGAAGGTGTACGAGTTTGTGTATAAGAATCAGTTGAGTGAGGCGTGGAATATGAGCTCAAGCTCGGAGACATAATGTTATCGGTGTACCTTCCTCGCTCCTAGGCTCCTTCCGATAATTTGATCCATGAGCTATCTCGTCGTAGAGTAAACCCGTCGAGGGGCCGTCAAACGCGTACAAGGGATCATCAGGAGACCTCCTGGTACGTGCCCTTGATGAAATCTTGGGCGGCATCTCCTTTGTTCTCACCATTATTTGAGCATAGACCAGGGTCCGAACCTAAGATGTTAGACACAAGTACTTCAACCGCCTACGTTCATCCTGCATCATGCGGTGAAGTGCCCAACCCATGTGGGGTACTCGATCGCACGTCTTCGAACCTGAGATAGACTTATCACCAACTGCCCCTTAACGACCTCCAGACTACTTGTATTCCGTGTGTTTTTTGGGATCTCCGGGCTCGCATCATATCTGCCAATCGCGTCCCAAGAGTAGAGTAGGAGGAGTACTTAGAGTCCCCGCTAAGCGTGATAGGCGCCTGTGGAGGGATACAGGGCGCAAAGAGATCATGGGTTCTTTCGCCATTCCCGGGGAATAGGGTATGTACGGGTCGCTTTTCCAGTCTGATCCGCTGATGCAGAGAACTTCTTCGATTCAGTCGCTTACTCCCCTTGAGGGTTTCAGTGTGGTCTCAGTAGCTAACAGTCGCATTCCCAGCCTCATTATATCCCCTATACTCCTTCATCGCGTCTGCAAATCCGCATCTATGTTCAGCACAAATGCATCTTCCTCTGCGGACTATGTTCCCCTTATCACCACTGTGAACCAGTCGGAAGACCGACGATGGAAGGAATCTTCTCGTCCGGAAGCAGCACAGACTTCCGCAACTCAGTGGATTTTGACCGCCTTGATTTCTATTGTGGCCATATCTTCCGCGTTGTTCTCTTTCAACCTATCTAGTGCTCCGTCTCTGCCGCTAGACCCTGCTGGCCTCGAAAAACTGAAGCCTTATCCTAACTTGGAGAAAACCTCGGAGTTATTTTCCGAAAAGAATGGTGCGTTTATTTCACCCCTTCATACTGCAAAGCTAATTTTATTCCTAGCACCGAAGACATGGTTTCCAAATACAATCGTCCATACTAGCTCAGTTGAACCAGACAAGCTCAGTACTCCTAGTAGTCACGTTCTTCTCAGTTCGACGGTAAGCGTCAAGCCTAGTAAGCCCGTTACTTTTCATACCGACTTAAAAAGCCTTCGCACCAGGAGTCGACCTTCTTCCGCTGGTCAACCTCTTTCCAAGAATATGCCCTCTGCTACATCACCGCCTTTGTTAGCAATGCTTCTACTCTCGCCTCAAGTACGAAATCATTCACATCTACAGGCAACATCTCTGCTCTCGAAGTCTGGAACGTCACTTCCATATCATCCTCCCAGTTTAAGTCCGGGTTTACCTGGTCTACTCGTCCCCGGCGTCTCAACCTCATAGGCACCACGAATTTCTCATCCGAGCACGCTAGAGAAGGGGAGATGGGTTGGCAGCTGAAGCCTCCGACCCCGCGGTTTGAGTGTGGCGGGACGAGGGAGACCATGATCGAGGTGGCCTGCCCAGAAGAGGCTGCTGGATGTAAGCTGGAATTTGAGCAGGTATTTTCCGAGCCGGCGTTATGTAAGTAGTCCTATTTTATTTGTGTGTGTGTGCGTGTGTGGAGGCACGATGCTCACATGAAGACTTCAGCGTTTGATTTGCAGGAGCTTCGTTGATAACATACTCGACTATGCCAAATCTTACTGAAACTTGTGGGTAAAGAGCCTTGCTGCTCATATTCAGCCAAATTCGGCATCTGCTTTGTTACGGGTAACCACCAATGGAACACCCTAGAAGAACGTTTCATTTCACCTCCTGACAACTAGGATCATACAGCAACGCTTGTAACTAATACACTGGACTCTTTGCACCCCTAATACTTGACGTCCAAGTTCTTGAATCTCACCTCCGTCCCCGATCCCAAGGGGCTACACCCCATCACCCCGATCCAAACATCCTCGTCGTCCTTCAAGCCGAAGTTCGTCACGTCACGGATCACGACCCATTCCCCTTCAAGCTTAGCAGAAACTTTGACGCGAGCGCCAAGTCTCTGGATCTGGAAGGAGGAGTAGGAATCGGAGGGAAGAGGCGAGGGGTAAGCAGGAAGGAGGGACCAGTCCGAGAAGGGCGAGGTCACGACGGCTGAGAACCAGGCTTTGTTCTCGGTGTACTGTGTGATGAAGCAGAGGTATAAGAGACTGTCAGAACAATTGGAGCCAGTGGTAGCGCAGGAAGGGGAGGATACCTCGACACCTGTCTTGATCCATGAGCTCTTAGATTGGTAGAGCATGAGCGTAGCTTGATCACTACATATTCGGGAAAGAAAGTTAAATAAGCACTTTGTCTGTTGGTGAGTAAATAATATACTGACAACTGATCGAATGAAAGAACAATCCAATTCCAATGACTTATCAACTTCCTCATCTGAGTTACGTGGGTGTCAAGGCATCAAACAAACCTCGTCCTTCCAATCTCCTCCCATCTCGACCTCAGCCGTCCACTCTGGCTTCCCCTTCTCGAGAACGAGACCTAGAAGAGGACCGGTTGATCGCCAGGCCTGGCCGGTCCTCCACCAATCCGTTTTCGCATTTGTCTGGGAAGGGGGCAGTGTTAGTTGTAGACTAAATGTAGTCAAAGATGGCCTGGAGTAGTCGGGACCGCTGACCTGGATAGAGACGGTCGATCCTTCGTCAGAAATGTGATGCTTGCAAGAGTCAAACTCGGGGTGGTAAGAGAGCTGAGAGAATGAGATCGGAGACATGCTTGATGGACGTTATCAGGTAGAGCTTTGGAATCTTCAAGCACCGAAAGAGCGACCTGATATACTCGTACAAGTCAATCAAGAATGGGCTTTGAGATTCCTTCCAAGGAAGACGATTTGTACTGAATAGCAAAGTGACACGTCTGAGAGTCAGGCGCTACGCTAAGAGAGTACGTGGCGTACAGTAGCAGAGCGAGCGATCCGATTTGGAAGCTGAAGGAATTTCAATAGAGTGAGCTTTGGACCGGGGAGTCAACGAAAAGTCGTAGGAAACATATGATCAGCTGCCACCAGCCCGTCAATGAGGTGGTTAGAAGAATCAGAGTGTGGCGCTCGGGCCACATCCATAAATAATGTAGCACCTTTACTTGTACGGAGCTTTTGATGATCTCACTCCGTCACACTTCACGATATTATTGTCCCTCAGGCTCTCCGTCTTCATCGTTCTCGGATTTTTAATCGTGAGCTAGCTGGTACAAAAGCACCAAACTTTTATCCTTAGCTCTTCTCGATCATCTGTCAAGCTTTCAAGCACCACCCAACCCCTTCAACCACTGCTCACTCCTCGCCCCCGCCTGTATTCTCCTCCCCAGATCTCCTCTCCTCTTTGCCTCGTAGTCTTTGAGATTAGTCACGTAATTCGATCGCCAATCCAGCCACTCATCTCTCCTCGATCCCACACTAATACTCGCACCATCAGACACGGTTCCAGCGCCCGAAACCAGTCCTGCGCTAATGTCGATCGTATTCCTCCTATCTTCTTCAGGCCACATCTCGCCGTGCTGCTTTCCACTCCAAAAGATGGTAGCGCCACAGGTGCCACAGAACCCTCGATGGGTCCCGGGAGAGGACTCGTACGCCTCGAAGGGAAGAGAATAACCCTCCGGAAAGCTCGCGCTCGCGGTGCTGGTAATTTGGGGACGTGAGGCGACGGGTAAGTGTGGAACGACCGCGGACCAGGGCACCGTGACTGGGTGCGCCTCCGTGTCCTCCGACTCCGACGATCGTGCTGAAGATGGGCGCAGAACGACAGAGATGCACCCCGTAGGCGTAAATACCCACTGCTGCACCTCCGTACCCGAGCCCCGTCGACAGGAATCACAAGCACACGTCGCAACGAGAAGTCGGTTCCGTTTAGTGGAAGAGTTCCCCGTGTTTCTGTTCGTGACGAGAGAAGGACGAAGCCACCATACGTCGCGATCGTCGAATTTAGGAGTATCTGTAACTTCCGAATCACGTAGAGCCTGTAGAGCGGCTTGGGAGGTAGAGTGGGTATGCGCGTGACGGTTGTGAGGCGGAGGGTCGAGTGCTTCTGCCCAAGCGTTCCATGCCTCAGGCGGATAGCTCGACGGGATGTCAGGGGGGGAGATGAGGAGTGTGACGGTTCTGCAATGACATTGGGCTACGAGTGGGTTTTCCCTCTCGTTTGTATGAGGATTAATGTGTGTCGAGGCGTAGGACAGCTGTGAGATGAGTTCTGAGCGAGTAATTCGTGGAGAACCGCGACGGTAGTATGACGGAATCTCGGTTGCGTCCTTCGTCGCGTCGGAATTGGGGAGGGAGTGTCCAGCAAGCACCGCAACCCCACCGTCTTTGGTATCCTCCACATAAATATGTGAAACGACCTTGAACATCGCTTCGATCGCCTCGCCCTCAGCATCTGCCAGCTCGAGTGAGCCAGTGGTAACAAACCAAACATCTTCCTCCTTCTGCATCGATATCTTCCCCGCAGTTCCACTGTCGTCTGTGGCATTAGTGGTATGCGAAGGTCCATCCTCGTCCCCATAATGCATCCACAAACACGTCCCGCACATCCCACAAAAATACCTCGCGGCGGTATCGCTGGACTTGTACCTCCTCAGCGTCTGTGGCATCTCGCCCATAGGCCACGGACGCTGTGTCCTTTCGGACAGCTGCTTCCGCTTCGAACCATCATTCGAGGAAGTAACGATATTGTCCGCGGCCGCAGATACAGGAGGCAACTTCACCATACTCGCGAAGCAGGTACCTAGAGACGCTCGACACGTCGAACAATGGCATAGATCAAGTGGGAGGGGAAACGAAGAGCGCGGAAATGCGAGTTTCGTTTGGAAGCCTATGGTAGAGTTCGATCGGATATTGCAGAGACAGGAAGCGGTGAGGGTGACCACATCAGCAGGAGTCGGTCCAGACGATGATAGTTTTGTCGTCATTGCGCGTTCTACTTTACTAGACGTAACAATCAGCATGACTTAAAGCACGGTAGACATCGAGTATGGACCTACGGCTACGAGCACTCTCACGATAGACTGTCCTTAGGGGTGTAAAGTCAGTAAACAAATAGGTCTCCGAAGAGCCTGAAATTTAATCTCGATGCATCTGTAGAGCCCATCATACTTATACTTCCCCGAGGTTCGCTTTGTCAGTGAAGACCCAATGACGTGCACACGACAACATGACCGTGTCATCTGTGATATAGCTCGCGAAAGAAAAAGTTCAGGCCACAAGCTTGGTTCAGAGACTCTGGATGCTGCCACTGGCATCGATGCTTCTCGCATTTGGTGGTAGATAATTCCCACCGATAATATCCAGTGTGAGGCCTACTTTAGACAGCCGATAGTCAAGATACTACACCCAACTCTCTTCGTGGAGATGGTCTACGATACGATTGAAGATGATCGGTCTGCGGGACTATCCAACAAGCCTTGGCTGGACCATCTGTCGGGAAAGTTATGCAAAATGAGAGGGAGGAGAGATATTCACAAGCACCTTTATCAAACCTTTACCTCCAAAGCATTTGCGCACCCATGCCGATGTGGCGGAAGGAAGAAAGTTACGTCATCGTCATCACAGCATCATCCCCACCACCGTTGCCGGCTAGGCAGCGTGAACAAAGAGTGACGTAGGGATTCGCCCAGAGGAAGGGCGACCTCGAGGCAAAAGCAACAGGCTTCGCTGATGGCGCCGCAGAGCCGGTCAGCAGGACGAGACGCGAAGTTTGCGCCAAGTCGTGAGTGGCGCACAGAGTCAAACCAAGTTTGCGAGAGCCTATCAAATCACAAGCTCAAAGTGAGGACAATAAGTACGAATGAATCATTAATACTGCTAGATATATGCATATGTGTCGTGATCGGATTTTGTGAATTCAACCACGAGGAAGCTTGATTTGCGTTGAATTTGCGGCTCGACCGGTGTGTGGCCCAGTACCTCGGTCGGCTGGATGTGCATAGAAAGGGAATAATGCACAGCAATGCTATCTAAAATGACTCGCGAGTAGCTAAGTTCTCTACACAAGCCTTAAGCTTAAATTGTAGTACTACAGAGTAATATGTATATACATATTAAAAAACTTTCACGAACATCAATGTCGCAAAGGACGAGAAGGCTCTCGGTAGAGAAACTCAGGACAAAAGTACATTAAAAGCGCGAGCGGCATCATGAGGGTTCGAACCAACCGCCTCACTGACAGCACGGTAGTCATAAACGTCCAAATAACCATTCGGCCAAGACTTCTTGTTTGTCTACCTCGCGTAACTTGTTATAACCGTCACTCCATGGCCATGAATGATGTGGTTTTTCCACTCCCCAGCACCGAGACCGACTTCAGGCCATTTAAAAATATTTACTTTTTGCAGAAAGCGACATTTTGATTTGTTAGTAGTAAAAGTACCCAAAAATACCCGCGACAAGTCTCGCCAGGCCATCCATGAGCGAAGGAAATGGCAAGCCCAAAGCGGGCGGAGGGTGGCAGAAACTGTCAGCCCGCCATTCTGGCGATGCCTGCAGGCAGCTGCAGGCTTGCGTCATACTTTGTTCACGCTCACTTACCACCGTTGCCTTGTCCCCGAGTCTTCCCGTACACACTCCCTAACAATGTTCAAGAAGATATGGCCACACAAAGCACTTGGAAGGTTATGCTGATATGGCCGAGTCGTTAAGGCGAGTGATTTGAATGTTCTCATTATCACTTGGGCATTGCCCGCGTAGGTTCAAATCCTGCTGTCAGCGCTGAGCATCCGCTGCACAAGCTTGCTATTTTTCGCGCTCGTCCACGTATTATTTCTTGCCCAGTGCCATGATCTGCTGGAGACTTTGTTGTCATGAACCCCGAGCGTACGAATGATTTTTGCCGCACCCCAATGGAGCCCAGTAGTCATCACGAAACGGAGGTCCAGAAAAAAAGATCATCCGTAGAGAAAACAAACTCGGGGAAACAAGGTCAAGAGTCCATGTGCAATGCACGTATATGTATCTGAAAGGGGTGGCCAGCTGAACAATATCCTCCATACTATAGTCACATTTTCATCTCCATCGACTCCATCCCACCAACTAGAACGGCCTTCGCCTTTTTCACCGCTGAAAATGGCAGGCAAGATTGAAGGACAAACAAGATGAGGAATAAGCATTCGAGGGCAGAAGAGAGGACAGAAGTACAACATATCAGAAAGGCGTAACCGTCCAACAGACAGGCGGGCAGACAAACCCGCGATCCGACAATCAGAATCGAAGACCGAGGACAAGGAGAAGACAAGATTACGGGGACGAAATAAATGAGAACAAAACGAAAACAACGAAGACGAAAGGAATATGCATATGGTAGTCGATTGCAGAGCCCGAAGCACAAGCCCAAGCCTTACATTCGCCACTCCAGACGCAGACTGGCAGGCAGACCGCCTACTTTGTTGCCTTCACGATGGAGACGACGATGATGACGATGATGATGGCGATGGCGACGCCGATGATGATGCGCATCTGTTAGATGAGAGCAAAGGGGCGGATTAGACGGACAGTTGAGCGGCTATTTCGTGATGAAGGGGTAAACGGGGAGGGACGTGCCTTCATATCCTTCCACCTTCATCGAGGGAACAAGCGCAGGACTTCAGCTATGGCACATGGTAGCGGAATGCAACATTTAAGACATACCACATATTCTGCGGAAGGCGAGGGTTAGTCGTTGCAAAAATCAGGACGTGTTAGGGGTACGTACCTTTCGGACGCGGTTTGCATTTCTGCGGAATCCTTGTGCAGACACGGCCAAGTTATCTGTTATAACGGGCACATACACAAACTCGTTAGCCTCATCGTCATACTCAATGACTCTCCCGGCGGCAACGCAAGCCCTGAGGCTACATCAGGTCACCTCTGGATCATAAGCACACAGCCTCCCCAACCGGCCGAGCTGCGCGTCCCATTCGCTCCCTCCATCCTGATTCTCGATGCCCAGCGCCCTCGCAAGACTGCACGAGACAGAAACTGGGCGGATGTAAGAGTAACGTACCAGTCTTATCCTGCAGCGAATCCAACCTCTCCTGTCTCTCCGTCACCTTCGTAATGTTGTCGCGCATGATATTCACGGTATCGTCGATTTGCGCCTGAATGGCTGCCGTGCGTGCGTTGCCCTGTCCACCTGTTTGTTGGGAGGTAGCGCCAGCGGCGGCGTTGGTGTTGGCGGCGGAACCGCCGCGGGGGAGGTATGGGTCGTAAGGCTCAGACCTGTATCGTCGTCAAGCAAAGCAAGTTCATATTGACCATAGTTCGTCGCATCATGGAGGATGTCCATTATAAAGCCGAGTAGGAACGATAGAACGAGTTCAAGGACGAGTGGAGACAGAACAGTCAGCGATTGTAGACTTCATGCGTGTGGGTCGTTGAGGTGATGGGAATTGGGGTGGGAATTGTGCGAGAAAAAGTGGGAATATTACTGACATGACGGGTCGTAGAGTTTCTGGACAAAAAGGGATGAGAAGGGTGAGTTTGAGAGCGCCGGGCTCGTTGAGGGTGCTATGGACGAAGAGGAAGGAGACGAAGGGGCTGAGGCTGAGGCTGCGTTCGCTGTCCGGTCGTTGGACAAACTCGGCTGACGACTCACCGCCCCGCAGGCCGGCATCCCATGCCGAACGCTGCCCCTTTCGGCCCTGGCCCCGGCCGCTCCAAATTTTGAAGTCGTCGACTATCACTCCATCGGAATCATGCTTTTTGGTCTTGACCATGAACCACAGCGTCCTCGACGGTATACTGGCCCTGTTGCTCAGAACGACCAGGTAGGCTTCCCTACACACGCACCATTCTGGGCTTTATTGTTCATCGAAAGCAAAGCCACCGATAATCTTCAGGTCTTGCCCATGACTCCACTCAGATAAATGCAGGGCTACTGCAGGAGTTATTCCTCATCATATCATTGTCGAGCCTACCATATATATCTACTCACGGTGGGGTTGAGAGGCTACTCGAAAATGGAGTGTCTTTGTCTAACATCTAGCCATTGCCCACCTCAGATCAAGGTAACCAGCCCAATGGAATACCTATGACCAGCCAAGGCACATGCAGGGATCTGTAGAATCATGTGCGGTGCAATGGATCTTCTGTGGCTTTGAATCACTACCACCCGCAATCGCACAAACCCTGCGTTACAAGACGAACGTGCTCTGACACACCGACACACTCGGCATAAATCGTGCTCTGCAGCACCCACCAGACGCAGCTCCACTGCTATCCAAATATGCTTTACTACCACCAAGGCAGATGCCTTTCCGCTCCGTCATCCATCTTCTGACGTCCTCTTATCTTTGCACCTCACCAGCGCGGCTTTCACTCGGGCTCGGCTCGTCTCTGCTATCAATGGTCAGTCTTCGCCACCCACTGACTTTCATTGATGGTCTAGTCAATCCTAGTCGGACGTGTACTTCTGGTCCTACTCTTATCTTGGGAGTAATTGGTAGGTTTCGTTTGACGGAGTGAAATCAGCTCAGTGAAACCACAAGCACGAAGAACACAGCGGCGAACGTGCAGTGTGGCGGTGGATCTAGCCACTGTACTCATCAGAGGGCCTACTTACACTCTTTGTATGGAGGAGCCTGATTTCCATGACTACTCTTCGCAGGTATCGACCTGGTGGGCAAACAGGTCGATCCAGAGATTTGGTCACACCAGGTATTCATGCCCCATGTCTCATTCACCAGCTCAGCGAGCTCTACGATCTAGAGAAGCCTCGCCATGAGCGACCAAGTGTGACTCACATTCTACATAGCATCCGAGTCAAAAGCACCTCCGTTTCCGGTGGCAGCGACCCGTGTTCGCACTCCACTACAATGCTCCATCAACTGTATATATATCTGCGTCACTCACAGTGATCTTCACAGCGGTAATAGCGCTGCCAATGAGAGCGTCAACTCGACACACCTGCGCGTCTTCGGTCTCTGCTCTGCTCTCATCGTCCTGTTTCACGAATTGATACGCTCGGGTGTTCTTTAGAACGTCTCTACATGCGCCAGTTCACATTGTGACACATCAAGGCAGCAACTGGCAATGCTGCCTTACTTGTATGTGTCGAGGGCGTAATGTGGCGGGACTTCAGGTTGGGTTATAGTTTGTCCACTACTACGTGATCTAGATTCTGTCGTTTGAAACGCAGGAGTTTACCTTGTTTCTCCCTTCCGACTGCTATTTACTTTGTCCAGGGAAGAGTTCCGTTGTTCGCTTTGGACTCACCGATCCTCTACACTGGCTTCGGTACGCAGGTTCCCGTTGGATGACCTACCCTCAGTTGAACATGGAAGGCAAGTCAAATCTTTCCTCGTCCTTGCTCATATGATGTACCGCACACTCACCATCGAGTCTTGGTCGTTGTCAGTCCCCACACCCCATACCGAGTTTTACCATCTTGTCCGTTAGATTGCGCAGACCTATCAGGGAAATCCAGCGCACAGAGACGATCAGACATTCTTCGCATGACTTCTTCTCCATTTCCGCCTCTCCGTCTCATCAGCGTGTTCGTTGTGAATATGTCACATTCCTCATGGATGCAATGCCGCTCTATTTACATGTATGCATCGTTCTATCAGGCATGTCCTGTGTTCTCAAATCCTTTTACAGGCTTCATTTCACGCCACTGAACATTTTCGAGACCAACTTGGCCCCTTTCGCCACTATCGACGATAATTTCAGGCCTCGCGTTCAACTCGTGCTCTCGCCACCACCCCCTATTCAACGTATTATGGTTCGTTCACGGTCACTTTGGCTGCGACCACCCGTGGAACCATCCTAGATCTCTGTTTTGCTTCCATCGTTCTCATCTTCGTTCTCAAGCACGGTTTAATGTGTGAAGCCGCGGCATGCACTTGGCGACTCCATCTCCTCTACTTACCGAGGTCTTCACATCCGATATGTTCTCTCCTGTCTTGCACCTGCTACTTCGTACGGCTCCGTAGTGCCTTTCACTATTTCCAACCGGTTTATCAACAGGGCGATGACGCTCCTCGGCGCCCTCGACATCATTGTGGATAGGGCACATTTCCTTAGTCCGACATTTGTCAATCGTGCGCAGGTACAAACCAATGATGGCAGCGAGAGGGTTTTGTCGAGCAATCGCCAATCCGCCTCGGATTCATACACGTTGATGAAGCACGAGGCCCAAGCACACTTTCCAGCCTTCCAGCCTTCCAAGCCTACCCCCCGGTGCCATCCATTCGGTCCACTTTGTCTCATCGATGTCGACCCGGTCCCAAACTCCGTTTCCGAGATTCGAGGAGAAGCGTCTATTTCCTCAATCACACCAGTAACGTTCTCAGGTCCGGCTTTAGACTAGCCTCGACGTAGCTCCGCCGGTGCGACTTACCCCTGTAAGACATCTCAGGCTCGGGAGGCTGCACTGGAAGCATTGTGCGCTACTCGACTTATCGTTCATGTCCCGAGCGTTCTTATCGGCGTCCATTGTTCTCGTCGCCTCTTCGTTCCTCACGCGACCGGACCTGCAGCGTCGGAAACTATTGCACCATCGCAACACTGTGGCTCTTGTTCCGACATAGACCTGTGACTACCCATGCTCTGCTGGACGTCCAACTCAGGCCCGTGTCTTGCCTCTATACTGATTGCCTTTAATAGCTGTCGTACATCACAAGGGCCCGGGTGGCTGAGGCGCTAAAGTTTGAACCTCGCTTACAACAGGGTACATGGTCATAATCCAGCAAAGGTATCGCAGCGCTGCCACACCTCAGACCGCAGGATCGAAGAAGACCTTCCGAAATCTGGAATTCCCAACATCTGCCTCATGTGCCGGGGCCATCTCCTGCACTATCGTTATATATGTAACCTCGTCTCTCGCGTGCCGGTCTTCTTTCGATCCAGCCGCCCTGCTGCTGCTGAGTCGCCACCACCACGACCGGTACCATCCACCGTACTACCCCGGGTCTCTCCTCTACTCACCGCGGGTCCTCCACCGTGACCGTTTTTTACCTCACCGTGGCCTCGCCGTCTTCGACGACCTGAGCCATTCCGATCGACTCCGTTCTTTACCGTGCCCGTAGAATCATAAGCAACCTACCCACTCAGCTTGCTGGCTACGGCATGTTTTGAGGCTTTTTCTCTTGGCTAGCTCCGACTGCACTTATCCTCGCCCCTTTCTCATCTCTCCTGAGCATCCTTTGTTCACGTTCTTCCACACTTATCGTCCTTTGTTTTCTTCGCTTCTCGGTGCATCTACACCTACTGTGCCATTTACCTTCTCTCTGCTCATCCGTTGATTTGGCTGCGCCATCGACATGCTCGTACTCTCCCCCTCTTCGACTTGCGATGTCTGTCTCGAGCCATACAGGCTCGAAGGCGAGAATGCGGACGATTTGCGTTTGCCATGTGCGATAGAGTGTGGACATGTATTCTGTTACGGGTGCGTTTATCCTTCCCTTTCATACCTCCTCTACGACTCACTTATACTGCATCATTATACAGCTGTATCAACAACCTCGGTCGCCTTTCCTGCCCCCTCTGTCGTAGCTACTACGACCCCCGCTCCGTCCGACGCTTACACGTGGATATCCAAATCTGTCCCGACCGCGCGCCTCTTGACTACCACAACCCGGATTCCACCAATGAGCTCGGACTCGTTCATGGTCCTTCCTCTGAGGCCGTAGAGAAAGCGGAGAAGGTGGTAGGGGTGAATATGGAGGACGAGGGCAAACGGCATTTGACGGCGCAGTTAGTGTCGCTTGTGAGGCAGGGGGCAGAGGGTCCGGAGTTCCAGGCTATCTTGAAGCAGACGAAGGAGTGGTTGAGGGAACGACCGGATGAGGTATGTGTTGCACACATTCATTCATTTCACTGGCCTATTCCTCATTGTCCTTGCTTCAACCCTGTTTTGAATGCATGACCAACTGACGTATTGATATGTCCTTGTTTCTTTACCCGGAATCCGTATTCGGCTACCGTGATAATCACAGCATTGGGATCTTCGTGCCCTCTACCTCCTCCTCATTCGATATCAGGAGATGTACAAAGAACACCAGAACGCCCAATTGAAGCTCCACGAACTCAAGAGGGACTATCACGAATCCCAGGGAGAGTCTGTGCAGTTGAGGAAGGAGAAGGATGAATGGAAGGAAAGGGCGGAGATGGAGCAGATGGTCGCTCAGCACCAGATCAAGAAGCTGGAGAGTACGCTGGAGGAACAGAGGCAGACGGCGTTGGCGGTGGAGAGGACGCTGAGGGAGCATCACGATCGGATGGACGAGGAGTGGTCGAAGTAAGTTAAACTCTCCACCTTTGGACTAGCCCTGGTGCTCACTTATCTCTGTCGTTCATGTTGTCCCGTTCAGGAAGGTGAGCTACCATTTGGATTAGAATGATACTCCAACTTGGCAAACACTAATTCTTTCTTTCTTTCGCAGTATCAATCAGCCTTGAAGGAGATTCGTTCGTTCAAGGACCAGATCCGTCTCTTGACCTTCAACGGGCCCCATGGCGTCCAAGCCCGTCACTCGCCAGTCCCGGACCGCAACTATCCTTCCATCGACCAGGTCGCCTTCCCTTCGACGGACCGTCACCTTGACCGCACCCGCCAGATCAAGGCTACGTCCGACGACCACTTCTCTCCCTTAGCGGCCCACCTTTCTCCGTACCCAGTCATCATGAAGGGCTTCAGTCCGTTGTTCAAAGCCCATGAAGCCGACTCAAGCGACCCCGAAGGTGAAAACGATGACGAGGAAGAGGAGAGCTACGAGTCTGGAAACGACTACGAGAACGAGCAATCTCGCATGGCCGCCGATGGCGAAAGTCCCGAGGACGGTACTTTGGATAATCCGGACGGATCATCAGAACGCAGGTCGGACTCCTCACCTCCGCATATGACCCACCGATCGATCACGAAACCTGGTGCGATCCCGATCCCCCACTCGAACCTCACCCGGTTCTACGACGCTCAGGCGCAGTCACAGTCAGGAGTTACCTCCCAGTCTCCTTCTCAATCGCTATCACATTCGCACTCCCCGGGAAGCAACCCTTCTTCTCACTCCACTTCTCAGTCGCATTCGAACTCCCACCGTGACTATCCGATCCCCTCTCTCACGCATTCCAACTCGAGTTCAAGCACGATCTCGAGTACGATCTTGACGCCTGACTGTACGGGATCTGGTCCTGTTCCAGGAGTGGGAGCAACAGGAGCCGCACCGTCGTCCCTTCCCCATCCCAATCCAGCATCCTACTTTCTCAAACGGCACGAGAAACAGCGCGAGCGCGACTACAGCACTCTCCCCCGCCACTACAGCACGTCCAGTACTGGCCCACCCCCAAGTATCCTTTCTTCATCGATCACGAACGCCTCGACCACACTTCCTAGGCAGAGCAAGCTCAAGCCTGCCCCGGCACCCACCCCATCTCCCTCATCATCTCCTGAGCCACGGTTTGCAGAGGTAGTAGACTCCGGCGACGAAGGTGGGAGGATCACACACCGCCGTCAAGTCCTAGACGACCTCCTCACCGACCCCGTTCGACCTATTAACCTCCCTGTCTCTCCTGCGTCTATCCCTGCCGCCACAATCACTACCGGCGAGTTCCCTTACGAGAAGGATGTCCAGGTCCACGTCGTTAATCCTGCTCGGGAGACCCGCCGAGAATCGGGACGGACATCATCGAGGGTGCAAGGGCAGACGGACCGCGACCATACTCGTGACCGGGAGCGGGAGCGGGAGAAGGAGCAGAGGCATTACAGGCCTCAACCCACACCGTCCCCTGTACCCGCTCCGGTAGTGGCAGATCCGGTACCGACACCGTCCGTTCAAGGTCAACCGAGAGTATCTCACGCCAGCGAAGCAGCTCAAGCCCTTGAGCGAGAACGCGAACGACGTCGACGCGAGACGCAGTCCCAGAACGGCAACGGTGCTCCTGCGACAGCGCCTTTGGTGACTCCGCTCCGCGAATCGCCTGCCAGTCGTGCCTCTAATCAACAAGAAGCAGGATCGTACTTCCCGCAGCCTGGCAACATGACGAGTCGAAATGGAACTAGTCGAGGAGCGAACTTCAACGAGAGTCAGGCGCCAGCGTCAGGTTATAATCAGCAGCCCGGAGAGATGTCTAGGGAGTATAGTCATGAGTCGAGGAACACTTATGAAGGAGAGTATCAGGAACCTTCGAGGTCGAAGAGGTCTCAGCGGGAGCAGTTGGAGAGAAAGTCTAGCGGGAGGGAAAGGGAGAGGGAGAGGGAGAGAGACGGTAGGGAACATCGGCGCCGTGAGGAAAGAGATAGGGAGAAGGCGAGGGACCGCGATAGGGATAGGGACTACGATCGCGAACGAGATCGTGAGCGTGCTTTAACAGGAGGTGGATTGACGAGAAGAACCGCGGCTGCCGTTGGAGAGGCGTGATTCCTGGTGAAGGTTAGCCGAGTAGTACCCTTCGAGTGTCTTGTGTGGAGGTGTTCCAAGACGTTTTATTCGCTCATTACTATCCTCGTTCGTCAAGAACAACATCACATCACTATGCCTCCATTCTCTCCTTTCCTCTGACAGCTAATTATATACGACCCTCACTATTTAGCATTCTCCTTTTACATTGATTCCGTTTTATGTCGACGTGTCCGCGAGAAACCCCTTCCTCCTTCGATTTCTCACTGCTCAGTGCTTTAGAAACCATCATCCGCATCTCGCATTTCGTTATCCTTGTTTTCTTCGGTTATTCCTGATCTGTCAACCTTTTTAATCGGCAGATGGAGAATAACCGCAGACACTGGGACCAAAGCTTGTTTTTCATATTCGCTGTTTGTCACGATCATGCATGTCCGCGGGGATTCATTGTTCTAAGCTACGTTATTGTACGGGTATCACTATGATCGACGAGTACCGCATACTTCCATGGCTCTTCCTCCATCACTCAATCTGACCACTTACCCACCCTTGTATCTACGTTCCCTGTATGATTATGGATGGACTCTAGGTAATTTCTTACCAGATCTCTCATTATGAATGGCCCGCGATACTTTACGATGCCTGTTGAACAGTAAACCTTGGTTCTTCCAAATCTACCCAGGCCTGCCCGTCGTCTAGCCCGGAGCACCACGCCTGACCCTCGAGGTCCATCATCCAATCTAAGTCATAGCGCCCTATGTACTAGATAGGCTACAACACGATATGACCGAAGACAAGAAAAGCACGGACAAACCAGCCACACCTCCCACACGAGGCTTTCCACCGAGGAAATAGACTCGAGGAAGCCATCACTATTTCACGGTGGCGTTCATAGTCTAGAGAAGAGGCGGATTCGACGGGTAGATCGGGCTCTATATTCGGTTGATGAAAGAGCTGGTAGGCGGGCTGGATGTGGATGGAGAGAATGTTGATTAGGTGGATACCTCCTAGAAATAGTATGCGCGGGATCGAGTAACTCGACGAAGAGAACTGAGACATGTGAAGTAATGATGTCTGTACTGCTCGTCGTGCTGGGCTTACCTGCAACTGAAAATTCAGAAAAAACGGTACATCCTTTCCAAATGGTACATAAGCCCGCGCACGCCCACTACAAGGTCCATAAGTCCGTCTACCACATCTTGATCACATACCAGGCTGAACGTGATCTGGGGATCGGAGACCGAAAGTCCACACTGCAGAGAGGGCGGCAATCGATAGGCCTGCGGACCGCACAGACGCGTATCTCCATTCAACCGATTGTAAGCCATCCAGTTTCGGGGCGGTCATATAGCAGTCGTGTGCATTAAGATTAAGTACTCGCGTTGTGTGTGGGGCTCCGGACAGGAACGATAGGATTGATGTCGACGGCTTTCATCTCTACATTGGTGACCCTAAACAAACAGGCAAATCATGTGTAGATAAGTAGAAAATCTGAATGTTGACTGTAGGTAGGATCGGATGTCCCAAGTCAACGGACTGCTGTTCGATCTGTCCTTGAGCTGGTGAGAACTCTTCCATACGAGGACGCCGCACGCCATAGAAGCGAAAACACATAGCCATCATCCAACATAACAAAGGCGTGCATCGGTGATGGGCATGGAAAATATGAGGTGAAATGGTAAGAGCAAGCCTTTGCACGCTAACACAGGACGGCCATGTTTGCAATCAGGTGAGGATAATTAACGCATACGAATGCAAGAAACCTGAAGAATAATAACTCACAACCAGCTTCAAATCACTAATGCACTTCTTTGTCTCAAAGAGCCGATGTCGCTGCTGGGTACTGTAGTCCGCACTCACCTGATAGGCAGGCTGAGCTCCATCGTGGTTGCGGAAACAACCGAATGTAGTGACGGGCGGTTGTTTGGCTTTGTTGAATTCGAAAGCTCTTGCCCTTTCAAATTGCCTCATCTGTACGTCTTGTCCTTTCTCGACGCCACACAAGACACGCCGGCCGCGAAAGTACATATGTCACGACGAAGCAACTTGAAGGCCACCAAACGCGCGTTATTTTAATTTACTGCTCAATGTATAGAAGAAAGATCGTACATAATCAACATAGAAATCGTTCACTCAAGACTCGGCGATCGTAAATATCTTTCTACGAGATGTATCGTGCAAGTCCAAAGCCGGTTGATACTTCACCTTCAGGTCATCTGTTTGTTCCAACGCCACGTCCAAATCCCGATGTCTCGTCGCCTCCAGAATGCTCAGGAACCCGGTTCCTGCAGCTCCCCCGTTCACCGCCATACACCAGAGCCCGAACGCCGCACCTGCCGCCACAACGACCATCGCGACTCCATAGATTAACCAAAGCTTCCACGGCGTGTACTTAAACTCCGTATACGACGGGATAACGGTGACGTTCGCGGAAGTGTATGCGAGCTCGGGAGGATAGGTGATCGACGGCGAGTTCGCGACGAAACCGAGGGTGACATTGGAGAAGAGGGAAGTCAAGCCTTCGCTCAGATTCCCCGACGGTGCGGTGAGATTGAATGCCCATTGTGTCGCTAAGGAGGCGTTGTACGCGAAAAGAGGGGTCCATAGAGGTGTTGAGGCAGAGTTGGACGATCCGTCTATAAGCACTCCCTGGTAGTGGTCGTACGAGAGATTTCCGAAGAGAACTTGTACGAAAGCTTCTGCCATGGCTCGACTAGAGATTGCGGTCGAGGCGTAGGCGGGGAAAGCAGGGTGAGGGTCGTTATCTTGGGATGTATCGCTCAATTTCAACGAGCAAAGGTCGCCGTTCAGGCCCAAACCTGACGAGCAGTTTCCCGAGGAGAGGGGATAATTGTAGGACAATATGCGAGTTGACGAGGTTTGGGTGTTGTTCTCGAACGTCGTCGATGCGTTATACGTTGCAGCGTAGAATGCGCAGGAGGAGCCAATGGCGTTGGGGAGCTGTTGAATGGTAGTCCCTTCTGACCACTCTAGGAATGCATCCCCGGAGAAATTCGTAACGGTGGCGATCGTGAGATTGTATGAAGGTAAACTCTGCCACCCGAGCTCCGAGTGAATGAGATCCGCTGGGAGTGGCAGAAGGCTGGAAGTAGCGTTGTAGATGCCTTGACTCTCTGAGACGGCGTACAGTGCCAGAAGCGTCGCCTCGATGTCTTCTCCCGCAGTGATATTACTCCGTCCGTCCCAGATTTGACTCGCCTCGAGGTCCGTGCACTTGAGTGCTGGTGCGTCGTATGTGAAGTCGTAGGAGCAAACACCCGTGCAGCCCGGTGGCGCAGACCATGTTGCAGGCGAGTCGCTTGTCGCTGCTTGTGTGGCGATCTTCCGGAATGTATACGAGGCGCCTGCGTAGTCCCAAAAGAGGCTGAGCATAGCCGCGTCTGGAGGGTAGATGGCCGACATATTGAGATAGGGAACTTGTGATAGAATGGAGGTGGTAGGGGCATTGTCGATTGTAAGCGTTCCAGGAACGAAGACCGAGAGTGCACTGAGAGCGATGATGGAAAGTTGAATGGAGATGAGGGGGACGAGCAGAAAAGATCTGCCACGCAGGATGAGGGATATGATGCTGAAAGGATGATAGCTGGAGAAGATATCATCGAGTCGCGTTAGTGTAAATGATTGGCGCGCTGTGATAAACCATATCTGTGTGAGTGGAAAGGTAGTCAGCGCATCGAACGACATAATGAGAAGTCGGAAAACGTACCGCCTGGGCAACGCTACAAGACAGCGATGCTGTCCACGAGACGTGCGCCAGCTTCGGTAAGATGTTCTTCAGGGCTGTCACCCAGAATTGAGGGAACTGGTCGGAACGCTTCCCATTGAAATATGCGAAGACGAAATGGTTCGCCACAGTTATAACACACCCCAGCACGAATCCGCCGATGATGGAAAGCAAGCTGAACCACTGAAGGACTGAGATTCCAGCGGTATTCGCTTCCTTCGCGCGCTCATTCTGCGGCGTTCGATAGGTGTCATCAAAAATTAGCGACGACCTCTCGCCACTGGCTGCTTTGTACGGGTCGTATTCTTCATCCCAAGCCGTTTGGCGATTCATATATGGATTTGTGCTGTTATGATCAACCAATGAGCACATACATAGATAGAAAGCCTCAAGGCCGAAATGTACGAATGACGCACTTTGTTTTCTCGACAAGAGTTGGCACTGCAGTCGTCGCAGGAGCTTCCATCCTGGCTGAGTCCATTGATACCTGGTCACACGACGTGGATAAATAGACTAGAAATAATGAAAAAGAGAGCAGAACAGTGCTCACCTTGATCGCTGCGCGCGTGAAAGAGTGGCCGAAGCAACGGCAGGGAGCTAGTCAAGTTTATAAGGAAGGGGGAAATGGCAGCACGGAAAGTGCTAGATGGGAGAACCTTTTGGCAATCGGGCTAGAGCAAGTTGGAAGCGTGATGGGGGCAGCATCCTATTATATTTGATCAATCGGGGAGTGGACGTATGCAAACGGCACTTCGAGTTACATAACACCAGGGGTTAGAAGGCAATTCAGTCGCAAACACACGATGAGGAGATGTGAGCATTTGATAGGTTCATAAATTCGTCTCCATCACGATGAGCACTTGCTAGTGCATCGTCATCAATATAGTGTCCGTTCTACCTCGCATTTGCTCGGAACATAGATGCATCCTCTGGGAAAAGAACCTGTCCTGTGCGCACTGAGAGTTGCCTCGAAATCCTCTAATCATTCACAACTGTCCAGTTTATGCAGAGGTTTGAAAGAGTTCGTTAATCTCAGAGGATTGATGGCCGGGACCGGATGGGCCTCCAGTCAAGTTACCATCACTGGGGAGCTCAATCTCCGTCAGCTTCCGGCCTTGCTTGATCAGAAATTATAACGACTGTCATATCAAACTCACCTGGTAGTTGCCTGGGAGTGAACCGCTTCGGAATGAAATTGCGTGGGGGATCATCGCTGGAGTAGTGTCTGGTACAGCACTGAAGCACCAAAAAAAAATTAGTGGGACTACACCGTCGGATCTGGCCATGTTTACCTTGGGCAATTTTGGCAGCTTCAACTCTGGGAGCGTGTCGGTGCAAGGTAAAATGCGGCTCCCAACACGGCCGCATCATACTTTGTTGAGCAACAAGACACCGTAACGCGTCGCAAGCGATCACATACCGATATCGAACGGATCATCTCGCAGGGTCTAGCAGACTAGGCCGACATGCTTCCTAGAACTCGTTGATCGATGATCCTATATTAGAGTATGCACAGGTGTGCACAGCCAATACGTCCTTTTTTGATAAGGCCGTCCGAGTACTGGTCGTGTATAGTACGCTGTTATGTTTGCATGTGATTCCATACAGGTATGATAGACTTGACTCGTCGGCTGCTTTTATTGTGAACAGGTCTTCGCGTAGATGATTTCGGTGTACGAGTAAAGCTTGGTTCAACGAATATGACACATAAGTCGAAATGCGGTTGAGATTCGATGATGATGTGGGTGTGTCACTCTTCGATGTGCGATCGCGACTAGGCACAACTGTGTGGACAGGTGCGCCACGTGTCATATAGTGGCCCAGGTAGGGAAGAAAATACAGAGTCAACATCCAACGGTCACAATGTAAGCAAAACAGGTTACTATATTACAGAGGCAGCCGTGTATCGGCAAGGATAATCTCACATGTAAGATTGGAAGCAGAGGGAGAAGAGACGCAGAGAAGACGATGAGGGGATGCATAGGTCGGCTATAGGGCAAAGGCGTCCCGTTTAGGATTTGGAACTGCACTGGTTCAATCCAGCGCCGCAGAACTGGGCTGCAAGAACCCATACGAGCACCTGCACGTCAACATATAAAGGTTAGTCAACAATTATCCTGCCCGCCACTCGCAATGCCATCTAAACGGCTATCGCATACGAGTACGAGCAAACAGATTAGATGACGACTTACCAAGGCCACCAAAACTCCGAGCGCAACCACCCTCTTATTCTTCCACCACATCTGTCTCCTCACAGTCCTTGCCCCTCTCCTAAACGCCGTTGCCTGACTCGCCATGTTATCCGTCTTATCTACCAACAACTCGATCCTCTCTCCTCGACTAAGGATCTGCTCAACGTTCTGCACCATGATGTTCTTGACCTGGTCGAGCTCGTTCTGCGCGCGGGCCAGCTCGTCGGTTGGAGGGTTGGTGTTGTAGGTGTACATGAGCTGGGAGATGGTGGGCCCAAATGTGTGTTGGAGGGCGTGTGGAGAGTGAGGGATTGATGATGACGAGGAGGTAGATGCAAACTATTTTTGAAGGATCAATGTGAGATTATGAGATATGAGGCAAGGATACTAAGACGACAGTACCTTTCGTTGCAGGTCGCCGAGGAATGTAAATGGCATCCGTCTGTGACGGCGCTCAAGGGTGTCAGCACCACGATACTGATGGTATAAACTCAATACGAGCGTACCTTCCGGCAGAGTCATCTGCCATGGTCAGAAAGATGAATCCTCCCTCCGCAATATAATGGAACAGGTACTGCTCCCAAACATAGGTCATCTTTGAATTACCCGGCCCTATCCTCGATAGGATGGTCTGCGTGGCTAAACCACCAAAATGGCGATTAGTATACTCACATAAGCGTTCCCAGAAGATATTGCCTACCTTGCGAGAAATCTCGCTGGCCAGCCTGATGCTCCGCAAGGATAGTGTCTCCTTGGGCAACGAGAGCGTGTATCTAGAATGGTCAACTAGTCAGACTTCGCCATTTCTCTTTCCTAGGAATTCTGTATTAAACAATACAGATGAGAATAGCTGAACGCACCAAAGACATCTCTGGATATAAATGGTGGTAAACTGGTAAAGGGGGAGGACAGTATCAGTACTGCGGCAAGTGGCCCTCGTAGTAGTGAGGTGACCCGAGCCGGCCCAAAGCCGGCCTGCCCTGCGTCATCGTCGCTCCACTCGATATGGCAATTCGTTCCCATACGGTGGTGTTCCTGAATCTGCGTGTGGCACTAGATTTGTGGCGAGGCATACCTTACAGCAACCATTGTTCTGTCAAGACTGATTTTCGTCCTGAATTCTTCCGCCTACTATCATCGTGCCAAGCGCAGATATACGATACAATTGAAATACACGTCAATTTTGGCAATATTTCAAGACATCATCCTAGGCCGGTCCAGGATATGTACGATTTCGACCACTCTTATACGAGACACCTACATGTCCTATGCACAGGGAGCAGAGTGGGTCCAAGGCACCAATTGTTTGCAAACCCATGCTCAGTGGATCACACAATGAGGAGACACATAAGTTGGACGAGCAGATAGTGGGATCACAGCACATGTTATGAAAAGCAAAAGCGGGACCGCGGGACAGGTTTTGCACAATTAAGATACAAAAACCCGTTGCGCGTCCAAGCGGCGACATTGATCATTGACACAACACAGCGGTACAAGGCCCCTCCCCAATCACCCATATGCATTTTGATTGCTCTCCAACGAGAGCACGACATACAACGTAGACATAGAGGTAAACTGCGACCTGGAGATCACAGACGACGACCACGGCGACCACCCTGAAAAAAAAACAGAACATGATGAATGGACGATAGGAAGTGAGGGAGATGCACTACATACCTTGCGACGGGTAGAGTCGGTGGGGACGGGGGTCACATCCTCGATCCTTCCGATGCGCATGCCGGAGCGAGCAAGAGCACGGAGAGCGCTCTGAGCACCGGGACCAGGGGTTTTGGTGCCAGTGCCGCCGGTAGCACGAAGCTTGATGTGGAGGGCAGTGATGCCAACCTCACGGCAACGGGTAGCGACGTCCTGAGCGGCCAACATGGCGGCGTAAGGGGACGACTCGTCGCGATCAGCCTTGACCTTCATTCCACCTAAACATTCCAATCCAACCGCTGAGTTAGTCGCGTATTCAGGTCGTGAGGCTGAAGATATCACGCACCGGTGACACGAGAGATGGTCTCCTTTCCGGAAAGATCGGTGACGTGAACGAAGGTGTCGTTGAAGGAGGCGTAGATGTGAGCGACACCCCAGACGAGCTCTCCCTCAGCGACTTGAGGACCGAGCGAGACGGTGGCCTCTTCCTTAGGTGCTTTAACTTTCTTGGGAGGCTGTAAACCAAGAGTAACATCCGGTCGTCAGTGATGCCATCCATCGCATTCCTCAAAATTTGAGGCCACGACAACGCAATAGATCGTTTCTCCAATAGCCTCGAGCATACTAGAGACCACGTACCATATTTTTGAGAGCTTGAGGAGGTCGGTGCTGGTGTCGATGATGAGCAGCCTGTTCGCCAACAGCCAAATTGTTGTGCGCGCGGCGTTCGGAAGTTGCCGCTTACAAATCTTTCGTGCCACCCTCGCGCCTTTCTCTTGACCCACTTTTGACCACCGCTTCGTTGCCTGATCTGCCCATGGCTAGCCTTCCATATCTTTCCTGTCTCAAAGGTGGAAATCTAGCTTTTTCCTGCTGGTATCAGTTGCTGAAAATATCCTTGTATCTCTTGTCGTGAAACTCACTACGCTGCAGAATTTCAGAATTATAACGATGACTCGTCGTGCTCTAGCGCATGCAGGTCAAACCTGTCTCTGCGTATGTAGCACAACAGATCATCACTCTAGAGAGTATTCGGTACCATCTAGGGCTCTATCTACTCGTGCTTCTTCATCGTGCCTTCATCTTCCCCTTCATCACAGTCCGGCTTCGTCGTGTTGTTAACGATCGACTCTTTCAACGCGCGGACTGATCGTCTTTCGAACGCGAAGAGGACGTAAGTTTGCTTCTTCTATGCCCTCCCTGTTTTCAAGACGAGCTTTGTCTCAGCTCGAGTGCAAATGTGACATCGAATTGCTGACTAGGATATCTCCGATAGCGCCTCCTTCCAACCTAGGGCTCTCCAGGCCTCTGGAAGATAATCCACAAGCTTTGACATTCTGGACCTCGCTTATAGCATGTTACAATGGGTGCAGGTAGCTCCCTGTGGCTCCCGATCTCACTCAGACGAATAGGGTCGTGCTTCTGCCTCGTTTCGCCCGCAGAACGTAGTGCGGCCGTGTTTACCTACCCTTCGTACCATCATGGACGTCGCCTCGCCGTTCTCGAGGGAAAAGGTCACCCTATTTCTTTCAGCGAGTATCTTCGGCGTATCCAATTTGAGGACGTTCTCGTATGCCTGCGGGTCACATCAACACTACACTCTACTACACTACTGTAGAACAGAAGACTGGAGCATGCCTCGATAAGCCTGTGCACCACGAATTCGGCATGGTCATTACTCATCTACAAGCACGAAGTTCTATTGTATCTTCTGCTTCTGACTTACCCTTCGTTTTTCTCAAGACCGTCTCAATTCATCTTGTTCCATCGACCCATTGCTTGCACGGTTATCAGATAGCGATAACCGGCGGTCTCTGTTGCCTGCCGCAACGGTCTGCTGCGCCACTTCGCTTTTCCTATGAGCTCTTGAGCCCCTTGCCGCTCTCTCAGACGTTGTGTGATATTTTCCTCCCATCTCACTTCTCCCACTCCTCAAATAACTTACCAATGAAATCCGATTCTTGAAATCTCGCATTTACTCCACTCCCAATAGTCGAGAATAACCCTGCCAAACGCGCAATTGCGGGGACCAATCGCAGATCACTGATCTGTCCGTGCACACCAGCTGATCCAGCCGATTTCCCAACGAGCCCCTATCCGATTTCCAAATCCCACCAGAGCCAACTTTCGTCGTGCGATTGTACTTATGGATTCAGCAGTTTACATATCGTGATCGTGTAGAACGCGAGGCTGCGCTCAGGTCGTGGTGCGTCTATCACGCCGTACACGCCAGGATAGTCAGATGCGGGACCAGATCCCACTGTGCTTGGGTCTCCAGTCGAGTATAAATATCTACTCATGGGACCGTCTTGAGCGTTCCTCATTACCTCGCACTTGATCACCTACTACACTCACTACACCCCTCTCAACACCAATGGCTCCCTCCCCTCAATGCTCTGCCCTCGCTGCCGCTAAGGAGAGGAAGGGTCTGTACTCCTTGTCCTATTACTATCCACACCATCCCTACCACCCTCGTCGCTATAAGTTCCGACGTGCTTACGGCTGCTTTTCTCTCTGGATACTTGTTCTACCCAGGTCTGTCCTACGGCCAGATCGCCTCTCAGCTCGGCACCTCTGAGCAACACGTCGTCGACAGTACGTTCTTATCTTCTCATCATTTCACTCCGGCGCTGATCGCACAAATGGGTGGAACCGATCCCAGTCTGCACTGGAAGCAAGGCCGCCACTTCTGACGAGTTCAATGCTCTCGCTCAAGTCTTGGACATCAAGGCCGCTGTACGTATCCTCACTCCCTTGTACTGCATGGCCCACCCCTCACCGTTTCACCGTCCTTCTCCCACTGTTCTTCCTTCTCGTGTTGTCATGGTTTACTGACCGCAAACCTTCAACCTTACTATGCATAGCCCCCTCACGACTCCGCTCACGTCACCAAGTAAACCATTCATTGGTTCATCTGCTTTGTATCTCTAGATTCCGGGTTTTGTTGTAGGTTATCGGAAGGTGGGAGTGTCTGCATAGCTTGTACGAGATGTTGGGACGTGCGTTGTAATGTCATGCTGTTGGTCCGAGGCTAGGAACTCGATAGTGTGAGTATCAATGCAGGAACATCCAAGCTTCCAGAAATCCGGTAAAGGATCTGCGAAAGCTATTTTGTAATGCGAGAGGAAAAGCCTACGACTGAATTCAAGAGAAGGCCCACTGTGTGTAGAGAAGACGAGTTAGGACAATTGTACAGAAGGCTCGGGCTTTGCGAAATACAATCACAATCCATAACATTAGAGCGACAGTGGTGAAACATTACTGGGATATTACAGCAGTGACATATGGAACTCGTTTGGCGGAGAAATGGACAATGTCTGAGAGAGACGGCAAAGTGGCGAGCACTAAACACGGTTGACGCGCCACCGTGGCCCGCGAGTGGCACCACGTCCTTTTCAGTGAGTAAGTTTCCGTTACTCGAGAGAGGGGAAATATCTACACTGTTCTGAAAAACATCGGCCAGCGATTGCAGAAATTAGCCTGTCCATCCAGTCGTTTCTAGTATTTTGCTAGCGCTGTTAGACAAACTATTTTATCGGAATATGTGCCCCTTGTGCCAGATGAAGGCTCTCGTTTGAGAAGTGAATGACTGTAGTCAGGACGTCGGCCGTTTGATCTAACCCTTGAGAGTCATCGGATGTGCTGCGAAGTCCGACACGGATGATGACGCTGTAAAAAACGACTGCAATGAGAGGCGGCGCCTGTGTTGTGATGGAATAAGGTCTTCGATATGCGAGAAGGGACGTCAAAAATGACACTTACAACCGCTTCCATAATCAAAATTCCACTTAGCTGCAGAATGTAGCATATAAACAACGATACGAGAGTAACCGTAGATAGGACGCCTGCATCCACGATAATATGGATCACCGAAATCAGGGTGCGACGGCTATAGTTGGCGGTGGTCGATCGGTGTATCTTCTTGAGTTGAAAGGCTAACAACGCTGTCAGGGAATATAAGTAGAAGTATTCTCTAGCATACGGCATGAGACCTACTAACAAGTACAGATGACGTTAACAAACGCCGAGAGACCGACTGCAGTGAGCACCAGTGGTTTCCTTGTCTCTTTCAGTTGCTTCGTTGCATATCCACATAGCCCAATTAATCCTAACACTGGTGGTATGTAAAGACATCATCGGGTAAGGGTATGCCAGCCTATCGTGAGTATGATGATCGACTACGTACCGACGGTACAGCAGAGCAATATAGCAGGTGCCATGACCATAGCTAGTCGACTCTGGCATACAACATAGCAGCGGTATACCTTCGAGGATATAATCTTAGCCCCGGCACGGAAGCAGCCTGGCTCTGATAGAAAAAAAAAATCTGTTGCTCACGAGTACACTATCGGCAGTGAGGATTTGAAGACCAAGCAGGGTGAATTTCAGAATGTATGAGGTTGTGTCAGTGCTGAACAGCCATTTAACAGGCTGTGGTTGATTCAAAAGGCCTTCGATTGTACTCCACATCACCTGCACTGTTTGCTGGTGGGACAAGGTCAGCTCAGGGTGAGGGCTCTTACCGATTACGAAAACTTACTAGGACAGTGAGTATCAAAAATATGCATGAGCCACCAAACATCATAAAGTTGACCTGGTTCAAGCTTCGACCACGAAGGAGAACTAGGATGGTGAACCCAAATAGAAAGAGAGAGAAACCTAGTCGTTCGGCGTTGAGATTGATTTGTTCAGGTAGAAACGATGATGGACTGACCGCAAAGAACGCTTTCAAGGCCTACAGCAATAATGGCGATGGCCTCCGGAGACGTCACATTAGCCATGTAGTCAAGGATGGCGGAGGCAGCGAACAAGGGCGAAATCAACTTCTTGCAGGGACAGGTACGTGCGCACTGAACCTTTTATCCATGCAACACTTGCGGCTGTGGGGTGATACAAAATGATACCATCGCACCTAGCCATAGAGTCTGCAATGGAGACCACTGGTCAGAAAATATCAGCCGCAGAGACGCCCGGATCTATCCTGGCATATGTGCTCTGTTATAAATATGCAAATAGACTTCTTGATGTAGAAACAATACGGTCAGCATCAACCCATAATACAAAAAGCTCAGTGTTTCACTCGTCTCAGCAGGTATGGCTGTCGTTGCCTCGCACAGTGAAATTTATGTCTGCCAATTCGAGTAATTAGGTCGAAGTTGGCTTGCGCGTCAGTCGGTTGGCGGTGACTGCTGAGCATCTCGAGACCAGAATACATCTCCATTCACTGAGTCCAACTGTTTGAAGCGAGGCGCGACATGTTATATCTCGATGATATGGTATTCGGATTCGTAGACGTATTCCATAGAGATGACTGAAATGCATTATCTAGGTATCAAGTCCCATCCATGTCCAGACACCTTAACCGATCCTCAAATGTGATGATCTGTTTCTCGAGATCTATATCTTCCTGCTGATGGCCAAAATCTTCGCTCGGAAAGTGAACGATGGTACTCAGCACATGATCGGCCTGACTATTGGGAGACTCCAGATCCTGAGTCGCGTCGAAGGTGGCGTGCAGTCCTACACGTGTGATGACGCCGTAAAATATGACAGCAATGAGCGGAATGTTCTGTACATATAGGACGGTGTTTAGTATAAGAGGTATAGCGATACTGGATCATGGTGGCACCATGTAGACTTACTGCGCCCAACATGATGGTCAGCACGTTCGACTCAAGTAGATAAGAAATGAGTGTTGTGACAAGGAGGATGGTGTAAAGAAATCCCGCGTCCACGATGATGTGAATGGCTGATAGAAGTGAGTGATTCTTAGTGACCATAGACTTGTGCATCATCCAGAGCCGTATAGTCAAGAGAGCTATTCGGTTGAGAGATCGAAATTTACGCGTTAGCGAGAGAACGAAAGGACGTTGTACTTAATTTGTACAACAAGGGGAACACGGAAGCAAGAAACGTACTCACAGGTGCAAATGACATTGATGAGCAAACAGCAGCAGAAGAAGGCAACCATCAAACCAGTGCGACTGCTCTGCAGCTGATCTGTAAAATACCCCCAGGATGCAACAAACACCGTTCCTGAATGCGGTGACAAACATTACTTCAGGCTGCACGATGATCAGAAATGAGAACATGCCTAAGCTTATGCAGAACAAGATAATGGGTGCCACCATTAATCGCATTCGTCCTTGCCACACGATATAGCATCTATAAACCTGTAGTTGGAGTCGTTAACTCCACATGATTCCTGATGATAAAAGAGAAATATATGTCACCAGTACAGCATCTCCGATGAGAGTCTGCAGAGCGTCAATGGCCATGTCAATAATAAACGTCGCTGTATTCCTCTCTCCGAGCCACGTAGAGGGGGGAGAATGGTCTAGCAGGCCCTCAATCGCACGCTGCATAAACGTTGCGATGTGCTGTCCACGCGATTTCAGCGAGCATACAAATTGAACGAGCGATTAGGAAAAGCCTCACCGCGCTGGTGAGTAGCAGAAGTATACAGGCGGCAGAAAGTAATACAGGGTTGATGTCTCTCTTGCTTCTATGGTGGCAGAGTACCCGAATAGTGACGCCAAACATGAAGATGGAGAAACCTAATCACGATTCAAAGGTCTGAGTGTTACAATGAACTGTACAGAGGAATAGCGTACCATACAAAATGCACGAGAGACCAAGTGAAACGAGAGTAGCCTTTGCTAGAGACAAAGACGCCATGCGCGTGAACGATCAACGTTGAGGAAATAGAGGTGGGGCATCGATCTTTATATCTAGCTCAAGAACAGCGATGTTGCGAGAAAAGTCGATGGCGTTGCTGTTTACGCATAGCTGCACCGCAAGGGATCGAGTTCGCAGTATCCGGAAAGATTCCTGATCACAGTAAAGATGTAGTTACATCACATCTCGAGCATTCTTGGGGGTGAAAGACGATGAGAGCCAGACAAAAACGAGATGGGATTATGAATGATGCACTCGGAGTTTACTTATCCAACAAATAGACAGGATCACCTACAATCGACAAGAAATTATATCGAGTGACAGCGCTCTGATGGGGGAAGACGGGGCTTGCAAGATGGCGTTGCGTCGGGACTTGAGCTTGATCTGATTATTGTGAAGACGGACAGTCACCGACTCCAGTACGATGTATCGGCATCGTGAGAAAGTGGACGTACAATCGCAGTGAAGGCCGCAGCGCTACAAGGCAAGCAGAGGTCATACATCAACGGCATCACAACTCAGAATACGTAGAAGGATGTTGAAACTTCCTGGAGACCGACTTCATTCATTCCAGACCATTCGAGGTCATCATCGATGGAGAAACCAAGTTTCGCTTCGCACACGCAAGTACGATGTCCGCGGAATGGAGCCAAGTATACAGTAAGTCATGGCGGCATACTGCTAAATCAACCAGCGTGATCTTCCATATTGGCTACAACCTGTGCAGAAGTTGGATGAGCTACCCGCTCATATTCCGATGATACTTTCATATCGGGTCTGATGAACATGAAAGGCATGGTTCCTTCCTACCAACTTAGATACTTAGAATGTACACCATGAGCCTATAAACGGATACAAAGATAGATTGCACTTCTCTTGGACTTCGATCATTTCCCGATTCCCCTCATTTCTATTCGTGATCGGGGCCTGTGCCACCTTGCCGCCCTCAGCACAGTTCAGAACCCAGCCTGCGCAGCCTCCCTCTCCGCCAAACTCCCCCTCGCGGCCCAAGCCTTCACATGCTGCAAATCCTCCTGTTCCTCTAACTCCTTCTCCGCCTCCTCCGTCAACCCCCATCCTCCTCCCCCCGGCGTCTCGATAAGCAACCTATCTCCTTTACCCATCCACACCGTAGCTTTCCCTCCGATGTTGACGTACCGCGGCTCCTGGGGCTCGCTCGCACTGGAGCCAGAGTCAGAGTCAGAGCTAGAGTCCGGCTCGATGAGGTCCCCGTCTTCTTCGCGCGGCTGTTTGATCCAGGTGTTTCTCCCGAGTGCGCCAGGTCCACCGCCTTCGAGGCCATAGGGCTGTCTGGTCCTCCGCTAAGAATATATAGCAACGCAGATGGACATCTATCAGCATATTCATTCGATCTTCTAGGAACGCTCGTAAAATCATGGACGGACACAACGAAGAGCGAAGCCTTCCGATGAGTTCTATCTGATGCACGAAAACCTGCCTAGGCCTGATGTCATGGCGTGGCAGACAGATTTCCGGTGACATTTACAACAAAGAATCAATATTGATGGACATTCCATGCCTATGATATCGCCGCACGAACGTGGCCACGCGTAGTCTCGCAGTTTCAAGAGCGGTTGTGAGCATTGAACCCCCGACCACACGGTTTCAAGGCCCCGAATACCGAGCACCGACGAGAAGAAGGAAGAAGAAGAAAAGGGACGCGAAATCAAACTCACTTCCGACAAAATCGAAACCTGCAACCCCTCCGTAAACTCCAACTCCCTCACAACTCCCTCGCCACCCCTCCACTTCCCCTTCCCATTACTTCCATCCCTCAACCCAAACCTCCTCACCACTAACGGATACCTCCTCTCCAAAATCTCCACGTCCCCGATCCTCGTATTCGTGATGTGCGTATGCACTCCGCTCGTCCCGTGCCACCCAGGGCCCGCACCGCTCCCGCCCGCTATTGTCTCGTAGTAGCCCCATCCTGCCACAGCGACGGTGCGACCAGAGGCGTCGGAGGCTTTGCCGCCGGCGCCGAAGGTGAGGTTGTTGGTGCAGCCTTGGGAGGCGGCGCAGGCGTGGAAGGCTTTGAGGACGACGTCAACGATGCGTTGCGAGGTTAAGACATTGCCGCCGCAGACGGCAGCGGTGCGTGAGGGACAAAGGAGGGAGCGTTGGGGGATGCGGACTGTGCCACACAGAGGCCATAGCACCAACAAAAAGAGGTAATAAAAAAGTCAACACACGGCTGTGATGTGGATGGGGATGGCGGGGTGAACGTACTGTCAAGCGGGACCAGACATCCAGCGTTCAAAGGTATATCCATATCGAGCATACTCCGCATACAGTAGATGACCGCGCTATGCACGACCGAGATCGGAGCGTTGAGGTTCCCGCGGACTTCGCAGCCTGTGCCTTCAAAATCGAAGATCGCGGAGCCAGCAGAGGGGTCGATTGCGACGTGGAGGCGGATCTACGAGAGTTTGTCACGGAGGCGGAGTCAGTGTACGGAAACCTTGGGTGGGGTGTAGACCTGCATGGGTATATCGATAGTATGAAGTTGGAAGAGGGGGACGAAGAAGGGAGGGGCACACACGGGCGATCCGTCGTCCAAATAATCTATTGCGCTCAGAACGTTCGAGCCGTTCTTCTTCGCTACGTCTTTTAGCAAGTTCCGTACGGACATCTCGGCGTTGTTTCGAATGTGGTACATATAGTTCTGGACGGTCTCGAGGCCATAGTCATCGACGACTATGCAAAGCATGAGCCCCATTCGAAAGGACTCCCGGATCCTAAGACTCACTCTGATGAATGAGTTGAATACCCTTATGGTTCGCCGCGATTTGCTAGTTGAACAGAACATAATCTTCAGCATTTCGTTCTCATCCTCAAACATAAACCACTTACCGCCTTCAAGTCACTCTCGACATCCCTCAAATTCCTACACCCACTAGCGCCCGGGTACCTCGCCGGTCTATCACACATATACTCCCTCAATCCCTCCCCGTCGAACACGCCCTCGCTCACTATCTTAAAGCTGACGATCTCCGCTCCCTCTTCGAAGATGTTGACGGACGTGGGGGGCATGGACCCTGGGAGGATGCCGCCAATGTCGGCGTGGTGGCCACGGGAGGCGGTGAAGAAGATTATTTTGGTGGGGTTTGTTGGGGAGAAGACCGGGGAGATGATAGTTATGTCTGGGAGATGGCTGATAGTGAAACGTTCATGAGCACCCGAACTGAGAAGTTGACGCCACAGTGTGGCCCATCCGACGGACTGGAGCTTTGCTGCTCAAGCACATCCGGACACAAGGTTAAATTGACAGCAAAATTGCACCGCCAATCGCGAGTGGACCATCGCAAGTGGGCCGTCGCGAGAGCAAGGCATGATAACATGTTGAACATGGAGGAAAGACTCACGAGCCACCGGCATGCGGAGAATTCGTCATTAGCACATCGCCCTCCTTCAAACTCTCCCCATGTAATTTCATCTGATACTTGACCGCACTACACCATACCACATCCCATTCCATCCACCCCATCCGATCCCACACACATCGATCAATCAGTCAGCGACCCAGTCCCAGCTACTTCAGCAACCAAACCAACAATGAACTCACAAACTCATGCTCCCCAAATGAATCGGAATAAATGGCGCATTCGCCACCAAGTCTCCGTCTGGCGCAAACAGCGCACATGAGAAATCCAAGCGCTCCTTGATGTTGGTCGATATGGAGGTCTGTTGCAGCGACCGGCCCATCGCCTCTGCTACGGACATGAAGCGGTTGGCGAAGAGGGTGAGCAGGATGGGGTCTGGGCCTTTCTTAGTGATGTGTTTGGAGACGTCCATGGTAATATGTAACGCTGGTCGGTTGTATGACGAAGTCAAGTCAAGGAGATCAAGTAAATCCTAGAGATGTGGATATCTGACTAGGGGGGACGAGATGTATGTCAGTGGTGTTCGTGAGATTGAGACTTTCGCATCATGGATAATGCATCATGGCTCACATACAATACTTAGAAGAGGATACCTGTTCTCGAGTCACACCGAGCAGCAGTATTTATGGGGGTCACAGAGCGTCAACGTCGTGGACGAGCGCAAGGAGCTCCGTAGGGCGGCCGGCGGCAAATGAATTATGGCGACGACTACTGAGACTGTGGCGTGCTGTGGCCCAATCTCACTCAGGATACAAATCTATTATCTGGAAAATTCCTTGCCCCTTGACGCACAACAGTGACTATGGTATATATTTACTTATAGCTGGGGGCCCGGCACTGGCATGAGACCTCTCTTTACTCCTATGCAGGCTACGATAAAGCAGTACTGTAGTAAGAGTAAGGAAAAGAAACGACTGTACGAAACTGTACAGCGACTTTATTGCTCGTTATGCCCTATTCTTTCCAGCTCGGGTCCTCTGACCTAAGTGGCCCTGGCCTGACCTGACTAGCCTGACCTGCCCCAGTCATGCAAAATTCCCCCTTCCTGAAACTTTTCAGGCCTCGTCAGTGGGGCACATCGTAGCTGAGCTAAATCTGCCTGGGTTTACAGAGTCAGACCGAACCAGGCAAATGCAAGTTTTGCGACATGGCAGGGACATATGCGGTGAGTGTTAAGGAGAAGTATGCTGCTGAGTGCAAATCCTCCCTGTTATAGATGGACATCAAAGCAAGTAGCCTATATTCCCCTGGCAAGCACCTCCGAACTTCGTTTTATCGTGTGAGGCAATGCAAATCTTGTTGATGATGAACGAGCCTGGCGGCAGGTAAGCAGTCTAACACGACATAACACTGTCTCAGATAGACACAGTCGACGCCAGTCGATCAAAGCTAGAGAAGTTTGTGAACCAAAGACGGGCTGTTCGTCTACATAACGACCATGAGAACATGAAGTTCGAGCCTGTTCGAGCTCACGCTTTATTTCAGCCGGTGCCACACGAACCATACACATTTCCCAGGCCACATCAACATCAAATCCTCTTTTCAACCACCTTATCCTCGTCCTCCATCGCGTGCCGCATTCGATATCCAATCTTTAGCAGAAACAATCGAATTCCCAAGGGTGAACACATAAATCATGGCCGACACGCTCACGAGCTACCTCGAATCCCAAGCCTCCCTCGTTCAACAAGCCGCGCTCGCGCTCCCCCACCAATTCTCCACCTGCACCCATTCCCAGGGCTACATTCGCCAATCTATCTACCTTTGTCTCACCTGTGCTCTACCCCGCGGTATCTGCTCTGCGTGCTCCATAGCCTGCCACACCGACCACGAACAGCTCGAGCTCTTCCCGAAACGCCACTTTCGATGCGACTGTCCCACTACATCGATCCCACATAAATGCACGTTGCACAAAGGAACAGAGGGCGGAGAGGAGGATAATGCGGAGAATCATTATGGTCAGAATTTTGAGGGATTATTTTGTAGATGTGGGAGGACGTATGAGGCGGAGAAGGAGAGGGAGACCATGATCCAGTGTTTGGCGTGTGAGGTGGGTTCCTCCTGGCTTGAGACGTACATTCGACTCACCATATCTATTGGTAGGACTGGTTTCACGAGTCATGTCTTCACCTCCGCGAGCGACCATCCTCGCGAGAATCAACACCCGTGCCCGACGCGTGCCCGACGACCCAAGGTGGGCCACACGACGCGTCTACAAGCACTGCCCAAGACGCGAACGCGACAGCCCCTGTCCCAGACGATAGCCATGATAATGACGAAGACGACGCCCATTCCGACGCGTCTTCTTCAGGTCTACCGCCCCCATTGATCACAGCCTCAGACTACGACGCCCTCATCTGCAGCTCCTGCGTCCGGAAGATACCCATCTTGCAACGATGGGCAGGCACACCTGGCGTCATGATGGTCGTGCGCGATCATTCCAGCTCGCCTTGGAAGGTTCTCAATGGCGATACGTCGAACTCTAAGGCTAGTCGTACCGCGACAGACGCAGAGTCCCAGGACGTTTCCGTGGTGGATACATCCACGGAAGTATCAATAACGACGACGACGGAATATAAACTAGGAGACAAAAGACCCCTATCTCCCTCTTCCCATGACCACGACATCACAACCACAGACTCCAAAAAACCACGAACTTCTCCCCCACCCTCGACGGCTGATCCGACTCCGACCCCGTCAACATCCCAATCCCGATCCCGATCCCAATCCCACTCACGCCGCTGTCTCGCCCCGCCCGTCGACCCAACTGCCCAAAGGATCTACGCCTCGCTACGATCTGAGGCTCAGGCTCAGGCTCCCAACCTCACTTCCACTTCTTCGTCCGTTTCTACTTCCGATGTGGCGACACTACCCGAATGTGAAGGGGATATCTTCCTCACGGACGACTGGCGAACGAGATGGTGTCGTTGTGACTCCGTACGTGCCCTTCTCGTACACTGCTTTGCTTCCTTCTCTTCCTTTCCGCGCCCACTACTCACACACACCATTACTCCATTCACTCGACTTGATTTGATTTTGATTTTGCTCAACCCCATTCACCTGATATGTACCTGTACAGTGCCTGCCACAGCTGGAAGTGCAACCTTACCTGCTAGAAGAGGAAGAAACCTACGAACCGCCGGAAGATCCTGATTCACGTACGTATCCTCTTGTAAATTCGTCAAATCCAACCCCTTCCCCTCCACTTCCCTCACTTCCCTACATACCTCATTATTCAAGTCCTATCCGACCATCCGTCGTGCTAATGAAAAACAAGATAATTGGATGCTAACAATGTTGGTGGTGACACCGAATAACAGAACTCTCCCTCGAAGAACTTGGCGTGCGAGCTCTATCGCGTATTCCGCGTGAACGCGCACTCGATGGTATCCGGGCGTTCAACGACATGCGGTATGTCCACCTCCACCTCCTTCCCTTTTCTTTGCTTCTGCTCCCCTCCTTAGACACAAATACTAACCACCCGACTTCGAATGACCACCAAACACACATACATACCATACAGCGACTCCCTTGTCTCCTTCCTCCGCCCCTTCGCACAACAGGGCAAGATCGTCGCAGAGGACGATATTAGGGGATTCTTCGAGGAGAAGCGACAGGGACAGGGAGGGAGCTCATGAATTTTTCGTTCGCGGAGGTAGACTTAGACTTCTTGCTTTACTGTTGTACGTCCGAGTCTTTCTTGTGCCACGCGTGTGCATCTGTGCTTTCTATTCGATATTCAAGTTATCTGGCTTTGGCGCTGAAGCGCTGAAGCTTGTGGTGCTTGTCGCTCAAGTGGCGAGAGAATCTAGTTGCCATCGGAGAGTTGAAAGACTCTTCGCCGTGCTTCCTAGAATCGTCAGGCGAAAATCGCGCGTTCGCCGTCTTCTACCGCGGTGTCTTCATATTTGCTCCTGCTAACGTGATTGATGAGCTTTCCCTACCCAGAGCCGTATTGATCAGTGTGGCGCAACATGACTGTATGTTGCAGTCAGTGATATCGTCATGCTTTCCGTGGAGTTTCGCTGGTCCATGAGATGTTTATCATGACAAAGTTGACCATTGGTCGAATGGACGCTTGGAGTTATCAAATAATCATATCTAGCATGGCCCGTTTGAATGATGACCGGCGAGTTCTCCGTCAGTACAAGAATCGTCGTAACGTTGCACTTTTTCAAGATTCCGTATACAATCATGGCTTCTGAACTGTGCTCTGTACTGAGGCTTGAGGTGACAGCCCCTATGGTCGAACTTTCGGCTGGCTGTCGTCGATGGATGGCAACCGTACGAAGGTGAACAGGTCAAAGAGAAGCAAAATATAGGTGCACGAACTCGAGAGCCTGAGTGCACGCATAGGCTACTCGCTTTCACTCCGTCCGCTCAATGGGGATGCGTATGGCCATGGACGTCATTTGTCGACGTTCGATTGGAATCAAATAGTTTTCCGTCAAGTCCTCGGACATCGGAGCTCCAGAACGGGCGACAGTGAAAGCTCAGTATGAGGAAGAACAGGCAGTAACGCCGCTTGAAATTCGAAGGGGTACATACTCATGCTACATATCAGCTAAGACCTGGATCCCTTGCGGGTCATCCGAGAGCAGGATGGTGGAAAAGAAGTTCAAGTGCTTCGCCCTGTGGATGCTAGATTCTGAAGTCGCTCGGCGTTCTTTCGAGGCGATCAAAGGGGTCCTGCTGGTTCCCCTCATCCTAACGTACGCCTCGTAAGGTTCGGGCGGCTTTTTGGTCTCTGCTCGGTTCAAGACGAAGGTGGAGCAAAGCATGTAGCTAAGACGACTGGAATCTTTTTAGAAGCATTCAGCCTCAACCAGAGCGGAGCCAGATTTTATTTTCGCCCGCAAGAAATCAGAAGGCGCGTCCGGGTGCGTCGCATCATCAGCCCATGTCGGAAGTCACAGGGTAGAGAATGATGGCCTATAATTAAGGAGTCTCGATTGATGAAAAACACAGGTCCACATGCGACTGGCCACACAACAGAACACGGCAATCCACCGGGATATCTAGACTTCTCACTAAAGCAGTAAGACGCAGGCATCTCCTGAGTAACTCGACCCTTCAGGGCTTCGGCAGCGGGATCCTCATGCCAAAGTTCGAAAGGGCATTCACGGCTTCGTCGGAGTAGGGAGGGTAACGGAAGGCCAAATGTGGGTCCGCCCTGAAAGCGACGAAGACGGTCAGTTACGCAGTGTGAAAGAATACAAACGCCCAAAAAGTGAAATTCATCGACACTTACGCGAGGGGAACATGAACATAGCTTCTGAGCTGGGTGAACGTGTCGAAGGAGGATTTACCAAGATACGATCCGTCTGAGAGAGCGAAGGCGCAGAGTTAGAACCGCATTCACTTGGAGAGTAGTATCAGTTGTGAGGCCGACGTACATCCTGATTCACCAGAGCCACCAAACGGCATCTCGTGTACCACGAGTTGCTGGTACGTATCATTCAGTACGAGTGTTCCTGAGGCGGTCTTTTCGAGGACTACAGATGTACAAGTATCAGCAACGATGGATATTAAAGCGACGATATGTATGAAAATAGACGCACACTTGTCCCTGATAGCCTCACTCGACGTGAAAAGATAGATGACCAACGGCGTAGGACTGAGAAAACCAACCGATATTAGAAACGAGCATCGAACGGAGACCACTCAGAGTGGCAATGAGACATACCGTTCAGCGATGATGCGAATCGCATGATCGGTATCCTCGACCGGCACAAGTGAAAGAATCGGACCATACACCTCACTGAGAACACCATACAGTCAGCATCGACTTGGCCGCACAGTCTGAGACACCAGTAAAGCCGTGAAGGATAAGAATGCGTACTCCTGCATCAAGATATCATCCAACGGTACATCCTTCACAACGGTCAACTCCATCTTCTTCCCAGCTGCCGTCTTACCCCCGATAATGACTTTGCCTCGCGTATTCTTGACGAGGTTCGAGAGACGGTCGTGGTGTATTTCTGAGATGACGTGGCCGATGTCGGGAGATTTGAGTGTTCCTTCGGGGAAAAAAGTTTTGTGCCATTTGTGGAACGCAGCGACGACGGCATCCATTTTGTTCTTAGGCACGAGACAATAGTCAGGGGATACGCAGATCTGGTGAGGAGACGTGTTAAAAAGCGCTATAGCATCGAAATATAAGTCACTCGAGATGGAACTCGCCTGGCCCAAATTATTCTGCTTCCCATACAGAATGCGTTTTACAGAGAGATCGATGTCCGCATCTTCCGCGATAACGGTAGGGCATTTCCCTCCTAACTCGAGCGTCAATGGTGTGACGTGCTTCGCAGCCGCAGCCGCGACCAGCCTTCCGACGCGATTCGAACCCGTGAAGAAGATATGGGCAAAACGATGGTCGAGAAGAGCTTGTGCGACATATTGATCACCATTGACGCACGCGAATGCGTTGGTGTCGAGGTATTGCGGGAGAAGGTCTGCAAGAGCTTGTGAGACAGTGGGACAGTATTCGGAGGGTTTGATGATCGCCGTGTTTCCTGCGGCAATAGCACCAACTAGGGGACCGAGGGTGATCACATATGGATAACTTGATCAAAGAAGACAAGTCAGTGGGTAGTAGAAGGGCCATGCGATTCAAAAAGAAGACAAGACGCATACTTCCAGGGCGATATGATAAGCACAATACCCTTGGGCGCTCTATAAACCGTGGTGTCCCACCCACTGCGCCACTCTGGGAGATTACTGGGCTTCTCGGGTTTGACCCAGTCATCGAGATTTTTGAGTGCTTCAGCAACAGCATACACCACGGGCCCGACATCTAAGCGAATGTGGCACAAAGGCAGCCATTAGTTTCACGCATCGATCAAGAGTCAGAGCAATGTACCCGCGACCACTGCTTCGAGGCGTGGCTTCCCAACGTCAATGTTGATGGCCTTGACGAGGCGGTCTTCGTTATCTTGAAGGAGTTTGCCTAGCTGGTATAGCTGCTGGCGTCTCCACTGCAGCTTTTTCGTGATTCCAGAGTCGAACGTAGCCTTCAGCCTTGCATAAATCTGGAGAGAACAGTAAGATAGAATTCTCTCGAAAGCATCCGGACCAGTATACTTTGGGGACTTGGTCGAAAGGTGTATATTCGAGTTGGCCAGACATATCAATTGAAAGAGATGTCGTTGTCGTGCGAAAGGGAGGGAAGGTCAAGATGATGGGAACTACTGGGAGGCTCTGTAGTCCTGGGGAAGGGCTAACGCTTAAGTACATAAAAAGCTCCGGAGTGGAAAGCGCACTCAGTGGGTTGTCTGATCCAGGAGACTCTCACCTAAACAGCTTTACGTTCAAGGTAAACCGTAAGCTCCATCGGCGCTTCATCAAGATCGCCTCCAGGCCTCAGGAACGCACTCTTGCGCTTGTGAATCTTGAATCTGACAAAATAGAGCGAAGCTGAAGTAAGACTGATCCTGTTGAGCCCCGGCTACTTTGGCGAAGCGTCGAGCTGGCCGCCACACATCTTCAAGCTGTAGCCGGTGGCCGGGTGCCTCTCTCTTGCTACCATACTTATAGTTATAGTTTTAAGTAATGAAAGCCAGAACAAGACCAGATTTATTTATAGCAGGAAGTTGTGTGGTTTCAACAAGCTAGTCCTTGGGATAAATTCCCGTCGAGGTGTCGCAGTTGGGTGTGGCATTGTCAAAAGATTGCAAATAATCCGCTTGTCAAAGCGCGTGCAGTGCCCGAGATCACGGCCCCTTCCTTCCTTCCTTCCGTGTTCTTCCGGGAACTTCAACCTTCTGTCTCTCGTCACTCTCGTCCATCATACGACATTCCGAAGCGATGTAGCCCCTTGTAGCTCGCATTTCTGTTCACGTCGCTGCAATACTTGTGGATACCTAAGACTACCGTGCTCTCTTGCCCTGGAGAAGCTGCGGCTCTCCGCAAAATTTCAACTATAAGTATGTCTCGGTGTGACTAGACACCCCGGTAGTATGTACCATGCAGAAGTATCGAGTCCCTTCCGAGCTCTATTTCCCAGGGCTCAGTAGGGCTCGTTGTCAGCGCTCATGCACATGTCTCGTATTCCGGGTGACGCGGAAGGTGATCTTTGCCCGCTATGCCGACTGCTTCTACTACTCACACGCCAACTTGGATCTCGGTGTCTTGCGCGAGGTTACAAACAGTTCGCCAACCTTAGAAATGTCGTAGTATTATGCTCAGCGTGTGACCTTGATTAACCTCCACCGCTGAGTCGAGCGAAACTAATTCCCTTTCTTACAATCTTCCCCTCAGGCATGGGTATACCACTTCCCCTCGACAAGGCAGGCATTATCTCGACCGTCTTGGAAGGAATACTCTACGGTAAGCTTACCTCCCTGTTCTTTCTCATCAACCGTTGTCAACGCTTGATTCCACAGGGTTCAGTGTCTTCATGTTTGGGGCCACGATGTGGGTGCTTCTTTACCATCGCGGAGGCCAGAAGGCCAACCGCGCCATGGTGGCTGTTGCTTGTGCTCTATTCGTTTTCAGCACCATGCTAAGCTCTGATATCTACTTCCTTGATTGGCTCGTCATCTCAATGATTGATCTTGATCACAGCACATCGGTGTAGACATCCAGAGGATTATAGAAGGGCTCGTCTATAACCGGGATTTCCCCGCGGGAGGCCCTCCTGTTTGGTTCGAGGACGTCTCAGCCTTCACGTTCGTTTTCAAGTCTGCCATCTACAGCTTTCAAACAGTGACTGGCGATGGCGTTGTTGTCAGTAACTACAATATCTCCCGCGACAGTGCCCTCTGATTATCCTTCTTCTAGATCTGGCGCTGCTACAAAGTATGGCAATCAGTGTGGATCATTGTATTCCCAATCATCTTGTTGTTTGGGGTTGCGAGTATGTCTTTCTTTCTCTCTCTTCACGAAAAGCACAAGGAGTCTCAAAGAGAACTCTCAAGCCACTGCGGTAGGCTCCGTTTGGGCTTGCTCGCAGGCTACGTTGGCACAGGGTGGTATTTTCTTCCAACAAACAGGACTATGGATTAGGAGTTTTTATGCTATGACGCTGTCGACGAACTTGTTCTGCACTGGTATGCTCGCTTTTCCCCCACCTTCCTGAGGTATATACGCGCTCAAAAACATAACACACCAGCTCTTCTGGCGTTCAGGATTTGGCACATCAATTCCAAGACCGCAAAGCATGGGATTGGATCTTCCCTCATGCCTGTCGTGCTGGTGGTGATCGATGCAGGTCTCTTATACTCGGCCACACTCTTCGCTGTGCGTTTTTCACCCCGGTATCTTGCACTCTGTCGGCTGCGCCTTTCTTGCTGCAGCATCGATCCTCTTATCTCCTAGAGCAAAGGACATCATCGTTTCCCTTGTCTCTTACCCACTGTCCTTCTTGCTAAGACTCTGAGTGGAATTGCGTACTTCTTCGCACACCTCTCTTCTCTCAAAATATAGTACTCAGAAAACGTTGCCGCAAGCGATGAGCTTTCTGTCGTCTTCGTGCTGCCACTTTGACTTATACTCTTATGCAGGCATTGATGTGTTTCGTCAATGAAAGCAATGGCCAATACGTCGTGCTAGATATGGTAAGTCCTTTGGTTTAACCTCCTTTTCCTATCCAAAATATAACGCTAATCAATGCACTCACTTAAATACTCCAGGTCACGCCTATTATATCAATCGCGTTTTACATGGTTCATATTCTTCTTTTCTCTACATCCTCTCGTAGCCCACATATCGTGCTAATTCCCCACTGTTTTAGGTCATCATGCGTGTCGGTCTTGCACAAGTTTCCAATCGCTCGCTCGACGTTCCGTCGGATCGGAACCACTTCATTGGTGGCCATTCGAGCAGTCAACAGGCTCGCGGTGGATACAACGTCCCTCTACAGCCTCTTCAGGTCCACATCGCGCATCTCACTGAGAGCAGGAAGGATGAGGATCCGTCTCAGCATGGAAGCGACCATAAGACGACTATTCCCGATGATGTTGAAGCTGCTCAAGCTTTCTAGTGGTCACTAGGTCAAGCTGACTGGCACCTTCTCCATCGTCATATACGCGGAAAAATAGTTCATATATTTTGTTTTCTATTCAGTTATTTGCGATCTGTTCTCGTTGTAGCACCCCTTTTTTATTGACGGCAGTTACAATTATCACTCCTTGGAGTATCGAGTTGGTCTCGAAAACTTTTGTGTGCGCCAATTAGAAGGGACGGCAGTTAGGTACTGCCGTTATTCCGAACGCTTGGTGGAAACAATCGCAAACCTGGCCGCCCATTGTTATTCTTTGCCCCCGACGATGGCTACTGATGAAGAATGTTGTATATAGGCTCTGATACTGATCTAATACGCACAGACTTCGACAGCGGCCCAAAGTCATACAGCAGTCGAATTGTTCTTTCCTCCCACTGGAAATTGTATCTGAGGGGTCTATGTCTAGCACTAAGCACTATTAATATTCATGCTGGGAATTATATTCAGTGAAACGTTTACCTGATTTGAGGCGACCCATTGACATCATGTTGCGGCATGAAATCATGCTACCTTTTTCTCGTCGTCCGGGCGATAGCCTGGCCTGGTCCGCTTTTCAGGATTTGTTTGTTGAACGAAGTGAACAAGAAGCGAACCAAAAGGTACCACATAAAGTGCCACACAAAGACTCTGCACTCGATCACGTGGTGTTTGACTGGACGCGACCGTGGGAGTTTCACGCGCCGCCTGCTTTCTCAACGACCATCACGACCTACACCACTTGCTAGTCTCTACAGACATCTACACATCTATACAGAACCCTAAAGCGATACAACGTGAACCATACCATATAGCAGTATACCCGTCGATATCGGGATGTCGAATCCCTCGTCATCAGGCTCGATAACGTCTCTACTGAACTCCCTCCATACCCATCTACAGTCTCAAACACAACTTCTCCCCACCCTCCATGCCCAGCTCGGACTCCCAGATACGGCGCTCGCAGATGAGCTTTCCACACTGCAACAGTCTTTGACCAAATGCGTGGAAGATCAGATCGATGGTAGGAGGAAAGAGGTCGGGCTTTGGATTGGAAAGTGCGAGAGTGTCGAGGAGGAATGTGCAAGATACTGTCTAGCATTGGGGAGTGATGCAACTTCGAAGGGGGTGACGGGAAGTGTTGCTGATGCGCGGAAGGAACCGGTTTTGCCGACGAGGCATGGGATGCTCGTCGAGTTGCAAGAGAAGCTAAGACAGGTGAGCTTTTGTTTGTGTTTCCGTCTATGTCTATCCCTGGAAACTATGATCATACGGGATCATGTCAGTACGGATGACTCGTTGAAATGGTAGAGAGTGGCAAGGTGCACGAGGTCGTTGGTCGGTGAGAATACCTATGAGACTGGCTACATGTTGACTGTCATACTCGAGGATCGTTCAATCGACCTCACCATGTACGAGGGCAGTCAGTTCTAGTTCAAGTAATGCGACGGCTACTGGCCGCCTATGAATTGCATTCTCTTTATCTTGTCTACACTACTCCAGCAAGACGAGTCACGCTTTGCGTTTGAAGTCTGTTTTGTTCAAAGTACACCTTGTCGTCTGCCTTGTGTTGTGGCGACCGCTTGTAGGCACGATGCAGGTAGACGCGTCCGTGTCTCGTGCCTCGACCAGTTGGCCCGCTTGCGCCTGTCATATCTCAGACACTATTTTCTGCGGCTTTTATTTGCAGACTCTGATAGCTGCAATAAAGACAGAGCGCATGTACTTCTGGTACCCTTGCATTTTAGCAAGTAGAGGGGGCGCGACAAAACACGCCGTTCATGTTCACTCTGCCTGTGTCATCTATGACATACTCTTAACTAACATTCTTTTTTACTCTTGTAGCGATACCACACGAAGTTTGAACAACTCCTCACCATTACAAGCCGTCTCAAAGCACTGTCTCGAACTCTAGAACCCGGATTCTTTTCCCCCGACGTACTAGAGCCAAAGACTGCAGGCGACGAGGACAATTATGATTCTGCTAGTCATCGAGACGTAACTCCAGAGCGATTCTCTTTACTTGAGAAGGAACTTGTGCGAGGGAAGACCGAAATGGTACGTTTTTCGTACTTTCCTCTTTCCCATTGAGTCCTATTGTTTATGACCTACCTCTGCCTCGATTAGGCCAAGCGAGTGGCACACCTACAAGAAACATTCGTGCAAATAGACTGGCTCTACACAGAACTGGGCCTTGCACCCCCCGCCGTCGAAGATGTCCCACCTACGAACAACCTACCCTTGCCTTCCCTCTTCACCCGCCCATCATCGGCCGCCAGTGCCTCCTCCAGCAACCTCGATCCATTCCTTCCCTCAACGCCCACCCCCGGATCGCGCACCGCATCCAAGTCATCCACATTCTCCAGACCCACGCGCTTCTCTTCTGCCTCTTCGGATCCAATGGAAGACGAAGATCACATCCATGAACAGATTTTCGCCCGTTTCTCTGTCTTGCTCGAGCAATCAGATGCAGCAGCACCCACGCCACCACTCGAAATCGAGCCCACTCCCGCACTCATCAACTGGTCACATTCTCTCCTCTCTTCTCTCTCCGACCTCAAACGCCGTCGCGAAGCCCGTATCCAATCGATGTACGATCAGCTAGAGGCACTGTGGCGAAGGATGGGGATCGATGACGCAGACATGGATGGATTCGTGGAGGCTAACAGGGGCAGTACGGAGGACACGGAGAGGATGTACGAGGAGGAACTGGAGAGGATGCTGGAGTTGAAACGGGAGAAGATGAGCTCGTTTGTGGGGAGTGCGAGGCAGGAGATTGAGAAGCTTTGGGATGAGATGATGGTCGGTGAGGACGAGAGGAAGGAGTTCGCATCGTTCTATGATGGTATGTGCTTTGCGTATCTCGTTCTGGGGTCTATTGTTGTATTTATCAACTCTGATTTGCAGACCAGCATACTGAAGAACTGCTCGTCATGCACGAGGAGGAGATCAAGCGTTTGAAGGACGAGAAAAGGATGAAGGCGCATCTTTTGGGAAAGGTCCGGAAGTACTTCGACATCTGTGAAGAGGAAAAGGAGCTCGCTGCTGCTGCCTCAGACCAGACCCGTTTACTTGGGCGTGGTCCACGAGATCCGGGACGACTCCTTCGAGAAGAGAAGATGCGGAAGAGGGTCCAAAAGGAGAAGCCCAGAGTATGTCTTCTGTTTATTTACCTTGTGCGCGCTGAATTTTGATAGCGGCATATCTGTAGCTTGAGCAAGATCTTCTAGCTTCATTACCTGCCTGGGAAGCAGAGGCACAGCGTCCCTTCCTCGTCCACGGCGAGCGTATGCTCGATATCCTCAACGCCCTCCACCCCTCCGACTCGAATCCCTGTCCCGGCGATAAAGAGAACAAACGTAGACCGGCTACTCGATCTCAGTCTCGAGCCGGCTCTGTTCCTCCACGTTCCACCACGCCATCCAATAGTGGTCATTCAGGCTACGCTCCTACCACAAGCAAAGGCGCAGGCGCTGTGACACCCGCTATTCGTCCACGGTCAGCTATGAGTAGCTCAAGACCTGCACCTGCGAAGAAACCAAGATTGGGCGATTCGACATCGAGCTCAAATGGATCTGGCGCTAGCAAGATCGCCGGTCCTTCTTCGATGTCCCGAAGCGGCACTGCGTCATCACTTCCTCGACCAATAGCTATTCCGGCCTCTAGATCAGTCAGCTCACAATATCCGTCCACAGGCCACCCACGAATACCATCTGCCTCGAATAATCTTTCGAAGAGCACATTTGGTGGATCGACCTCGAAGACTGTGTCGGGCATGTATGCAGGAGTAGCAGGATTGAATCAATCGCGGGTGGCCAGAAAACCAGACCCGGCTGTTGTGAAGCGGAAGGCTGAGAGGGCCCGCAGGGAAAGTTTCAGACCTAGGCCGAGTCTAGATGCGGATTTGAGGATAGTTGTAGGGAAGTATAGTGGTGGAGATGAGGCGGTCAAGGAGGAGGATGAGGATTGATGTTGAGTACTATCTTTGGTTCTTTAGCTCTTATCTCGGAGATGCCTCTAATCTTTGTGCGGCAGTTTCATTTCGTTTTGTACCATTATCTCAAGCTATGAGCCGTTTGATCTACTTACTATGTGATCTATCTCTTCCTTCCATTAATGATTGTGACTCCTTTCGTCTTTCGGTATCCTTCCTGTTTTTTTTGGGCGGCGATACTCATGTGCTATGCTCTGCTAGACAAGTTATAAGGCATGTCCGGTCCTGACTGCTTACTGCCCCAGTATGCAGTTGTATGTACGACCATGCGTGTTTACAGACCTTTAATTTCTAGGTCTACACAGGGTCTCGACATCGGTACTAATATGCATGACAAGGCTCCTGTAATGCTGATGCGCTCCCGTTCGTATACGCGTTGACTACATTGGGCCACAGCATGAACATAGGATTTCCGTTTCGGGGCGGATGCAAGACCAGGCAAAACCCGAAACCACCGCAAGTGACGTCAACGGCTCCTCTCCTCTTGGCAGCCTGGCCTCAACCATAAATGCCTCCTGAGGAAAGAGCCTTTTACGAGGAAACCAACTCTCTACATCACCACCACCTTCTCATTCGCCTACACCAAGTCAGACGAAACAACATGGGTTATCAGTGAGTAATTCAACGCGTTCAGCGCAACGGGAGAGCTAATCGCAGGACAACAACAGCATCGCAGGTCCACGTCTCGTCCGTAAGTATAACATGCATATTCCTTCAGTCACAGGGCAATCATTGAAAAGACTGACCTCGGAGTGGTTGTCACCGAGCTTATTGAATGATGCTAAGTCGACCACTTATCCCTAGACACTCACAAGCGCCACGCTGTCATTCCTGGGTACGTCTTCTCTTCATTCTCTGCGCCCTTCGCGTATCAACATGTGTTATATCTCTTCATCAGCTTCCTCTATGTGACCTTTTTTGGCATGAAGCCGAAGTTTACCCTCCAACTCGGACGACATGTTAATGTCCAGTAATTCGAGGCCTGCCATTACTTTCACTTGTACGAGTACGTTTGATATGCTACAAAAGCGCTCTGTGTCGGTAAGAGCACCATTGTTTCTGTCGGGTTTAGCTTCTGCCGTTGACAAACAAATTGGTCCAGCGATTTGTGTCAGTATTTTCAGGACGTGGATGACGCTCCCCAAACGACAATAAATATGTCTACATCCTTCCGGTTCATCTCCCTCACCTGAAGCTCTCTAGAAATTGCATGTCTTGCGCCACAAACAGTCGGCCAGTAGAACCATACGGTCCATTAATAGCCCATCAAGGATTAAACGATTTGTGCTCGAGGGCTAAGGCGCATGGCGCAAGCTCTCAGGCTGTCGACTGACTTACGTTGCCTGTTCAGCGGGTACATGCCTTGCGCAAACATCATTGAGTCCAGGTCGCCCTATTCTCCTACCACAAGTTTCCTATCGCACTCAATCAAGCCCACATGCGCCATATGATGAGGTGTGGAATCGCGCTGTACGTTCATGATTGAATTTCTTCGTTCGATCGCAGACCATCAGACCACTCCTCAGCCCAGGTCATCTTCTGTGACTATGAGGGGTCTCACTTCCGAGGAGAAGTCGACTTTGATTCCTTCATCGATAATGCTCTCTCGCGCAAGTTCTGTCATCCTTAAGCCTCTTACGTCGTCCCGCAGTTTCACTGACACCTCGCTATTCTTATCCTAGGCATATACCTATTCTTGCTTGCGGCCCGTTACCTCTACCGAGCCGTCGTCGCTGGTGCTCCCGCTCTGGAATAGCAAACCCCTTCCTGTGACTTCGAAACTGAACGGATTGGTTGCAAGCCCATTAGCTATGTCGTCGGTTGACCACTAAGCCACATGCGACTGGAGCGCGGTTCGAAAATCGGAATGGAAGGCCATATCTGAAAGGCTCTGACTTAGAACACTATGACGCGAGAACTCCGCGAAGCCCCGCGGTGATCAGTACGAGCAGCCCTTTCCCGATTCTACACCGGGAGAGCTATCTATTCTGGTCTAATTGGACAGTCCCTGGGTGAGCCTCCTCGCGCTTGTTAGCGCAGGGACCTTTGTATCCCCGGATATCTTGGTTTATTGAATGAATCAGATTGGTGAGGCATTGAATAGGTAATGTGCGGAGCCAATCTGGCAGAAACTGTCGCATATATAGAGGTGAAATCGTGTTGCGACTACGTCATCATGTTAACCTCCAGCGATGACAACGTCGAATAGGAATTTCTTCGTGTTTGCAAGCGCAACAAGTTGGTCGTGGTCCGGGTTGCAACTTCGACTCAAGTCAAACTAGCTTTTCCGCGCTTGTTCATGTATCCTTTTCGCGCTCAACAGGTACATGGGCAGGGCGCCTGGCAACAACGGCATCATCTTTTTCTGCCGAACTCTCCGAAACCTGCGGATATCGTGCCTCATTTTGTTGTTCACATCGACGTTTGAGTCCCTGGAAATCACGTCTCCGTCACACCCAAAAGATTGCGCACCTCCGTGGCCCAAATGTTTCTCAATTGGGAAGAAAAGCTGTGGAGGCGGGGGAACACGAGACGCATAGCCGGCGGCACGTTCGGCAAGTAGCTTGGAACTTTGATTGAACTTACTATAACATCTCCTCCTTCATACTCAGTAAAGGATGTGTGCATGCCTAGTGCAGCAATCTGCACTCTCCTCTTCACCTCCACGACAGCCCCGCACCACTAAGCCCTTCGGATTGAGGCTCACGACATGGCTTCCCTGTCATTGCCAAAAGCTACTCTCATCTCGCTGGGCCTCACGTGTATACTTTATGGTGAGAGGCTTGTCGCCCATCCGCTTCGGCTTTTTGAAACCATCGGCGTCTTCTTACAAGAATAACTTTTGAAGGGTTTTCTTTATTCATGTTTATCCTCACTTTGTGGGTTCACATTCGTGGTCGGTCTGTAGCTGAAATGAACCGACCGATGCTGGGTACGCTTGGATTCCGATTTCTCAACACTAATGAGTGCTGAAAAAGAACAATTAAGCTGCGACTATTGCCTTTTTCGTCTTCTCCACGGTGGTAAGTTTCATTGTACATTTTTTTGACCTCACGAGCTACGCTCACCTATGAGTTATGTATAGCACGCTTCTGTTTTTATACGACACGTTGTGATCGGCTTTCTGGATCAGGATCCGGCTCTGTTCTTCAAATTGAAGTCGTCCCCTACGTTCACAACAAAGCTAGTCTTGTACGGTTTGCAGACAATGGCAGGAGGTAAGATAATGCAATCATCGTAAGCCTGTTTCCGGGTGCGCATCTGATCTTGTGCTGGAGACGGCGTTCTTATTTACCGGTGCTATGGGGTATGGCAAAGACGTAGATCAGTCATAATAGTGCCTCTGGTATTATTCTCCGTATTCACAGGTGAGCTGAAGCTAAGTTAAGCGGGTTCATGCGTCTTACTGACCTTGTAATGTGGTTATGACCTTCCCTGCGTAGGGTCCATTTTCACCGGCATTGCATTATATAACCGATATATCCTGAGTCTTGCCCAGACCATGGTGCTCGTAGCTGCAGGATGCTCTTTCCTTGTCAATATCATCTGCACAAGTACGTCAATTTGCTTGTAATATGTACGGACAGACCAGCTATTAACGCGTTCTATAATGCTAGCATTACTAGCATTTCGTCTATGGAAACTCAGCAGATCTGTCCTCCCGCACCCGGCGCACCATTCTGTTATTCCGATCATGTGGATCATGGTCGACTCTGCTGGTCTCTATACCGTCACACTTGCGACGACAGTTGCCTCTGTCATTACCAACATCAATGCCTTAGCGATCATGATCGAAGTGGTATGTCACCATTTCCTCTCAGAATTCAGCCTTTCTCTGATAACTGTGAATCTGGTTGCTGACGCAGACCATCCCTATCATATCTATCGCATTTTATGGCGTTTTGATTCGAGTCGGGATGGGTCAAGTGGCCGACTATAATACTAGCGACGCGTCAGAGACAGTCGGAGTGCTAAGCACAGTTCTCTATCTACAACCAGTGACGTCAAAAGACCAACATCCATCGGATCCTGAGAGCAGCAGGCAGCACTCGGAATGAGCGAAGCATAATAAGTATACCATGGAAAATAGAGTTGTTGGGCACAGATAAACTACGGACTTTTGGAATGTCACTTTCCTGATGTCATTTGTACTAATTCTTTTTTGTCAACCTGATGGTGACCTCATCCTACTCGAATTGTACAACATAGGCGGTATCACCTGAGCTCTAGCTACGCGGAAGTCCACCTTTCCGAACATATCAGCCTCAAATGCCCCTTGGAAGCCGTGGCCAAACAACTATTCTAGGCCCTGACTATCTTGACTGGCGCTGCGTCTGAAAGTCTTCAAGCTGCCGGGATGGCTGGGTCACTGGCAGGCGCCACTGTGACCATGCATGCAATCGTCACCACAACATAACGGCGACGGAGGTGTCTAGTTCGAGAATGCGGTGTAGAGACATGACAAGCCGGACATGATCATTTTGACAGCGGAGTTTTCGATGAGTCAGAGGGCGTCGACGAAACAAGAAAACCAGCTGGATCAAAACCGATGCCCGTGTCAGTGTGAATGATAGACGCACTACTAGCCCAGAGGTGGCTGTCTCAATTACCTTTTCGAGCACGACATGACACTGGCATGGCCCCAGCCGAATCAAAATGTACACATCAAATCTCCGAGAGGGTGTACAGCGCTCTCGAGGCCATTTCAGGCTTTTGACTTGAACGTCCAACTCGTGTTACATTCTGCAGTAAAACAGATGCTACAACAACACAGTGGGCAGGGTATAGTATGCGACTCCCTGTTTTTGCGCAAGATTCAACATGAACACCTCACCAATCGCCGAAGACAAAGCTTGTCCTCGTCGGAATATCCGTATTCCTGGCCACCTCCACCAAGTTCGCCCCTCCGTCTGTCCTCTGGAAAACAACCACACCACCAGTGCCCACCACACCTCCCGCAACAACAAACTCATCATTCGGTCCACCGATCCACAAGCCCCTAACCTGGTTCACGCCAGTGTACACCTGATTCACGAGCTCGAAAGACCCACCATCCAAGATCTTGAAGATCGCGACCGTATCGCCACGAGGGTCCACGGTAGTCCCGGTGTTACGGTTCGATGCGTAGATGTACGGAGTGGAGAAGTTGGCGTCTGCGTGGAGGTCGGGAATGAGGATCTCGCCGCCGGCCCACGCGGGGTCGGTGAGGTTGTTGGGAGGGATGATGGAGAGTTGGGTGATTATGTTTGACGTGGCGTTGGGTGCGGCGGGTAAGAGCTCAGAAGTGAGGGTTGAGGAGAGTTCGTGAAGAGTGAAGAGGGTCTCGTCTGTTCCCCAATGCCGTCCACATTAATTTAGTGCGACAATATCTGGAGTGAAATATACATACTGTAGATCCTGATATGACGAGGTCCACTCCCTGTGGGCTGGTTAATCTGTCCTTGGATCGAAAAGTTTCCGGGGCTGCCAGCTTCGGTCAAACGCCAAATGGTGTCCCCACCCTTTAACGTACATAAAATCAGCAGATGCGAGGCGACATAGACGTGATAGCAAGATATAACTCACGAGATCAGGAACGAGCACCTCCGAACCGTGTTCCAATGCCATATGGGGATGGGATGTAGGAGCAGGGAACGTGATCAAAGGCGCAGAGGCGTCGAAGTGAAGCGGGTCCGTCGTGGTGGGTACGATCTTTCCATTGCCCGAATTGTACTGAAAAATTAGATCAGGCGTCAGTTTGACCCTTAGGCGAGAAAAATGTAAGAGCTAGTAGGATAGCTTACGTTCATGATTGCCACCTGGCCGGTGGACAGGCCCACCGTGAACGCAGGTGAGTCACCTCCAGAGGAGACTTCGTCGATGGGACCAGTCAAAACACCCTGTGGGCCGATGGTGTAACTCTGCAAAGCGCCCTCAGTGTTCTCATTGACAGCACTGAGAGATGTTATGAATCAGTTTCGGGGAGAGGCCCAAAGTAACGAAAGGTGCGCACTAAAGAATGCTGCTGTTCGTCGGGTGAAGCGTAATCCAAGAAGGGTTTGCTCCCGTTGGGGATTGGTTCAACAAGGTAAGGCTGCCAGCATCGCTGTCAAAGAGATACGATGCGACAAACGTAGCATAGCCTCCAGCGAGAATCGTCAAGTTGACCATGATGGTAGATGATGGGAGGGGTGAAAGGAGGTATTGATCCCCCTCGAGGATCTTATAGTAATACCACAGGAGTGATGACGACGATTCTGCCAGCTATGTTCATGCTAGGTTCTTATGTACTGCCGCTGAAACCTGATTTGGCCGGCGGTCCGTCGCTCTTCGGTGACAGCGGACACAGGAGAGGACAAATATTGATTCAGATGGCACAAAGATTGAGAACAAAGCCACATGCTATTGAAAGAGGACCACGCCCTTTCGCAGGACGATTCGGATGGGCGTCGAGAAGATCAACGCGTTAGGCTGTGTGAAACTGAAAAGATATTTGCGGAAGCGAATGATCGCATGCGGGCGACCTTCGGTTGGGCTTGGGCGAAGCGGTCCGAGTGAAATCCGACAGTCGTCTTCGCCGTCGCTCACGAGGTGAAATGCGCCAAGAATATGTAGGCCGACGTGCCAAGGACAATGGATGTGTCCGCCACTCGTCTCCAGGATACTTGTGTAGCCCGATATTGGTGAGGGCAAGAGCACTTGAAGACAGATTGAACCTGAGTGATAGGTAAGACATCGGTCAGTATCCGGACTAACAAGGACTAGAGACGAAGGTTGGAATGCCGAGAATATTCCTAACGAGATTATTACCACTCCATATATGTAGCCGGATGGCAATCGTCAGTTTAGCTAACAATTGCGACAGGATTTATATATACAGTATATCATAACAAGATGTACAAATAGCAAGAAAGTCCGAGGTACTGGTTGAACTGTGATGGATCCGTAGCCCAAAGAGACTGTTCGTCGACATGTTGCAGCCATGCGACCGTAAGCTAATTCTGTCTATATGGCCTTGTATCATTAGGATGTCGTTGTATGAGATTGTCCGCGTGCAAGGTAATATTGTGGTGATGGAATATCGGTAAGGGGATCTGGGTTGGAAGAAGGCCCATCACAAGCGTGGCGTGCGCGCGCGTTCGTTTGCATACTTGGTCTGCACATGGAATGACGTCGATTAGCGAGAAACAACCATCGCGACATATAGAACAACTCACCATCTCGACCTCCTTCCTCTCGAAACCACACTTCTCGTAGAATGCTGTACAAGACCTGTCAGCTTTCCCAATCTTCCTTCGACGAAGATAGAATGGTTGAATTCACGGATGTTCGACTCATTGCAGTTCAAGATCGTCTTGTAACACCCCCTGCCTTCACTAATTCCCGTTAGCGCCTGAATGACCCTCAACCCCAACTTCTTCCCCTGCTGGCTCTTGTCCACCGCAATATCCTCGATGTGACCGACTAGGCCCAAGCCACGAAGAAACTTGCGCTCGAGGAAGACAGTGCCGACGGCCACGATTCTGTCCGTCGTTTTCGAGACGATGACGATGGAATAGTATGTATAGGCTGCGTGGGAGATGGATTGAAACTGGGAGAGCCACGCTTGGGCGCCTGGGTCCGGTGTGTGGGTCAAAACGGCTAGGATATCGAGATGGCCGCGGTGGTAATCTGTTGATGCAAGTGGGCGCATCTGTACATGGTTTGGAATAAAAGATAGGAAGATATGAGGTGACATTGGGTCGTCAGTAAGTTCCTGGGATATTATTCGAAGAGAACGAACGTGGAGGTCGTCTGGGAGCTCATCCTTGACGCGCTGCGGGATGAGATGGGAAGGAAACAAAAGCTCGAGCTCGATGTCTGGCGTGAATTTTGCCATGTTTCGGTATTAATGATTTGTGAGGAAGATATGAAGTAAGAAGGTGGTGGTGGTGGGAGAAAGAAAGGATGCGATGGGCAAACTGGAGGACGCTCGGGTTAAAGCCCTGATGGTAACATTCACCGCCACATCGGTTCAGGTCATACACGTGCGTGGCGGTGGGGTGGCGGCCAACCAGAGGCTTTGTGCTGATCGAAAAGGTTTCAACGGGCCTTGTTTGTGGATGGCTGGTGGTTTGCATTCATGGCTAAGCTCTTGGGATTTTTGACTAGGTGATCTGCTGGTGCTTCTATGTCCTCTGTTTTCTTGTGTCATCTTTGTGGAGATTCTTAGGAGACTAAGTAGTCGCCTTCACCTCTTTGAGTTTTCCGAGATCTTTGAGAGCATTCACCAGAGACGAAGCCGGCAGCCTGAGGACTGGTAGCTGGTTTCTCACAGGGAATGCTCTCTTATGCTACTCGATGCCTCCTCGTAGACAGAGGATTCAAATATATCATACCTCGACTGCCCATGGACGTCTTGCATGTGATTCGTGCAAGCAGCGTCTTGCTCATGCTCAGGCCTCCTCAGTGCGGATCATTACTATGGCGATTGACAAGGTAAGCCGTCTCGTATCTACTCGAATCCTCTATGTCTGACATGTCAAGTATTCGGTACAGTGCATATGTCACTCGTAATAAAGAATGCTTCACGGGTGCATGCACTGTGATGGCACTACGGACTCAGTCCGATGCTTTGTGCATACGCTTGAACGACAGTCCTCTTGTTCGACATTTACACTATATTTCCTTGCTATTTCTCTTCTACAGTGTAGGCCGGCCCCACTGTTCGATATCTAAACGAAATCTACCTGTTCTCTAATGTTATCTCCCAAACTCAACACTCCTACTCTCATCGCCATTCTTTCAGTCATTCTCATTACATGCACTGCAGTCGCTTTCATGGCCTACTCACCCTTCCGCTCATCCGCCGTGCAATACTTTCGACCAAAAGTCCCAGAAAACAGGCAGACTATCCTTCCTTTGGTCCAGACCCCACGCCTGCCCCGACTCTCGCTCAGCACCAACTCGTCTTCCCGTAGCAGCTCGGAGTACGAGTTGTGGACCAAGGCTATCGAGACTCTGGGCTACGCGGACCCTGCCTATCCACAGCCGTCGTTCCGTCCTCTAACCCTGACGCTTCATGGCGCAGCCTATCGTTCCAGGACGCACCACAACAATTCACTCCGAATTCCCCATTCACTTCGAACCATACCATCGTTCATCTCTCGTTCCGAGAACAATTACTCGACTGTTAACCGTGGATCCATTCCAACAATCCCTTCCATACCGTCGGAGCCGGGAACCAAGTTCTCTTCCATCGACGCCGAATCCATGCGAACCATTCCATCCCTGCCATCGTATGCGCAACCCCATTATTCCGCCTTCTTCAGACCACTGTCGGCCATCTCTCCCAATGGCACGAGCTCCCAGTCTGCGAACTCATCCGACTTCGACCTCGGTGCCGTACTGGATCACTTTCCCATGATAACCCACCAACTCCCATTCGCGAGCCTCCACGTACCCGTCATCCGCCATTCCGCGATCGAATTCTTAACCAAGACGTTTGACAACTCGATTTGGGCCGCCGGCAGCTCTCATCCGTCTCGTTTTCATCTCCCCAAACCCCACATCACACCATCAGCCACAGTCGCTGCTCGCACATCGCACCAAGCCAGCAGCCCATCTTGGGTTTCTGTGCGTCTACACCCTCACGATCTATCCATGTCCAGCCTCGATGCATCTTCCAGCCGTCTGTCCGACATCCTCGACGACGATTCCTCTTTCTTCCAAGGACGATCCGGTCCACCTCTCGTCCCATTCAACGCGCCGCGTCGATCCATTCGTTATGTCCAACGACGCGTATATTCTGCGTCTTCACCATTCTTCACATCATACCGAGAATTTGGGGCGGAAACGGCATTGACGACTCGAGGTGCATATCTTGTCGGGACGGGCCGATGATGAGTAGACGTTGGGGGAACTTGAAGATAGACGGAATGGGCAAGGTATGATTCGCAGGTGGAATATTCAGTGTCGATCCGAGGAGTCAGAGTGGACGACTTTCCAATGCAAAGTGCAGATGCTCCTCGTCCTTGACAACCGTTGTTGCGCTGGTGACATGTTTTCGTTTTCCAAGCATGGATCATCCAGCACTTACGCCATCGGACACTCACGCACTGGAACATCCTGATAGACGATGGACTACACATTCTTTTTTTTTTGTTTTACTCTATTTTATTCGCTCCATAATTCATGCGGCAAACCTCTCTAAATGACCCGCTGTTCTTGATAAAGACATAGGCTTTGCTGCAGCAAGCTCGGCTGCATGTGTGTACTAACTATTCTTCCCGAACGTCGATTCCCTTGCAACGATCCGACACAATCGAGGTCAAAAGCGTGATGATGCCGAGTTTATTGCTCCACGGAGACTGCGCCGCCCTTCGTTTCACCCCATTCTCGACGGTGGTCTGATTTTTTTTTTTCATGTCCTTAACACGAGACGGTTTGATGATTCGCGTTGTCGGGAGTGAATGATTCAGGACCCCGGCTCCATCCAAACGAGTTCGTATAGGACCTGTTGATCATGCAGCAGATCCATTGCGATACGTTGGTGCGTTCTGTCATTTACAATAAACGAAGTGCTTTGGCATTTTCCAGTCGATCTCTGACCGCTCACAGTCTGACACAGCGAACTCGACACCGCTAAGTAGAAGAGACAAGTCTGACATCCGGAACCTCACCGTTGATGTATCTGATGTGACACAGTTCTTGTCAAATATTGGGAGCTGTACTTTAGTCAGTCCTTGCACGTTATGATACTTCATTCACCCAGAGCTCTGTCTTCAAGAAATAATGGAACACTAGCCGAAGTGTTTACTAACAGGAGGATTCCCTAGCTCAGTCAGCATGCTTCATCCTCAATACTCCATCGATGCCCCGAGCCTGTTCGACTAACACAAGCCCTCGGAATACGGTATGATTCCCGACCATTTCTCCCTGTGAGGCATAATGCGGAGAGAATCGTTTACTGTATTTGTGATCCAGTATGTCTGGACATCCGGTGCTTTCGTACGTTCCACCTCCAATGACGATGTCAGTGAACTCTCGAATGTTGTTCCATCTCATAATGCCTCTTCTCCAAGTTATAAGGACCTCTGCTCGACGTTTATATTCCATCAGAACAGCGCTCCCGAGCCTTGTACAAGACGTCACTGATGCAACAGCAGACGCTTCTCACCATTATCCTATTCCCTCTCATCGTACTTGCGTTCGTCTTAGTCATCTTTGCGTATATCTACGTGAGGATCTATGCCATTCCTCGCTCACCAAGACCCACTACTCTCGTCCATCGACGTACGGCCTTCAAGCGAGATTACCCAACCACCAACATCCCAGACTATTCACTTCTACCCGTCCATACGTTCCCAGCGACTACTATCACCCACAGCCAAGCTCCATCCCCTGCCTCGATATCATATCCCCTCTGCACCACTCGTACCCGATGCGCCAGTCCCCAAGTCCAAGAAGACATATCATGGGACAACATCTCCCTCTTATCAGAGTCAGCCTGGCGGCCACTCACCCTCCCGCCCCTCGCAGACGACGTCCCCTATTTCCCCGATCCAAAAACCCTAACCCCACGCCATCCTTCCCAAGCCCACACAAGGACATCCTCCTGCGACAGCGACGTCCTTCCATTCTCCGAGTCCCTACACACGCTCGTACCCGTACCCGTGCCCGTCCATGACTCGGACAGAGTCTACACCGACACTCACGATTCCGTCGAGTCTTCATCCACATCCATGACCATCCGAGATCGAAGATCACCAGAGGAGTTCCCCGTCTCCCCATCTACACCCGGCCACCTCGCTTCCTCCCCACTCGCATTACCTTCGTTTCCTTTACCTACGACTCTGAGAGCATCTCGCCCGGTCGAACAGATCGAACGTCGTCGGTCGGTATCGGTGGCAGCTCCTTTCGTTCTAACACAAGAAGACCAAGGAGACTCAGAGGTCATCATTCCTATCTTATTCCACAATACTGGCAGTACGACCTTCGAACCAGACCATGACAGTACGAGCGCATCCCATCGCTCCAGTGTCCCCTCCTGGCTCCCGTTCATCTCTGCATCCAAACGAAGGGGGTCGGCGAATACATTAGACACGACGTCCGCGTACCACACCCGTCCCAGGTCATCGAGACGGAGCTCCGATATCGGGTCGATACTTCCTCCTTCTCATAGTCAAGGCTCTGGAGGAAGTCAGCGTTCATCCTCGGGTTATGAATCTTTTGATATTGATGGTTTGATAGACGATCTCGTTCAGCGGTCGCCCGTGTGGTGAGGGGTACACTTTACGGCTCAGGAGGATGCGCTTGGAGGCAGTACTTTAATTGCATGCGAGGATAGGGTCGAGGGATCTACTTTTTTCTTTTTTTCTTTTCTTTTCTCTGATGTTTCCGTTCCACACTCATACACGGAACAGTCTCTCATCAACAACGCGTCTCGTCAGTGATCGGCATCGTCGTACTCAGTACGAACATTGTCTCTGTACTACTTTAGTGTACTTAACCACTGGCAGGACTTCTTTCGGACTTTACTAGCAGCTGGTCATCTTTCTGTACGATATACTGTACTACTGAGTGGGTATGAATACACTTAGCAGAATAATTGAGATAAACAAGCCGAGGAAGGACCATCCCTGGTATCATGGAAGCAGCAAGGCGACCATAAAACGCCACATCGGGCCAAGAACGAAACGCCACCCAGGTGCCCCGGCTGTCTCCGGATCCAGATGATCCGATTCCGAGTCCCCGCGGACCGTGACGCCACACCGCCGCCACACTCACATGCAACTCGACCCCACAGTTCAAACCCGACGAGACCTTGATGGAACTTGAAGACGAAGACACCTAGATGGAAAGACAAGCAGAAAAACGACCGTGTATAAAAAAAACATCGATTATGCACACAGGGCCGGTCGTACTCTATATCACACCGTGGCCACAGAATCGACAGAGGAGCGTAACGGGATCTCGGAGACTCAAGAGACGTCGTGTACTAAAATCAAACCGAACGAGCTAGCGCAGGAAGAAAAGAGGAATGGGAGAAAACGAGGATAAGGTCAAGCTGTTACACCGAGAAGAGGAAGAGTCGTGAAGGCAAAAAAAAGAATAACTAAAGGATCCGGTACAACAGCTTGGGCGCAAGGAGGCAGAGAACGATATGGGCTGTAAGAGATGAGGTTGGGTATACGGTGAGGATGTAAGGTATAATACAATGCGACATCGACTCATCAAGAAATCTCGGCACACGATTGGCTCGAACACAAACCACAAACGACTTCTTCGTAACGCGCTTCAAACCACACTACTCATCCCCGCCACGGGCAGACTCGCCCTCCCCTTCCCCTTGTCCGTCCCATACCCTCCCTCCCTGCCCAGCACATCAAGCGTATGAGCCCTCGTTCTGAGCCCTGGACTCCCCGCCTTAATTAACTCTACCAACCTCGGATGTTTCCTCGCCTCCATCATCCACAGATGAATCCCGCTCTGGGTTCCCCACCTCAACACCTCCTCCTCCGCCTCGCCTCCAATACCCCCATCCGAACCGGACCCACCCGCGGTATCGAACGAGTTGCTAAAGTCGACCTGGGGGCCCTCGAAGTCGGTATCGCTGCCGCTTCCACTGCCACTGCCACCGCCGTTCGCCTCGAGGTCCTGACGAAGGAGCCCAAGGCCCATACCTAGTCTGCCCTTCCTTCGTGGAGGAAGCGGAGCATGGGGGACAGCAGCAGGCTGCACTACACTTGCTGAAGGGGATGACGACGTCCTTGACCGCGATTTTGAAGTGGTGAGTATGATACGCTGGAGTGAGGGATTGGTAGAGACGAGCAGAAGAGCGGGGTTCCAGACTGCCGGCAGGGCGGCACGGAGGGTGTGTAGCTTGGGCGAGCGTGACAGAGCATAGGGCAGGGTGAGCGGTTGTTTGGCACTGAGAGTTGAGGTGGAAGGAGCAGCGGCAGGAGGAGGATTGATCAGTGTCGGAGGGTTGGCGAAGTTTTGCGGGAGTGAGAAGCGCCGGGAAGAGTCTGAGAGGCGGAAAGCGATTGTGACGGTTTCCTACACGTCCGTGGAACACAAATCAGTCTCGCAGTCCCCATAAGGTAGCTATAAGAAACAAACATACCAAGCTCTTCCAGTTCAGGACTGCCGTGGCCAAACAGGTCATGACCGCCTTTGGCCTCTCCTGCGTCAAGTACGCACCCCGCTTCCTCAACACGAACTCCTTGACGTCCACCTCGGACAAGGCCTCGCCAAACATCACCCCGCTCTCCTTGTCCTTCTCTCCGTCCCCATCTATGCCGGCGTCGACGGTGATATCGAGTAATTCGAGGGTGCGGCCTGCACAAGCGTGGAAGACTACTCCGATAGAAGGGTAAGAAGCACGGGCGATGATTGCGCGGACGCAGGACGATAGTTCTTTCGCCCGTGCTGCCGCTGTCGTTACGCCGTTCCCGGATAGGGTCTGCGCGAGCAGACGAGCAGACCGTGCGGTGTTGATACGGAGGGTGCTGTAGAGCAGCGGCGTGCCAATCCTGTTAAGCGCCCTGGATGTGAGAAGGGGGCCCGTGCGCGACGACGACGTCCCATGACCCTTGGATGATACGACCGTCGTCGCCGTTGAGGACGACGGCGAGAGGGCAAAGGCGAGGATGCGCTCGATGAGCTCCTCGGGGATGGTGCTGAGGCCAAGAGCAGAGGCCGGTGTCGGAGATAGCATCGTGAAACTGGATCTCGGCGTGTGAGATCAATATGCGAAACGGCAAGGAGTTGGAAGGAAATCGGGCAGTAAAATGAAATGTCGAGGCCGATTCGCGATGTTCGGTGGAGAGTTGGGGGGTGAAAGCTTTGACTGGAAATCGGGAGATGATGGGTCTTATAAGGCCTTCCGTGACGCCCGTCCTGAGCAAGAGGGGAAGGCGATTTCGGTACAAAGGGACTGCCTCACCGGGCAATATTCTCGCGAAGAAGTCGTTCGAGTATTATATGTAACGGCCACGCGTAAAACTCAGGCCAGACGCCCGCCATCTTCCCTTCACACACACCACAGCTGACTACAATCCGAACAAGCCCTGCCGTTTCTGTTCGCGGCTGCCCGCCCTAACGCGAAGTTCCAGGCAATTGTTCAAGCCCTCGCGTTCATCGTACAGCGGGCTAGGAATGGAATCCATGGCTCCTTACGGTGGCGATGCACAATAGAGCAGCGGACCATCAGCGGGCGTACCACAATTGCGTGGCATCTGCCAACAAACTTCACAGTTTGTGATCTCGCGCGGTGAGCCCGGGGCATGGTCGCCAGCGGACCCACCCACCCACAATCGCCTGCTTTGGGCTGTCTCCTCTCCATGCAACAACACGAGGCATGTCTATGTCTTCGAGGCAGCACCGGGCCTTCTCTCGACCCGCAAGAGACTCGCAGAATGTTCACTCCTTTCCTGCTGGCCTCAGAATTCCAGCTTACGGCGTCACCCGTGGGGTCATGGTGTCATGATAATGGTACGATTGGTTCTTAGATTGGACACGGACACCTCACTGGCGGGTCGAACTCTCTTTTCGACCTTGATGCGGAGCTGAGGAGGACCAAGAAGGTCGGCGTAACGAGGACCAGTCGTCGTCGACTCCCATGTTCAGCCTATTCCTATCCAGTTACCAAATCATGCACTCGGACGTGGATATTGTGGGCGTATTGCCACCGATATTTGACCCGCCAGTCCGGTGTTCGATTTAATTTCCTGTCCTCAATTTATTACTCCTTGTCGTCGTCTTCGGACTCGACTTCGCCGTGTTCTATCCGGGCATTTGTCGCTCTGCTCGCTACTGCAGTATCGCCTTGTGGCCCAGGCGGAACGTCTCGTACTTATTGGATCGCCGTGTATATGGACATTAATTCCACCACTGAATCACCGCCCGCCCTGCATGTCGTCCTAGCAATGCGATCGGACATGTCAGGTCACAGACACATCCATCGAATAAACTACAGCCTAGTGTCACTCGGACAGGGGCAAACGGTGAACACAGAAGCGGAGGCGGAGGTATATCTGCGAAACTTCGATGTCATCCAACTCTGGAATCAATTCCGTCCCCGATCTCAACCATTTATAATTACCTGAGACTTGCCGCGATGCCCCTCTTCGGATGCCGAACTCGAGACACCCATTTGTTGGCATGTTCTGTCCATTCTCCGCCTTCGACGATCCCGATCTGAGACGGTTGTCTTAGATCGTCAACTTCCTGGATTTGCTTCCGCCTGCTTCCGCTCGTGCTCATGGTTCGAACGGAGATGCATTTTGTTTTAAGGTGATTTTTGTGCCTTCTGGACGACTGCTCTTATCTTCCTTCACGACTCGGAACGGTGGTGATACATCATGTCCTCGTCAAGCCACCACACACAATGCATAGCTTTACTTTTTCTCAAGTCCGTGCTACGCGCACCGTGTCGATCGACTGAACTCACGCCACAAACGAGGCCGAGGTACACCTCCTGGTCCTCCTCCACCAGGCCTCCCCAAGCTACCAAACACCCGCCTAGCCTCATCATTTCGTGCTACGCGCACCGCGTCCGAGTCGACTAGTGGAATCCACGCCACAAACGGTTCCAAGGTACACCTCCTAGTCCTGGTCCTCCCCTATCCCGCCCAGGCCCCACAGTTATATTCCGATCCTCAGTGACTACTACCACCAGCTGCTAAACAAGCGTCGGCCACCGTCGGCCCGCTCGGTCAGAGCTGCGTACTAGTTAGCGTGTCCTCACATCGCCTCCTACTTTCCGGTATCACGTCCCAATAGCATCCTGACCAAAGCCTCCAGACGTTCGCTAGCGTCGTTCAGTCGAAACTAACCCCTTGGCACGACACGACAGCTTCAATCTTGTCAATCAAAAGTACCGCTAAACTCATTGACACTTTCGACTAACCACATTATTATTTCTTTGTGGTTAGACTCGCACCTTTTTCAGTCTGGTCGTTCTACGTATAGCTGGCTAGCTAGCTAACGCCACAAACGAATCAAAGACGCACCTTTTATTGTTAGGCTCATCGCCACCATCAACGTTCAACATTCAACATTCCAATCCCGTACAGCACTGACGATGACGGTGACATCAGGTATTCAGCTATCCTGTCGCTGCGTACTATATATATAAGCATCGCCTTTTGACCCTTTTGTCGCCCTGGTCCTGCGCAGGGCATCGCTCCTGGGGGGCTCGGGGGGTTCGGGGTTGGATGTTGAATGTTGGGTTCGTGTTGATCATGAGCGTGAAGATCTTACAGTACGTAGTTGCTGCGCGGACGGGATGAGTCCTCGAGATGATGCTTGCACAGGATAGAAAGGATCATCGGTCGACGTATGGGTATGGCCAGCGCTACAACTTGAAGTACAACCATGACACCACGGAGCCGATGTTTCATTTGGTTTACATGAAACCCCCCGGACTGTGAGCCGTACTAGTGTACATAGCAGGCAAGAAAGATATGGCAGCAGATGCCGCTGCATGCTGGGTATCCTGGATCCGAGTGTTGTAAAAAAAAAGGATGAATAAATGGTTGTCGGGAAACGTCAGTGGTGTCGGTCGGTCTGCGAATTTCGCGATGCCAGTGGGGTTCTCTTGTGAAATTCGCGATGGGGCTTTCTTGCGAAGTTCACGACGTGATGTCTCCCAAGTTGTAGATCAAGACACTGCTCGAAGCGTCAGGGAGGGACGCAGTTAGCACATGAGTCTCACAAAATGCAGAGCGAGAGGAGGATGTGGAAAAAGGCAGCAAAACCTCTAATTTCCTTTCTCCGGGATTTCCCGTCGAACCTACTCACGCCACACGAAGCCACACCGGACGAATAAAAGGACACAAATCGAAGGATTGGGGTATTATTACTACTATCAACGCCGGCCGGAACAGTAACACGATAAAAGGCTAAGTATGCTAACTACAATCCATAACACGAAGCAAGACAGTCCTTGACGCAAAACCGAGTACGAAGAAGATCACAAACAACAAGACAGAAAACGCCACACCACTCGTGAAAAGCCTCGATTATTGGCTTTTTAAGCAACATGAACGCCAGCAGCAGCACCTTCAGTCAATCCAACAAGCCCTCCAACGTTGGCTGTCAAGCCCTCTACGAGACCGGCATCGAGGAGATCACGAGCGACATGTGCGGAAGCAGCAGCGCCCTCGGAAACACCCACGAGACCAGCGACATCAGCCGTCAAGCCCTCTACGAGACCGGCATCGAGGAGATCACGAGCAACGTGTGCGGAAGCAGCAGCGCCCTCGGAAACACCCACGAGACCAGCGACATCAGCGGTAGCGCCCTCGATGAGGCCGGCGTCGAGGAGATCACGTCCAACGTGGACATCACCAACGGCACCTTCCTTCAGTCCGACCAAACCACCAACGTTCGCGACGAGGCCCTCAACAACATCAGCACCAACAAGGTCGCGACCGACGTGGACGGATCCAACGGCACCCTCCTGAAGACCGACCAATCCACCGATACCAGCGACGAGGCCTTCATCGGCGTCCGCACCGACGAGGTCACGGGCGACATGTGCGGAAGCGACTGCGCCCTCGGAAACACCCACGAGACCAGCAACATCGGCAGTAGCACCCTCGATGATACCGGCGTCAAGGAGATCACGTCCGACATGGACATCACCAACGGCACCCTCCTGGAGACCGACCAAGCCACCGACGTTGGCAGCAAGCCCCTCAACGACATCAGCACCAACGAGGTCGCGGGCGGAGATCGGGACACAGGAGTCGCTTGTCGAGGAGACGGAGAAGCCCTCAACGCATTGCTCGACGAGGCACTTCGACGATTGGCAGGAGACGGTGGCGACGTTGGGGATGGCGGAGCAGTCGACGCCGAGAGTGGAGGGAGTATCGAAGGGAGAGGCAATAGCGCAACCGCCGCCTTTAAGTGGACAAAAAATCGTCAGGATAATTAATTACATCGAATGTAAATTTCGAATACTCACAAGACTCGAGGTCAGAAGCGGTGTCAACGCACTCCCAGCCAGTCCTCTTTCCACCGGTAACACCACAGACGGTCATTCCGTTTGAGCAAACGGGGGTGTTGGAACGACGACGACGGGTAGTGGCAGTAGATGAACCACAGCCGTTAGGGAAATCGCCGCACTGTCCGTTACATTCCGTCTTTCCAGAGGGGCATCCGCAACCGGTAGGGACGGCGGAAGAGTTCGATGAAGATTGGCCATCAGCGTAGGTAGCTTCGTAGCCGTCCTCGCAAGAGAAGTTACAGGGAGCGGAGGCGGAACAGATGGATTTGGCGTGATCGGGGAACGTGCACTGTTGCTTGCTGGTGCTGTTGTTGATCTATCCAGGGAGGAAAACCTTCGGAGTTAGCTACGTGCTCGGATGTACATGGGAGGACACGGGACGTACCATGCTCTCGAGGAGGGATTGGGTCTTGACCTGGCCGACCTGTTTGGAAGCGTCTTGGCAGACAGAGTTGGACTGGACGAAATCGGGAAGGAGGGAGAGACACAAGCAGACGTCGAGATGGCCGACAATCAAAGGGGTGCCTACGGAAGGAAATATTCAATCTCTCTCCACAAAAATAAACACAAAAATAAGCTGAACATACCGAGGATCTCAAGAAGGTCGAGGTCAACATCGAGACCGACACAAACATCCACGAGACCGCGGGGAACGTGTGCTTGACGAGCTGCGATAGCGTTGTGCTCAGTCGTGCGAGTCGAGTGGGCAAGAGCAGGCGAAGCTGCCGCCATAAGCAACGAGATTGCGTTTGAGAATTTCATGTTAAAAGAAAGAGGGCGGAGATAATATTATGGTTCAATTTGTTCGTTGAGGGAACAAGAAATGAGTGTGGGGGTAAAAGAATGACGGGGTGCTGAGAACCAGCGAAGAGAGATGTTGGGAGAGAGGAGGATGAGGGGGAAGAGTGAAACGGGAGGCGCGTCCCATTACCTTGAGCGAAGCCTTTAAACGAAATACGTTAGGGGCAGAGATCGAATCTTCCGGAGCACAGGAAGCGGTCGAAGCCTACGCAGCAGTCAAACGTGAGTTTTACCTCCAAATTCGCCCGCAAGAGGTGCTCAAGCGATGGACGAAGACTGAGTCGGCAGCCGGCATCTGCGAGTATATGAGCGCCCCAGAATATTTGGGGCAGGAGAAGGGCCGTTTCCAGGCGAAGAGACATCGGTCGGCTGAACACCAACTGTTTCAGCGGAGTCTTTATACGTACTATGACGGAGGCGAAGTCCTCCACGTTCAATTGCCGAAGACATCAAATGGATTAACGCTGCGAATTGCTATTTTTGGACCAGAAATTTGCCTGTTCGGGAAGGTCTCCGCACCACCCGTCGTTAGCTTTTCTTCTGCCAAGCCTTCTGCGGTGTGATGAGCCCGGAGAAGAGTTTTCCGTCCTCCAGAGTGGGTCCATTAAGCGTCACTGTTTTGCCAGCGCTTTGCAGCTGAGGAAGTGGGAGGACGTTCAATTCAGCAGGGACTTTTGAATGAAGCTGCTCGATACCGCACATCATGGTCCTCTCAGAGTTTCAGCTTGGAGTCGAGGCGTGCTTCATGGGCTCGAGCCATGATGTCGTCGGTGTGAATAAACATAAGAATCATCGGAAGAACGGGACCATTTTTTGCGGTCTCGACGCTGGTCCCGGCTGCGGGGCTGCGGGGGCGATCAACTTATTACGGTGAGTTGGCCCGATATTACTTCCCGAGGTCAAATTTGATTAAACCAATAGGGCATATACGTAGCGGTTCACATCGCGTTTTGGCAATGTGAATTGAACCCAGGACGGGTTCAACACTTCGCAATTTTGACCCGTTGGAGCGTTGAAGCTGAATTCACACTCCGTGTGAATTCGACGCGAAAGTGGCCTCCTCCCATCTCTCCCCGTTCGCTGACATGGCTCAAAACAGCAGACACACTTCGGTAGGGGGGCCATGTACAGTAGCACCCGGAAGAACCGCGGTACCAGAGGTCATCAGCAAGGGGAACGGGGATGGGAGCAGTCGTAGACCTCGTCTCGAGAAATCAAACTCAGTGCGAACTGGATATTATATCTAGCTCCACATCCGAGCTTTCGAGTTCACATTTTTTGCTCTCAGAATGATAAACAAAACTGATGTGAATCGCTACATATATGCCCTAATGGGGGACTATTATGTGGTAAAAAATGTCCGGTGCTCGACCTTTGTTCTAGACCCAATGACATGGCAGGAGTCAATAGGAATGCGCGAACAAGAGGAGAATGGACACACCACCAGTGTACATCGAGTCCTGAGTGAACGAGAGTGGTGAGAGACGGATACGTATGAGTATTTGAAAGTAGATGCTAGCTCACCAAAAGGGAGACACTATAAGGAGAGCACACCACCAGAGACCTTTAGGAGGAACCAGAGTGGGCAATCGTTTGTGTCGCAGGGGCCTGTGTCAAAGCCAGGATCCCGGTAGCTTACATACCTCGGGTACACACCAATGATCTCGGTCGCCTGTGGAGTGGCGGTGAAGCGCCGAAGCATTGAAGAAGAACGAAGGTCAGATTCAGAGTTCTTACGGCAAGAAAAAACAACTGAGCTTACAAGGACAATGACAGAGTAAAGGCAAAGCTCAATGGTCCGACAACACTCTACGCCTTCACGACCTGCACAGCGTCGGACAGGGAGGAGTGATGATTAGGTTCAAATGGCTATACTAGGTCTCACCAAAAGAGAGCTCGCAACCGCATTAATTTGACAATTACGACGCAGCTCACCCATCTTCACACTGACACGACGATACATATGAAGGGAGGAAATCGGCGGACTGTAAAGTAATGGATGGTGGCCGATCAGCCAGAATTTGTCAGAGGTGCGCAAGGGAAAGGCGGAACTCACACCGTCAGCTTGCGTTGAACGGCCATACTCGCCATACATCCATGCCGAGTGCGGTCAAAGCATATGTGCCGTCAGTCATACCGTGGTTTTGAGGGATTAGAAGTACACTTCGTTCTGCGACATTCTACAAGCATTGGACAACGCCGAGAACTGTGGGTCCAAATGCATACTGGTAGGTCTCGGGAGAGCGTGAACAGCGCGACCGGTCGGTGAAATAAGTCTAGTCTGTGTCCGTCCTTCGAAAGCGTTGATCGTACAGGCAGAAGGATAGCACGAGGAAAGCACGATGAAGCGAGAGAAATGGATGCTATTACAACAAGAATGAAACGACAACCACGACGGACATTTGTTATCCTGCCAGCCAATCTGGTCGATTAGTCCATGCGTCCCTTCAACATACGTGTTACCACCTTGTCTTTCGTGCTAGAATTAACAAACCAAGACCACATTCAGCCAACAGCTTCTAAGGGCGGACCATACCCTACACGCAAGATAGTTTGATGAAGCACTCACATAACATGAACCACAGCTCCCCAACCCGAATACGCATCTCTGTCCACTGCGTTCAACAGCGTCTGACTGATGCACTCAAACAATTCCTCCGGGTTCATATCCTCCTCCCATAACCCCTCCGCACAACCAAATAACTTGTCGCTTGCCGTCCCCGCCACGACGAAATCTTTCGCGAAGTTCAAGCACCCGATCAAGTCAGTCGCAGCGATGAAAGGCTCGAATTTCGGCTCTTCGTCTGTGGAAGTCGGTAGACGCTCAAGTCCTGCGATGACGGGTTCGATGAAATAGGGGCCGAAACGGTGTTCGTAGAGGGTTGATGAGACGAGGTGGGCGAAGGTGGAGGGTTGGATTTCGCGCGACTCTTTGATAGTATACATGTTTACGCGGAAGCGGAAACGTTCTCGCCTGAACATGGGTTCAGTACGACTGGCACACAAATACACAAGCTCCAACGGGACAGATACAACGTACAGTGTAGTCACATCCGTAGCCAGTCCTGGAAGGCCCAAATATATCCGATCCGTCACAGGGAACACCTAGCACAGACCACGCAAGAGGTCAGTCCTGCTTTACGCTCATGTATTCGCTGCGTATAATGGATCCGTACCTTCTCGAAGTTAGTCGCCACAGTAAGTGCTTGATTTCCGAGCCTCAGATCAGACGCAATGGCGACACAGTCTTTCCCGACCATCGCCACCACCGAACCTCCATTGTATTGCATTATAGACTGTTGGTCGATGATGTACACTCGTAATTATTCCTGGATCGGCGCAAAACAATGATTCAACGTACCATGGTGGGCAAATAGTCGTTTCGAGATGTCTATCGCGATAAAGGTCGTAGGGAAGTGGAAGAAGACCAAGCCTAAGGAGGGGACAGGGAAGAAAGAGGGTTTACAAGCTGAACGCGGTGACGCGTCTCCTGTTGTACGCGTCGCCTGCCTGTTTAGGTCGGTGGCGTAGTGTGGCACCTGGCTCTTTGTAGTCGGGCTTTGTGGCCCTCCCTGTCCTAGAAGGAGCACAAATGCAAGGAATGCATCAATACCACAAATCTCTCAAGATTATACTCATCAAACGCGAGAAATTAAGCAAGCCGTGGTCGTCATTCTATTGCTTAGACCGACACGTCTCGTTCCTCCCGTTTGTCTCGACCCCGATACCGCTTCCATCTGGGTCTCCAGAATACAAACGCTCATCCTAGCCTGGATAAATCCTGTGAGAATGATAACAGATTCAGAGCCCTAAGTCGTACGGATGACATTGCAGTATAATATTAGCGCGCAGTGATACAACATGAGATTCCTTGAAAGGAGTACGCTCGTTCAAGGGAAATTGAGGGGAAGTCACTACACCCTCACATGAGCTTAACGCTTCGGCGTTGTCGCTCATTACATCAATGTGACCACTGTAAGCGTATCGTACAAGGTGTGGATGAGATATCTACTGGGTTAGCCACAATGGCCTTGTAACAATCTGAGATATTCACCGTACCCAGACTGGGAGCCTACGGAGATTGAGTGATGAAATCGCATCACCACCACCACTATTCTGAGGTTTCATGATAGCATTTTGTATAGAGAGGATTTCACCTGCACTTCTACCCTACGGAAGGCTTAACCATGACGGAAGACTTCCCGTGAAAAGTAGAACAAGACCAGACAAAGTGACCACAGGGATGGTTTTTAATTAAGCACGCAGCAGAGGCGAAGGTGCCATAGGAAATACGATTTCAGAGTATCGCCTCCTTGAGGTCCAGCTGAGTCTAATGTTCTAATAGCGGGTTTCTTCACGAACAGAAAACGAACAGGTTTGTCGCGGTGGGTTTGAAGTAGTAGCTAAAAATAGAGCTCACTACCGAGGTATGCACGACGGCAATCTCCGGATCGAAAGTACTGGGGCAGGGGGCAACTTGCACTACGCCATCAACCACGACGTCTTCCTCGACGATCACACTCCACAAGCCCAGTCCATTCGTCTTCACAGAACCTACATTTCTCGTTTATTTTTCCAGTCTCTCTATCTGACGAAATAAGATGGCGGATCAATTGGTATGTGGTGCTCTGTTATCCATCGAAGGATCATGCTCTCCCCCTCTGCGTTTGCCATTTTTTTCGAGCGTTTGTTGCATGCGATTGAAGATCATTTACTCATGTCTTGTTGTCTCTTTGTTTGGGTCTCCATTTTGGCGGTCTATTGAACGGATAGTCCGAAGGTACGTCTGTCTTTCATGGCTTCATATCTAGACGCTTACTGACTGTGGTTGATATCAACTGTCTTGATTTGTAGAGCAAATTTCTGGTATGTGTTATGGACACGAAGCGAGGTGCTCTCGCTCTAAACATCATCTGACGGCTCGATTGGTCTGCAGAGTTCAAGGAGGCGTTCTCTCTCTTCGACAAGGGTATGTCTCAACGCTTTCGACCAACGTTGTCCCCTTCTGATCATATCCATTTCCTTCCATTCTACCGCCTCTACATCTCGCACATTATTGCCTCATGACCTGCTCTTTGCCTCTGCTCGTATGCTTGACTCGTTCCAGACGGTGATGGCACAATCACCACCAAAGAGCTCGGAACCGTCATGCGCTCCCTAGGCCAGAACCCCACTGAAGCCGAGCTGCAAGACATGATCAACGAGGTCGACGCAGACGGTAACGGCACCATCGACTTCCCCGAATTCCTCACCATGATGGCCCGCAAGATGCGTGACACGGATTCGGAGGAGGAGATCAAGGAGGCGTTCAAGGTGTTCGACAAGGACGGGAACGGATACATCTCAGCTGCGGAGCTGAGGCACGTCATGACCAACCTTGGTGCGTGTGCCTTCCATTCCCCTCATTTCGTGGACCTTTCTATTGTAGGATGGACGACGCAAAGAGTGCGATATGGATGGGTCGGCGAACGAGGCCGCGGCCGGTGTTTGAGCGTTGCTTGGATGATGGTCACTGATTGATGGCGATGTGCCTTCCGTTTTCCCCTCTTTCCAGGCGAGAAGCTCTCCGACACCGAGGTCGACGAGATGATCCGTGAGGCAGACGTTGACGGTGACGGCCAAATCAACTACGATGGTACGTTGCGCCACACCGCTTATTGCCACACGTCGCTCACTTGTGCTTCCCCTTTCTGCTTCCTGCTACGTCATTCCAGAGTTCGTAAAGGTCAGTCTCTTTTCTTCTATCTACTCCTATACCTATTTCCATCTGACCAACCCCTCCTTCTACGCACTTCCGTGCTTCCACAGATGATGCTGTCGAAGTGAAGAAGAGGAAGTTAAGAAGTGAATCGCTGGTGATACGTAACCGAACATTATCGCCTTCGTTGTTGTCGACCTTTTTACCCGACTGTGTATTACTCGAGCCTTGATTGATTACCCTGCGTTTCACCTTTTCACCTGTTGTTTGTTCATATTCGTATTCGTATCGGTTCAGTCGTGGTCGATGCTTGCGTCGTTGAATTCCTATACGTTATGTGTCGAAGGACACTGTTGTCTGACGGTCTGGCCTGCTCAGTTTATCGCGTCGACATGCCATGCTGGGAAGAGGTGCAAGCCCGTCCTCTGACGGGGTCCTTATCACTCGACCGTTGACCTCCTTTAACGTCCATTGACCTCCATCGACATCGACCAAAGAATAGCCAAGTCCGTCGAAATAGACGCCACCAAGCACGCCGAAACCCCTAACGTGTGTATCTTCAAAAGTGAACTCCCGCGTTAGTGAAGCATGTCACAAAGGTCAACAGCACTACCTTCAGATATCACAAGCGGTAGTTGCTAGGTTATAACATTGCATCACCGCCGAGGTGTCATTGTCAAGATTGAGGTCAGGAGCTGGCAGGCTGTTCGTTCCGACGTTATGCTGGCATCCAATATACATTCTCCCAAACGGGCGTCCATCCTATTATCTGCTACTACAAATCACGATTCATTATACTCTTACAATCCACATCATTGTCTCGCACAAGGGATTACAGCCGATCAATATCAGGGTGAGTGGGGTGACAGAGCATCTACTTGTTCAGCTCAGCAGCACGGGCACGAAGCTCCTCGCGGCTCTATAGAATAGGGGCACAAAGCAAGCATAACAATCAGCACATTGTCTCCTAACCGTCAATGGAGAAGAAGTAACAAAGGTGCGGAAATGTTAGTTGACAAAGGATTGGCGGGGAGCGGCTCAAACCCGATTGAATGGACAATGGATGATAAGATCGAAAACATGCGTCGTTGGAGAACGAGATGTGGCAGAGCGAGCGACATACCTTCGGTTCCTCGACATTCGCCGCAACCTGAGGGCTAGGGACGTGCGGGTCCCGGGCATGGTGAGCCTGAAGCTCTGGCTTGGAGGTGAGGCCTCCTCCGGGCTGAGGGGCAAGATCGGAGGGGTCGTTGGTCTTCTGCTCAACATCAAGAACAATTAAACAACGCAGAATGATTGGCAATGAAGTACGATGGAGGAGAAGTCATAACAGGAGGGACGCAGAGAAGATAAAAGACGTACAGCAGGATGGGGCTGGATCCCGACTTGCTGCTCGCCCTCCTTAGAGCCAGAGAGCTTGTCTTTGAGGCTGTGCAATGCGGAAGACATGTTCGATATTCAAAATAAAGGGTAAATTCGGGCGTGGAAGTGAAGTGGTAGTGGCGAAGGGGGTTTCTGATTCGTATTGAACGCTCAAGTACGAAGAGTTTATATACGCTCTCGGAACGATGGTGAGCGATTAGCGGGAGATGACGTAGGCTCACCACTACGAAAGGATACCTCCAAAGAAGGCCCGAATAGGAGAAAAGGAAATTGGTGCAAGGCGCGGGACAAAAGAGCAGTCGTTCGAACAGCGATGACATCATCAAACACGGCCCGGAACCCATGTTTGTGAGTGGCGCAGCTAAGAAAGAGCTTTGCGAGTCATGTTGTGGCGGAGCGCAGTGAGTTCTGACAAACATTCAACTTGGCAGGAGTCTCGTGGCGCTATTGAACGACAATGAATCAAGAAGCGAGACATACCGCAGCAGAAATCGAGTCATTGAACAAGCTCTAGACGGCGAGTCCAGTCCCTGGACAATCGTCGAACGAGAACCAGAACGAGAATAAATTCATGTGTGCAAATACACAGACAGCTACAGCGGACGTCTACCCTCCCTGACAAGCGAAGGGTATATAAAAAGTTCGATCATCAGAGAGCAGGGCAGCGTCACAAACGGCTTTTCACTAGATGCCAAATAGCAGATGAGCATACTATCATTAAACGAATGCATAATCGAGTCCACTCACCAGACCAATCCATCTAATCCCAGTCCTCCTCATCTTCCTCCTCGTCGTCACTATCGCCCAACTTCTTGTTCCTCTGCATCAAAGCCGCCGCCAACGCGGACGTCAAATCTCCGCCTCCCGCTGCTCCGCTAGTCCCCTCGCTGCTCCCACCCGCTGCCGAATCCGTCCTCGGCGGCGGTGTAGCCCTCGAAGGCGCCCCACTTCCCCCAGCCGACGTCGAATCCGCCTTCCGTAGCGAATGTATACCTTTGCCTTGAATAGAAGCGAGTAGATCTCCGCGACCTGGTTGAGGCGGAGGCAGGCCGGAGACGGCTGGCGCACCTCCGGAAGGAGGCGGTGGTGGAGGGGGAGGTGGAGGTGCGCCCGAACCGCCTGGTGGAGGGGGTGGTGGAGGTGGGGGCGGTGGGGGTGGCGCACCAGAGCCGCCCGGAGGTGGTGGTGGAGGGGGCGGCGGTGGTGGAGGAGGAGGAGCAGCTCCTCCAGAACGAGTTGGAGGTGGGGGCGGGGGAGGTGGAGCTGCCGCCGAGCGAGCAGGAGGCGGTGGTGGCGGAGGAGGTCCGCCACGCGATGGGGCAGCAGGTGGTGCTGGAGGCGGCGCTGGAGAGCTCCGAGCGGGGGCGGGAGGAGGAGCTGAACGGCCGGGTGGAGGGGGTGGCCTGCCAGGTGGAGGGGGAGGTGGTGCAGGGGATGGAGGTGGTGGAATGGAGGATACGGAGTCTTGATTGGCATGTCCTCCCCCTTGGTTTCTTCTCGGCGCAGGAGGTGGAGGTGGTTTCTTCTTCGCTCCTCCGCTGTTGCCATTAGAAGCGGGAGCACCGCTCTTCTGCGCATCGCGGATGAAGTCCTTGATAAATCCCATATTCTCATTGATGATCTCCTGATCAACGCCGTGTGACTGTAGGTCACCAAGGAGAGCGGTCCATGAAGGATCAACGCCGCTGGAGGTGAATCCCTTGTCTGCGTCGTAGCCCATGTGGGCGACGTGAATGAAGGAACCAGAGGTAGGTCCGCTGATAAGGGATTTGTCGATTCGGCCGCCTTTCTTGGATTTGGTAGTATTCGACCGTGTAGGGGTGGAGGGAGTTGAGCCCGACGGGGATGACTTCTTCGCTGAATAAGTGTGATGATTATTAGTGCGACGTGGGGAGCAGCCGACTGACGAATATACCTTTGGTCTCTTTGCGGTTTGTGACTTTCTTGAAGACGGTTTTAGCTTCGCTCTCGTCTGCGAAGACGATACCAATCATACAATCCTGATCAAAAACAGAACATGAGTATTCCGTTCAGCTGCACTATATGGTCAAACATTTGTGTGGCGCAACGGCTGCAAGTTATGTGACATCCATGAAACCCTGAAACACTTATGCCAAACGTCATCATGGTTTCGGATAGCCAACGAACTCGACGGCAAACAACTGAAACGACCAACGAAGAACGGAGGAAAGACTTACATCTCCAGGGAATGAATGGAAGTATGGCCGGTCCTGGAAATACTCGAACCTCTCCCAGAGTTCATGTTCCCAGATCACGCCTCGGGTGCCCACCAAGTCGACCATTCGCAAGTACCATCGACCACCCTACATAACAAATGTCAAAAGTCAACAACAGTATACACGTCAGCAAAGCTCCCTCTCCGCTATGCGGAAGTGCGAGGCGAGTGCGCACCTTTGAGTTATCCTTCAGGAACACGATGGCGCCCTGTAATCCCGCGTACGACCACCTATTCGGATCAGGATGTGCATAGTAAATCCGAGCAAGTGCGGCAGTCTGGATCTTATTCGAGGAATTAGGGACGGCGCTCTTCACTTTAGACTTGTCATCCGAGGATAATGTAGATTGAGTGGGCATGACAAGGGTGCCTAGATGTCGAAGTCGTGAGAGTCGCTCCTCCAAGTAATTATATGTCTAATATGGCGAGGATTTCTAGCAGAGTTTCCTGCTATCGTGGTGGTAAGAGACAAGAGAGGAATGTGCCCGCAGTTTGACGCTGTCTGGAAACACAGGTCGTGGCGAGCTTGAGACATGCTGGACGACTGTGCGGAGGCTGTAGTGCTGTTTCGGGATGTTCCGGCCCGCCGACAATACTCGAGCGTAACGCTTTCTTCACGAACCGCTACCCTTCGCCCCGTTCGCTCTATTCGCTTTTTTCAATCCACGACAGCGGCTGTCTTTCGCAAAATAACAGCCTCTATCTTTTTCTCTTTAAATATATAAGGAGAGTAAGAAGAGAAGTACAACGCGTAGGTAGCCACTTGGCCCCTCACGATCTTTCAGCTCATCTACATATCATTCACTTGCAACCTTCTGGACCCTTATAGTCGAAAACAGTTTTGACTTTTTTTTCTGATGCTATAAACGAGCCGCGAGGACACGCTCGATTTCACCATGTCCGAGATGATGACTTTATCTGCTTCATGCAAATGCAAAGCTAACGATTTCTCCTTCTCCACCCCCCTTTCTGATCTTCCTCTTCCTCTATATCTTTGCCACTGCTCAACGTGTCGAACATCTATGGGCACCTCTTTCGGTACCTTTTATCTCCCGGCCCCTTGCTCGTATAATGGGGCAATGCGGCCATTCGCAGCAGGCGAGGTCCCATCCACGCTCACCCGATACGCGTCCAGCGATCTTGCAGCGCGATACTTCTGCTCTAAGTGTGGAGCTCACATATTCATGCACTACGGAGGCGAAGACGCTCTCACTCCGACCGATGGTGACCGAGACGAGTGGTGGGTTTGCAGTGGCGTCATCGATGGAGACTTGAGCCGCGAAGTCCCTCGGCTATTCAAAACTGTAGCTCAGATATGGGTGGATGGAACCAAGGACGGAGGACTTGCGTACCTAGCTGGCCATCCCACCTCGGCAGACGTCGAACGAGTAACTGCACATGAGACAGGATCCATCTCGCCCAAGTCACCTGTCATACCCCAGACCTCACTTCAACAGCGTCTCCGCCAATTCATTTCCTCACCTTCCTCCTCAGGAGCCACCCGCGGCGAGAGCTTGATTGCACAATGTCATTGTCACTCCACCACCATTTTTCTCTCCCGCCCCGACGTCGCGTCGAGCTATCCGCCCACTACACGCGATGGCCCAGGCTGGCACGAAAGCCTCGACAGACCAGAGGGTGCTGATGAAGTCTGGTGGTTGCGCCCGTCGTTGACCGATCCGAGTAAACGAGATCGGCTGGCCACTATTCCCTGTGCATGTACAGATTGTCGAAAGTGTGCCGGTTCCGAGGCAGTCTCTTGGACATATACACCCACCGGTTCAGCATCGCTCTACGCCCAAAAGCCTCATCAACCGCAAGGGCCGAAGTAAAAGTCGTGCCATGGTCCTCCATCGCACCTTACGTCCGATATTCTCAATCAATCTCCACCGCTACCTCCACAACGGAGTCGCCCCCCGGAGAGCTCGAAGGGTACAGTCTCCCCTTCCGAGTTTATAACTCCTCCAAAGATACTTATCGTGGCTTCTGTGGCACATGTGGCGCCACGATTTTCTGGTACGGTCCTCAAGGCGGTACTCGTGACAACATGATCGACCTTAGTGCAGCTTTGTTTTCCGATCGATCAGCGTTGGATCCCGATATCACCCAGGCGACTCAGTTCAGTGGAAATGATAGTCTTGGAAGGGATGAAAGGGAGGTAGGATCGAGGAGGGATGACTGGCTGGACTGGATGGCGGATCGTGTTACAGGGTTTTCCGATGCGGAAGGACGTGGAGATTTGGTCGAAAGGATTGGTGAGGGCTTCAAAAGCAAGGGTTGGAAGGAAGGCTTGACTCTCTGACCTCCTCGACACGCGCTCAAACTATGGCGTGGTTGTAAGATTAAATAGGAGGTTCGTGTACATTCCCTACATCTGATTTCATTGGCCGCTTATACTTGAATGTGTCTTCATGTTAGAATAAATGTTGTACATGATGTCACACGAGTCGTTCGCCTGCTCATAGCGCCGTTCTCTCGGTTCAGGACAAAGAATGACTCCCTGATCTGGATAACAAAGCAATTTAAATTTCATTTGGCGACGTGTCAAAGGTGCTTGCTCGTTTTGCCGCATGGCGTTCCTGCGGTATATAAGGGTTGCCATTCCATCCATTCTTCTATCACCATCTCCCTTCCTCCCTACCCCTGCTTCTTCCCGTCCCGGCTAACTCCACTGGCAGCCTCCACTCACCGGCCTGATTCACTATGGGCTATCCTCCCAAGAAATCTCTCAACATCGAGGCTGCTCCCTTTGTGCCCCAGGGTATTACCGTCTTCAACGACTCTGCCATCGGAGAGTCTGGCTCCCTCCTCTCCAGTCCATCACCCAATTCTGCTAGCGATCGTGCTCCACCTGGCCTTGACGCTGCTCTCCCTCCGCACGGGAACTTTGCTTCCCCTCTTCCATCTCAAGAAGCTCGCGTATCTGACTGGCGCGCTAGAGGTCCTCAAATGACTGGGTCCCCAAACGTAACACCCTCTGAGTCTCGCTTCAAGGTCTATACACCGCGAAATGGCGTCTTTTCACCTGGGGCGTATGTGCATGAAAAGGCAATTGTCGACGACAGAAGTGACTCTGAAGATACCCTCGCGGCGGAAGTCTCTGGTCCGGACACAAAAGCTTCAGACGAGACTCGTGATGCCCATAATGGTCATAACTATATCCCTCCTGCGCGTCGTGACGGTACAGGTGCGTCCAATCTCTCATTTGCCTTAGCCCACTTCGACCAATATATTCCTCCTTTTGTCGCAGACACTGGGAAATGCCCAACAACCGAGAAATACATCCCACCCGCCAAGCGTGTCGACCCAGTCCTAGAATCCTACAAATCACAGAGAGCCGCAAACTGTCAGCACGATTGGATGCGTGGAGCTAGGTACGAGAAATTCGAAGGTTCAGAGTGTTGGGGTTGCTCGAAGCGTTGGCCTTGGCTCTACGTGCGTCCATTATTTTTTCCATCACGTTATCCTTCTGTGAGCTTTCGACTGATGACAATCGTGCTTTGAGTAGAAGTGTAAGAGCTGCCCCAGGGAGTTGTGTCATGAATGTCGCTACAAGGAGCGTTTTGGCACTGTCACGTACCCTCTTGTCGAAAGCGGTGAAGGAAAAGGCTTATGAAGGTAGAACTGTTGGTTGATGTCCTTGATCTGCAACCCGTCCACTCCCATCTATAATGACCCTATACCTCTTGTAATAAAATAGTCCAAGTGCCTTGACGAGACACGGAAAAATTTCTTTCATGTTTGTTTACAAATAATTGACACCAATACAGTACACGCCGTTCTCAAGAACATCTGCAAGAAATAAAACGTAATAAATGGAGCGGGGGTTCTATAATGCAACTCATCCCCGCGATATACGTATGACATGAAGGAAACGCCTCTAATGACTGGAGCGAACGAGATTCCGATCATCAACCCAACAACCCCTCATCGCTCTCCGTCGAACTATAGGGGTTGTTGAGCTCCCACCGTGTCGCCACGCGAAGACGTTGTGCAGGCGGAACGTGTTTATCGTCGAGCGCATGAGGATGACCACCGTGAAGAACTCCGACACGCAGCATAGAAAGCAACTAAAAGAAGTGAAGAAAAACATCAATACGAGGAAGGGGAAGAGGCAGAGGGAGAGAAAATAGGACGAACGTTGTGTGCTGCGTTCGAGTGGTCGTATACGCCTCCAAAAAAGGCCGTCGTCGCATCCTTGCCGACGTATTTCTTCAAGAGATGGGCACCACCGGGATGTTCGTCGATGAAGGAGCCAACGTCGTGGATGAAGCCGGAAATGAGGACAAGTCGTCGCGTCTCAGACTGGTCTTGGACTACACATATGGTGAGGAAAGATTCAGTACACGATGCGGATCTGTCGAAACTCGATAGGGGATATCGGGACAGTGAATGAGACGTACAAGACTGCCACGAGATAACGGGAAGGTCATCGACATCCTCAGGCCAGGTGATGTTTTCCTGTTTTTCGCGCAGGCGCTTGAGCTGCATGGTAAGTTGGCCCTTGCGTATCTCGTTCTCCGGGAAGGTCTGCAGGGCAAAGGTCAGTGAGATGGCGTGAAGAGTTATTGAAGATAATTATATTGAAGGCGTACCTTCAGATGCGAGGCGAGACCCAACTTATAGCAGACCCAGATGAACCACTTGGTAGGGTCATACTGGTACCATTTTATTGCGTTGCGATAATCCATGGGGAACTGATCTGAGTGAGAGAGTGATATCAGCATCGAATCAAAATATGGCGGCTCGGATAAAAGCAAAGACAGAGACGCACGATGGAAGCCATGGTATCCTGCAACGAAGCAAGTCGAGGTCAGCACTGGACCGCGAAGAGAAGCAAATAGCATAGACGAACCTTCACCAACTGTAACAAGCGCAGTAATGAAATGGTCCCTCGGCGTATGCTTGTCGTCGAAAGGTGCCTCTCCCAACCAGTGTGCCAAACTATTCACACAGAACGTCGAATGGTGCACAAACACCAACCTCGCCGCACCCGCATAGAAATACCCTCCCCTCCAATCACCCCACAATAATCCCGGAATGACCGTCGGGACCCCGAACCCCATTGCCAGAATCAACCAAAGGTACCACCGATGTTGCCACCGCACAACTTCAGATCTCGAGAGGTCAGAGACGTCGGCGACACCGGGTTTGCGAATGGGCTTGAAGAGCATCCAACCGACGTGCGACCACCAGAAGCCCCAGTGGGCGTTGTAAGGGTCGAGCTCGGTGTCGGTGTATCGATGGTGAGCGCGGTGGCCGCGAGACCACCATTTGATGGAGCCTTGGACGGCACCGGTGCCAGCCATGGCTAGGAAGTACTGAAGAGGTTTCGAGGCGTTGTAGCAGCGATGAGCCCATAAACGGTGGAAGCCTGCGGTAATGCCTGCATATTGTAGTGGTCAGTTGCGATCCAAATAAGTCCTCAAAACTATTCAGCGAGGAAGCCGAAACACCAGTGATACTCGCCAGATATTCACATGTCAAGAGAAAGGAAGAAATCTTGAGAAAGAGACTTACCGAGTCCAGTGATGAAGTAGTAGAGAACAGAGAACAGCGCCGTCTCCCACCTCAACTTGGTCGTACACATCCCATAGATTGCCATAGCAGGCGTGGCCGTCAGCACAATCAAGCTCACGTAGTTGAAGCGCGTGTAGAAGTTCGACCAGGACAGTGGCGGCAGCTCCCTCTCCTTCTTCAAAGTAAAGGCGACATAGTTATCGGGGATATCGATATCAATAGGTTGTTCCCCAAACGCGAGCTTCTCCACGAGTTTCGAAGGGTTCAAGGGAAGAGAAGGACAGTCCGCTTTCGACGGAGGTGGCTTAGCCTGGCGAGAGGGGGGAACGGAAGACATGGAGGAGATGTCTTGCACAACGAAAGCGAGGTGATTCGACCAGTGTTTATATCATCCAAGGAGTTCAAAACGATGGGGAACATTTCTAACGGACAATGAGCCCACTGCGGTGATTTCCCCATCGTCCTTGCCCCAGAAGAAAGTGACCGTAGCCCGGCCGAGTCTCGACGCGTCTCGGAAGGTCTGGGACTGGCGCCGTCGCTTGGGCCCATATTGAAACTCCGCGATCCATTCTACTACGCCACTGTGGCGCCACCTTACCGCAACGGTCCAATCGCACGACCACCTAACAGTTCACATATCAGCCAATCAATGCCTCCGTTGGGGGTATGAGCGTGTACCGACGAATGAAATATAAATACACAGAAGCAACAACGAAACCCCAACTGATGACTTTCCCCAATCCTTGAGACCACCCACATCATAACCCGATTCTGTGCCCTAACTCCGCCACTAAGCACTCGCCACAAACGCATTGAAGTCCCAATACTGCGGCCCCTGCGCACTATAATGCATGCCTGACGGCGTAAACCTCGTAATTGTCGACAGCACTCCCTGGTTCCTCGTGATTTGGGCAGAGACATCACAGGTATCGATGAAAGGTAGCGATAGTTTGTAAACGCCGGAGGCGGAATAGGACGTAGTACTGGTCGATGAACCGCAAGTGAGTGTTATTGATGTGTTTGTGGCGAGGGAGGGGGCAAGGTGCACCACGGCCCAGAGGGTGTTCGAAGTCTGCGTGGGGGAAAATGATGAGCTCGTGAGAAAAGTGGGGGTAGAGGAGGGATGTACCCAATCAGCATTGGCAGGTCTTGCGACAGAGTCCCCCGTAGGTTGCGCATTCTTATCATATAAACGTCCCCAAAGATAAAACTTATCCTGGGTGATTGCCGGGTAGACTCCGGTCTTGAAGGCTTGGATATAGTACGGGAGCATCTTCAACCACCCTGCGGATCAGCCGTTGATCAGCATGCAACATCCAGCCACAGAATGCAAGAAAATAGTAATAAGGGCGTACCTTGGTGGTCATACTTCGTTACCCATTCACTATAGGGAGGAAGCTCGCCTTTGAAAGGAGTGATATAAGAAGACTCGGTGTAGTCATTCCAGGTTACTACAAACAAGGGCGCGTAGACATATTAGTTTCCGTGAAATTGAGATATACAAGATTGTAGGCGCTCTCACCAACTTCGACCATAGCCACCTGCTCCCTATTCGCGATGAGCTGTTCCCAACGCGAAGCCCACAACCAGTCATCTGGTCGATATATGAAGTTCTTGTTGTAAGACTCTGGACCGTAATGCTAACGAGAGCGCACCGGGGTAAGCACACCAATTGAGGCATGGAGGAAAGACAGATGGGAAGGCTTACCGCATAGAACCAAGGCGAAGCCGGGGCGACATATCCCTTTCCATTCGTCTCCGAAATCCAAGTCTGATCGTTAGAGAACGAGATATCGTTGTTACCCTGGGGCCACCCGCCATTCCACTGCAAAACATTGTCAGTTATCGCAGTCTGAATATGAACTCGAATCAAAGACACCGGATACGCACGTTCAAACTCGCTTGAACCCCACTCCATCCCGTCCACCCCTTACTCATGTCAAAGAATGCTGGCGCAAACCAAAACCCACTAGTCACGCTCTGCCACCCTGCCTGCCCAAACCCACAGGCCTCTCCCGCAAACGTGCTCAACACAGGTTGCAAACTCATTCCTCCATTCCCGTCGGCTGTACAAATCTGTAGCTGCGCCGAAGAATTTGAATGCGCGGTGGCGATCGAGCGCAAGTTTGATGCGTCGTTGGAATTCGCACAAGGAAAGGACGACATGTCGAATGAGATGGCAAGTTTGAAGGGTTTAGCGGTACAGTTATTCGTGGATCTAGGGCCGGTCGCAGCGAATGAAGAGCTGGAATCAAATGTGTCGATGTCGTCGACGAAGGTATGAGCACTCTGTGTCGCGCAGGTGGAGGAGACGTTGGCATTGAAAGCTTCTGCGGCTGAGAAAGCATCGGAGATGCGTGCAGGTTGCCAGGGATCGGCACCCATGTTGAGGATGAACCCGTCTAGGCCGTTGGTGGCGGCCAAATAAATGTCTGTTGACGAAAAAAATATTATGAGGAAGGTAATATGACTGGGTAAGGAGGTGAACACGCACCGCTTGCCCAATCGCTTGGTGTGTACGAGTAGGTATACCTATTTGTAGTAAGGTCAGTATCATATAACGGTACCGGTGATACTCTTAAGAACGAAGAACGCACCCAACCATATGATGAGCCACGACGGGCTTGTCGATCACACACGAAGCAGTGGTCTCCGAACCATCTTCTATCCCTATATGAGCCTGAGACCAAGCATTTCGTGGTGAAGGCTTGACCGAAAGAGCCATAGACAAAGTCCCAAGTGCTAAGATCCCGACGGTAGAGATGGTCAAAATCATGGTGTGAGCGTCCACAACTTGGAGCAGGATGAGGATGTCGCTCTGGAGTTGGAGAACAGCTGGGGATGTGTTAGCACAAGGAAAAATGTAGCATAGGTGTCGCATACTTATACATTTCCGAGAACCTACACAACCAGAGGGCGAGACATAAGCGCACCGGGGTTGAAAGTTGCGGTGGCCCTATTTCGGTCGCAGGGAGAAATAACGAAGTAGAACCGGGCAGTGAGCCTGAGTTACTGAGAGTCGACCATCTTTGCAGTATAGATGGTTTGGACAGATTGGGTGTTGGATGGGTACACCGGATTTTTCGGTTGTAAAGGTGAGACACCGGAAGCCCCAGATCGGTGTCTCAGCACGATGTGGTACCGGAACGCCGCCCGCCGTGCCGGAGCTCGTTCGTTCCCTTCCCCTCTCAGAATACGGAGAGCATGTTTCTTTCACCTGGCAGTTCTTAACAGGAGATGATGGCATGGTTGGTGGTAAAACACGCCGGTGGACTCGAAGATGCAGCTCTAAGAACGGGTATTCTCCGGGATATCGTAGCACGACAGGTTACCAAGGGTCGCGTCAGAGCAGAGAGAAGCTCTGAAGGGCAGAGAGCAGAATCTGAGCCATACGTTGACCGTGACCTGGCATTGGTATACGTTGTTCGTCAAGAAGGCCGCCGTCGCCGACTGCGCCACAAACATCGAGCAAAAGTTCAAAGTCCGCCTCAGCGTAAGCGCTCTGCAGGCTCCGGCGCTTATTTCGAGGAGCTCTTCGCGCCAACATCACCCATCGTCGCTGTGGTCTGCTCAATATACTCTGCTGCTTTCATGCTGTAATAAATTTCTCGATTTGTAATGTCTATATTCACAAACCAGAATATCTCCCCAACGATACTTGGCCTGTGCGGTGTAGTCTCTGAGTCCGTGTACTGCATTGATTTCTGCTCAATCTGGACGCCCCTGCTCCATGCTCCCTGTTCTTGACGCTCGGCATTCTGGTCTCCATCAAAAATTCGTTGATATCCACAATGTTCGAATTCAAAAGGTGCCATAGACATTCCACTTTCTAGTCTATCCTCCTCCCGGACCTGGTTGATCCGTGCAGAATGACATCATTCACTGTTCCCCAACAAGGACTCCTTCCCCGACGTCATTTCCACCGACGTCACTCTTGCTATAATGCTCCATACCAGGCCGTTCATTATTATAAAGGCGAGAGCAGAAGGTTGCTCAGCACAAGAACACAACATCCCGAATACACTTCCACTCTTCTAAATCGCCTTTATACTACAACAAACCCTTCGTCTCCCCACAAACCAACCATGTCCACTAGCATCGACACCAACGCCCCCACCGGTGCTCACACCGCCGGCCTTAACCCCACCCCCTCATCTGCCACTACCTACGGTGCCACCGGCTCAACAAACCCTTCCCAATCTGGCACCACCAACCCGCCCACCACTCTCGACCCAACACCATCTTCCGCCACCACCGGCGAGCCTACAACTACGTCCGCTACTGCACATGACCAACCGCCACCACACAACCAGCCTGGGACTGGTGTGCAGAGCGAGGACGCGGGGACGGGTGCGAATGAGGAGTACCCGGAACAGAAGCATGCGGGTGCGGTGGGATATGGACCAAATTACGGAAAAGGAGTGGTACGTGGTGCCTTGATGCATGGCACTGAGGATCGTTTTGCTGATACTGTGGATGATGATACAGGGTGTGGGTGAGAAGCTCGGAGGCCTTACGGAGGAAGTCAAGGGCAAAGTGCTGAAGAAGCCCGAGGCCGTCCAGCACGGTCATGATCGTCGTACGGGAGAGCTCAAGAAGAAAGAGGAGGATGCTGCCGTACGTATCGTTTCGATACCCTCACTCTGAATTTCCCCGTTACCTGTAGAGACGCTCACTCGCTGTCTGCTTTACAGAACTCGAGTCCCTTCGAGAACAAATCAGAACATGCACCAGCACCAGCGACTAGCGGAGAGACGGAGCGCGCTGCCATGACAGCCCCCGAGGGCACGGAGCACGGTGAGAGGCAGAAAGCTCAAAGGGGCGAAGGGAAGACGAAGATGATTTGAGCTCTTCCTTCTTCCTTTGAGTTGGCTTAATTTGCCGTGCCACTCTTGTACGCAAGTGTGGATGCATGATGTATAACATACCACTTATCTAAAACATCAATAATAGAACACTCGCATCATCTCTATGTTTCGTCCATGATGATAGTGTAGCAGTCAACGAAATGGAAACAAGCTCAGTAAACTTCAGAAAGGGGGCTGTGTCCCTGCGTTGTGGCGGTGGCGCCGCCTATGCGGCTACAGCCGAGCACTTCAGCACTGGTGAAAATCAGAAGTCGCTGTTTCTTTCCACCTCCCTGAACGCATGCTTCATCGTCTTGAACGTCTGCATTAGAAAAATCCTGTATGGAATACTTGGTGCTCTCCCAGAACCAGTCCAAGAGTGCCGACCCTCAGAACACCACTGCTCTTCCGACGTTAAACCCGCCATTTCCCCTTTGCCCCTTGTTCACTGCACGTCGTCCACATCTGACCATATCGACCATGCGTTACTCGATTTCTCTCAGCAATGTTCGTGATGAAAACACGAGCTGAAGTATTTCTGGGCGGCCCGCTTGGGATCACTGGTTGATCACTTGTACCAGGAGCTTCTTCAAGGTTAACTCGAGGCTCATCCACTTGACCGCTCTAGACCTAAACGCTGCATGGAGAATACGACAAGAAGCTCTCGGAGGCTCATGCTCGGGCCATTATGTCTGGTTTGACCATATTTGTGCCTTAATTATTTCAGTATGGGTGCTGTTGAAGGCGATCACAGCTGTTGGCTTGGTTGCTGTCGCTCCGAAGATTACGCTACTCCCAACCTGTGTTCCAGTGAATATCGGAACACCATACCTTCAACTATATAAACTCACTTCTAATACTCTCATCAATATCGAAGCTCTACAGCCCTCATATCTCTCCTCAAGAATGTTGTTCCCTCTGCTTGCTCTCGCCTCTCTCAGCCTCGTCTTTGCACTCGATACCTCCTCCCACTGCGGCCAGTGGGACACAATCGACACCGGGATTCAATACAGGTAACGCTTCTACTCATACAACACGTCGATCACTAACTGAACACGCACAACATGGCAGTATCCTTCTAGACCAATGGGGGGCGTCCGGTGCCAGTTCTGGTGTCTCTTGCGCTTCTATCACCAGTGTCAGCGGTAGCAGCGTTGCTTGGGTGAATAACTGGACTTGGACGGGCGGGACGGGAGTGAAGAGTTTCACGAATGTTCAACTGAACGATGGTATCAACCAGCAGTTGAGTGCTATTAGTAGTATGCCGGTACGTATCTCCCCGCCTTTTCTTCGTACCATCTCCCAAACTGTATGGCGTGTTATAGACAACCTGGACCTGGAGCCAAACCACCACCGGAACCATAGTCGCGGATGTGGCCTACGACATGTTCACCTCCACCTCATCCGGAGGTTCCGCTGCTAACGAAATTATGATCTGGATGGCCAATATCAATGCCGGTCCTATCTCCGCAAGCTACGGCTCGGACGGACAGCCTGTTCCAGTGGCGAGCAGTATTTCTATCGCCGGAAATACCTGGTAAGACTCCTCATCCCTGTCACAGCTACACTTCCTTGTGTGATGCGGTTGCTGTGCATCGGGCTGAGTGCTGAACGTTGGGTCGTATAGGAACTTGTATCAAGGATCGAATGGGGCGAACAATGTCTTCTCGTTCCTCCCCACCTCGGGGCAGATTACGAGTTTCAGTGGTGACATTATGGACTTCTACGACGTACGCCTATCTTCCCTCTCCTTCAAATTCCGCATCAAATCACGACTCACACAACATGAATCCACCGCAGTACCTCGTCTCAAACGAAGGGTTATCGTCCTCTCAATACCTCACAACAGCACAAGCAGGCACAGAAGCCACATCTGGGACTGCCGTTCTGACCACGTACGAATTCATACCATCTTCATATTCGCCGACACATCCTAAGAACTATGTGCTGATGTCCTCTGCTTCCTGATTTACATATATAAAGGACAAGCTTCAGCCTCGCCATAAACACCGGTAGCTCATCCGGCGGTGCCACCTCTAGCACATCCTCTACAATCACCGCAACTACGTCGTCGAGCGCAAGTGGAGCAACGCAGAGCAAGGTACATACGACCCTTCTCTGTCTGCTCGATTTCAGATGAGACTGATTTATCATGCTCATACTTGTGCAGTACGGCCAATGTGGTGGGCAGGGATGGACGGGACCTACGGCTTGTGCGTCGGGATCGACGTGTACTGCGTCAAACGAGTACTATAGTCAGTGTACTTAGTCGGTGCAAGATGGGATGTCAGGGCTATCCAAAGGGATGAGAACGAACGCTCACGGTAGGCTAATCACGTCCGATTGGTACTCTGCCGCTGGTTGAACTGGGCCATCAAAAGACATTTCTCTAAGGTAGCAATGGACGTGACATACGTACTGTCTAAAATAAATATTATCGTAGCGATTGAATGATTTTTGAGAGGTTTGAGGGAGCGTCAAGGGAGCGTCACGCCTCATGAAGTGTGGCGGTGGCGATGAAGGCCGGGAATGCGCGCACCGAATTTGCAATGACGTTCGAACACTCTCCGAACACGGTTGCTAACCGACGGCAATTAATCTTTTCTTCCGTTCATTATGGTGTACCTTCAGGCTTCCGCCCCCTGTCTGGTCTCAGTCTGGCCCCATGAAGGAATGGACGTCGATGATTTCCTCTGGATGGATTTTCTATTTTCCATGACGCGTAACGAGATGACTTGCTCCTATCATCAATTGGCAGGTCACAGGTGAGAACTTGAAGAGTCCTTTGGAACTGCAGACAAACTCCGGCCAAAGTTGCACGAGGTGGAGGAGTCTGAACAGGTCCGAAGCTAGGCCAGATTTCCCTCTGTCGCTGCGTCTCTAACATCAGCTTGCGAATGAACGGAGACCATGCATTGTTGCTATACGACAGCCTCCGCAACATAGTAACGACAGACGTCTGGCCCGAAACTGATGGAAAGGCTGACCTTGCGTTCCGGTAACTTTAGCGTCGTGAAATGCACATGTTCCTGACGAACGGGACCACTTATAAGGCCGACTCCCTTCGAAAGACCGCAGCACTTACCTCTCGACCTTTTCGTTCTCTCGCCTCAGAGCTCTCAGCTGCTTGCTGTTCGACTCCTGTGCTCACTGGAACTAGCTTCTCAGTCCCTTTCATTCTTTTGATATCACCTTCCAGTCTTTTATCTCGGTCTTGACTTTGACCACACTTTCGCCTTGACTTCAAACTCAATCAAACGTTGGCTCATCGAAACCATTATCATTTACACCATGTTCTTCACGCTCCTCGCCGCCGTTCTTCCCGCTAGTATCGCGCTGGCCGTACCCCTGAAAAGGCTCGACACTTCGCAATATTGCGGTACGTGGGACACCATCGACAGTGGAGCGGAATACGAAGTATTCCTCGACCAGTGGGGCGCAAGCGGTGCTACCTCTGGCCAGTCCTGCGCGTCGATCACGTCGTACAGTGATGGAACGATTGCATGGGTAGATGATTGGACTTGGACTGGTGGAACGGGCATCAAAAGTTTCACCAACGTTCAGCTCAACGATGGTGTGAACCAACAGCTCAGTGCTATCACCAGCATGCCCGTACGTTTTGTTCCTCTCTTCCACATGGCCAAGTGTCATTGAGTATGCTAACTCTCGATTCCTCGTCTTCGTGATGCCATAGACTACCTGGGAGTGGTCGCAGACTACTGATGGTGACATTGTCGCCGACATTGCCTACGACCTCTTCACTTCGTCTACCTCCGGCGGCGATGCCGAGAACGAAATCATGATCTGGTTGGCCAACATCAACGCCGGCCCCATCTCTTCTTCGTATGGTTCAGATGGTTCGCCCACGGCCATTGCCAGCGATCTCTCAATTGCTGGCCAGACCTGGTACGCCCTTAACCCGGTGATTCCTTGGACTGTAGCTGACCGGTACTATATTCTACGTCTTCAGGAACCTCTACTCTGGTACCAACGGAGCGAATGCTGTTTTCTCGTTCTTGCCTTCATCTGGAGACGAGATCACCAGTTTCACCGGTGATGTCATGGACTTCTTCACTGTAAGCTCTCTTTTCTATCATAGGTTCTATATCTACTGACCGTCGATCTCGGTATTTCTCGCCCAGTATTTGATTGACAACCAAGGCCTTTCTTCCTCTCAATTCCTTACCACCGCTCAGGCCGGTACCGAAGCTACCTCTGGCACGGCCACTTTGACCACGTATGTTTCTGCCTCGACTTATCTCAACTTATCAAGCTTTGAACTAATATGCTGTGGCATAACAGCTCGAGCTATAGCCTCTCCATTTCTTCTTCCTCTAGCGACGTCGCGTCCTCCGTGGGTCTCGCTGTCAGCTCCAGCAGTGCTGCCTCCGCTTCTACTTCCGCCGCCGTGTCGGCTGTTTCTTCTGCTGCTACCTCCGCCTCCGTTTCGTGCCCTGCCGTGACCAGCGTCACCGCATCCTCAGCCGTCGCCACCTCCGTTGTCACCTCGAAGGCCGCTACAGCTAGCTCAACTTCCACCCAGGCCTCCGCCTCCGCGACCTCTACCTCCACCTCTAGCGCTACTCAGTCGTTGGTAAGCACATTTCTTCCTAGTTCTTACTTGTACTGTAACAATAGACTAGTATACTGATTTCCCATTTCCGTAACAGTACGGCCAATGCGGCGGGCAGGGATGGACGGGACTTACAACCTGTGTGTCTGGATCGACCTGTACCGTCATGAACGACTATTATAGTCAGTGCGTTTAAGAAACGGGCAAGTGAAGAGTTACGTCGTGGTGTTGCCTCCAATACGGGAATTGCTTCGGTCCTAGTTGTTGTATGTGCCGAATGCTGTTAAATTATATGATCGATGATTGCAGAAGAAACAGCGTAGGTGGCTGTCCAATTATTACCTGGAGAACATGCCAAAGTTAGATCCTCCCCAACAAATTCAAACATGACGGGAAGCTGTGAGAGTTTGGGGGGAAAGACGGGCGGCGCAGGCAAGAGGTGATCGGCCCAGCATCACCATGTCACCCCTCCCTGGTCTGGGACCCTCGGTCCTGTCTATAAATTGTGTCTAAATTCCTTGCACCGAACGCCTCCTGGGCACAGAAGGCAAACTGGAGGGTCAATCATGCATGGTGCCACCCAATGTCGCGGGGGATTGAGCGTCGGGTGCGACCGGAGCGGAGTTTCAACATCTAAAACGACCCTGCATACATTGAACTTGAACCTCCCATCCAACCGTCTTCTCGCAGTCCTTATATCTTTATGCAAACTCCGGTCACTACTGAAACAAAAAGAAGAACTCTAGACTAGTGATACATTATGAGACAAATCAAATCGGTAACAACTTGGCGCTTGCTCGGCGCACATCGCCGCAGATGTTCCTGTATGTATGCATCTACGCTCAGTAAGTAATAGCTCCTAATTCCGAGGCGCGGAGAAGAAAATAATCATCTACTCATGTATACTAGGCCTCATGAATTCCAACTTGTAGCGAGGACACTCCAGATGCCACGATATGTACCCGTACCTGTACTCGCGCCACTGCATCGCAATCGTCACATCCACCGCCTCGAGACCCACGTCTTCGTATCTCAACTCGCCACTCTCAACCATTTCGCACTCCTCCAGTCTGAGCAGCTTGTCTATCCTCAATGTCGCGTCCCGAACCTGGTCACATAGGCGGCCATAGGTGTCTACCATCGTCCACTCATCCAGCGGCCCTGTACCCTTACCTCCCCTCCATGATTGGTGCTGAAGGCTGATCATGTTGACTGTTTCTCCAGCCAGCTGCTCTTTATGGAAAGACAAGAGGTCGTTGATCACCTCCTATGTGACAAAAATGTTAGTCATGCTTATTCTGGGTACGAAGCCGGACACCCTGCTTACGATGTAATATATCAGGTCCGGGAAGGCCTTCACGAATCTTGATAAGGGTAACTCCTGATTCTTGGATGCCTTGAATATCGCAGCAGCAAATGCCTCCCCAAACCCGCTCTTGTCGCGGAGATACATGGGACTGGAGCCAACCAGAGGAAGTCAATATAGGCCCAAGACTACGAAAGATGGTGCGTGGAACACATACAAATTGACCTCTGCTTCTACTGGCGGCATCTTTGGGGCGACCTTGATACGGCGAGTTCTGGACTGCAAGAGCCCAGGAAATCCCATGTCTTGAGGGCTGGCGCGCAGCTCGGGGTCGACAGTCAAAAGCCTCTTCTCCAGAAGGCATGTATCGGGGAAGGTGAACCATGAGGTGACCGCCAAACACCTCAGGACTGCATCTCCTTCGTGCGCCTTGGAAAGCTCTTGAAGGCACTGATAGAACAGCGCGAGGACGCCGTCGGGCTGGGCTTCGCCGAGATACGCCCGGCATGCGAACTCGTTGATGTCGTCGTATACAGTCTTGTCGGTGATCGAGTCGTCGAGAAAAGCGGCTATGGCAGTAAGACGCGCGAGGATGAACTTCATCTCGGCATCAGCGAAAGGGAGGACTCTTTCCCATAAAGTCGCTGACACGATCTCCGCGTCAGTGAGCATGTCGGTGGTCCACGATGTCATTGGACCAAGAATGTGATGTACCCAGTGGTGATGAGTTCGAAGAAACTCGGCAGATGGAGGAGAAGGGGGGGTATAGCTGTAAGCGATTTCGTTCAGAAATTGTTGAAGGCGAGGAAGGTATTCTTTTGGGTCCATCGTATGGCGAAGGAGTCGGTGGTTGAGCTGTCAGGCAGCAGTAGACTTCGCTTCTTATAGAGGCCGCTTCTTACTGGCAGCATTGCCTTATCTAACATGAATCCCACTCTGCTCAGCCACGAAGAATGTTTTGCAAAGTGCAACATTCTTCATAGAGTTTTCGACAAACCCTCTCTGGGCGGTCAGGCGACGCCACTCTCACTGGTGCTTGTTCTTCGTCCTCTTTCCGTGACTCGTTTTGCCCTTGGGGATAAACATACGACTACGATCCTTTCCATTGCTCAACCGGGACCAAAATGTTACCTGACCAATGCCCATCAGGGGGATGTCGTTTGTAGAGTTGAGATATCACCATTGCCATGGTGTATTGGACGAAAGGTGAGCCAGTTCGAGGCCGCTTCATTCCGCTCAAGTCCCGCTCGGCTGAAGGACCTGAACCCGCTACTCAATTCTGCAACGGCCGATTGTGGTGACTTGTAACACCAGGGTACCCATAACACATACTGGGAACCCAGATCATATGGAGCTCATTTCAGCCTGAAATTTTTCCCAGTTCGTAACGCCGTGATATTCTTCGGGGTGACTACTTATGTCTGTGGCTCTCGCAAGGCTTGTGTACGCCTTGTATAGTAACTCTGAACTTATGCCTTGATAGCTGAAGCGCTACTGAGTGCGTATTCCCCGATAAGATCATAGCGACGTTGAAAATGATCAGTGGGCGCCGATTCCCTCTCGAGGAGCAGCGGGATTTCCTGTATACGAGCTATAGTTTTGTGGAGCTGTCTGCATACGTCACGGCTCTTACCGACTGTGACCTCCGACGTTGAAGGCAGTTATTTGAAATATTGGCTGTTCAGTTGCCCGCAGTGATTGAGCTGGAACACAATCTGGATTTTTCTCTCCCTTTCATCTGTCGGCCACCTGGAAGACGAATAAGGCAGTGCACATATATGCATGATTTGGCTCATGATTGAGGGCTGTATGCATGGTCATAGTTCTTCCGCGAGAAGCTATCAAGGCACTGAATCTAGTATGGTATCGTGGAACATTCATCTGGTTTATATTTCTAGCAGTCGAATTGTCAGTTTCGGCCACTCACGCCTTGCGCCGCAATTCTGAACATCGTCTTCTTTGACCTCCGCCTCACCTCCGCGGCTTATATATTTCGTCTTCTTCACTCGTTCTGGTATCGTTTCCGCCGATCTAAACCGACGTATCGTTTCTCGCACTCACCTTCCGTCCCAATATAAAAGGCAGGTACTTCGTAATATCACTGGCAGAGCTATAACTACTTATAGATCCATAAACTTATCTATGTTCAGTAGGTAACATCTGTAAACCGATCCCGAACAGAAACCCCTTTACTCAAACGTGCTAAGCTTTATGAAATCCAACTTGTACCGTTGGCACTCCAGATGCCAAGATACGTATCCGTCTCTGAACTCACGCCACTGCGCCGCCATCGTTACGTCCATCGGCGAGAGACCAACCTCTTCACCCCTCAACTCCCCGTTCGCTATCTTTTCGCATTCATCCAGTCTGAGGAGCTCGTCAACCCTAAAGGCAGCATCCCTCGTCTCATCACACAGACGGCTGAAAGTATCGAGTAACGTCCACGATCCATATGGCCCTGTTCCCTGACCTCCCTTCCACGACTGATGCTGGAGATGGATCAGATTGGCTGTTTCACCGGCCAGTTGCTCCTTGTAGAAGGACATCAGGTCATTCACGAGCTCCTGTAAAACACGAATGATGAGCAATGCTCGTTGCGAACAGGGTAAGTGCACGGACGATATAATATATCATGTCTGGCATGGACTTGACGAATCTTGATAGAGGCAACTCCTGGTATCTAGACGATTTGAAGATCGCAGCGGCATAGGCTTCTCCTATTCCACTCTTGTGGCGAAGGAAGATAGGACTGCGAGCACAAAGATCAGGTCAGTCACAAGACCAGCATGTCATGCAAACTCGGAAACTCACAAGCTAACCTCTACTTCACTTGGAGTAGCCTTCGGAGCTCGGAGGGACGTAAAATCTGTGCTGTTTCGTAGGCGCTGATATCCCAGATCGCGAGGACTGACGCGTAGCTTCGAGTCGAAGGTCAGAAGTCTCTTCTCTAACATGCAGGCGTCGATGAAGGTAATCCAAGGTGCGACAGCGAGGCCTCTAAAGACCGCGTCGCCTTCGTGCATCTTGGAAAGCTCTTGAATGCCTTGGTGGTAGAGGGTAAGGACCCCGGTCGGCTGGGCCTCGCCCAGGTAGACACGATGTGCGAAGTTGCCGATATCGTCATAGGTCTCCTCATCTTCGAGAGAATCGTCGAGGAAAATGGCTATGGCCGTGAGCTTTGCAAGGACGAACTTCATCTCGGCGTCGGACAACGGGTATGCTCTCTCGAAAATGGTCGAGGATGAGTCTTCGAGTGCGTTTAGTTTGGCCACCGTCCATGAAGTCATGGGGCCCAGTACATGGTGTATCCAGTGGTGATGCGCATGAAGAAAATCGAGCGTCGGTGCAGGAGGAGTGGTGTGACGATAGCCGATCTCGCCGAGGAAGTGCTGAAGGCGAGGAATGTGTTCCCTGACGGACTCCATTTGTTCAAGTCTATGAGAGGGATTGGTTGTTGGATGTGCCATAGATGGACTTCATTATAAGAGGACTGGATTCGACATATCACGTGGTTCATGCATTTAGGATGAACATCTGTCACCGAGGGAGTTATGGAAACTAGCCCTCACATCCCCGTCCTCAGCTTACCATATCCGTGGCGTTTGTGGTATCTTCGTCTGTCGCCAATATGTCTGCACTTTCGAGCTTCAAGGAAAGCTCTCGTTCGGTTCCCACACACAGCCTGGTCGTGGACTGCACCGTGACGTGTCGGGCGTAGATGCAGAGCTCCAAGCTATGGTACAACTGGGGCAGTACGACAACCTTGGAATGGCCCTGAGCTCCGTCCTTGAAGTGATATGAAGGGACGTTCACCGTCGAACTTTAGCTACCTGTAGTGTTGTTTCGCCCATACACAGACCGTCGTGGAGCCGACAAACGCGGAGACTAGTCTAAGTCAAGATCTTCACTCAATCACATCTCTCTCACAAAACTTCAGTGCAAGGCCAGCGCCCGTTTTCTCTCGGGTTCACATTTTCCCTTTCTTTCGAAAACAAGAGCAGCGACCCAGCACGACGTCTTCCAATAATATGACAGCCTACCTTATCTTCAGGTCGCCGGGGAGAACGTTCTCAATATAGACGCAGCTAGTGTCAAATACGATCTACGCCGCTCGCCTTTCTCAGTCATGCTCTTCATCTTTCAGATAAGTGATATTTATCCACTCGCAGAGCATGTCGGCATATCTGAATTGCTCAGGCTTTCTACCCATCCCTCGGTTCCGTATTCTTCACTCAGGAGCGCTTACAAAACTCATCAATGACCCGCCACATTACCCTATCATGTAGGACGGTTTGCCGGCATCCGCTCGGACAAGAATCACAAGATGCGTGATATTCGTGCTTCGCCGTACTTTGTATGCAACGATGCATTCTGAACCGTAGGCCCGATGTTCATGCATGATGATTCGTCCCTTTCGACACATCTGACCGTCTACAACGCGCGAAACATTCGTCTTCCCTTCACCGACACGGATCCACGCGTGGACGTTTCTGCCTTTGTCATGATATCCCTGTAGCGACTGGCCGATGACCTCTATCGCCTCCGTGCCCACAAGGCCAGCCCCTCTGCTACAGAGTGCCTGCTGAGACTGTGACCACTAGGTTTGCTCGTTCTTTCCGAAGATTTTGCAGACACAATACTTGTGATACCATGAACATGTTCCTCTGATGAGTATAAAACTTGTGTCTCTCCCGTCTAGTATATGTCAGACCACTTCATTTGACTAAAGCGATTTCAATGTTGCTCTCCGTCCTTTCTCTGACTTATGCTGCCTTTGCACTTGCCTCACCCCTCAAAGACCGTCGTGCTACCGCCGTTGATACGTCTGTGTATTGCGGTCAATGGGGCACAATCAGTACCGGAATAGAGTACAGGTGGGTCATGTCATCTTGACTCCTCGCTTGAGAAGTGAATAGCTAGATTGATTATCCCGACAGTATTCTTTTGGACCAGTGGGGGGCGTCAGGCGCCAGCTCTGGCGAATCTTGCGCTTATATCAATAGCGTGTCATCTGAGTCCGTAGCATGGGTGAACAGCTTCACTTGGACGGGCGGAACGGGTGTCAAGAGCTTCACGGACATTCAGCTCAACGATGGAGTAAACCAGCAGTTGAGTGCTATTAGCAGCATGCCGGTATGCTGCTTCTCGCACTCCCGCTTCGCCTGAGCATGTGGCTTTGGTCCTGACATTTCTCTTTCCATGTTTGCTTCAAGACGACATGGGATTGGTCGCTCTCGACAGAAGATGGTATTGTCGCCGACATTGCATATGACATGTTCATATCCGATACCTCCGAGGGTAGTGCCACGAATGAGATCATGATCTGGATGGCCAACGTCAATGCTGGTCCCATCTCCGCGACATACGGCTCAGATGGACAACCCACACCGATTGCGAGCAGTATCTATATCGCTTCACAGACGTGGTAAGTTATTCGACCATTTGATTTGTGACATTTGTGGAAGCTAAATTCGGTCCTACAGGAACCTGTACCAGGGCTCGAACGGCGCCAACAATGTCTTTTCGTTCCTGCCTACTTCTGGAGAGTTCACGAGTTTCAGCGGAGACTTGATGGACTTCTATACCGTGACTCGTTGTTATGAGTTCTTCCGCTTCCATGCATGTTCTGACCATGTATTTGGCATGTAGTATCTGATCGATAATGAAGGCCTTGCGACCTCACAATACCTCACAACCGTACAGGCCGGAGTGGAAGCCACGTCTGGAACAGTAACTTTGACTACGTTCGTAATTTATTCTTGAATGGTCACATCTACCATAGCTCATGTCTTGACACCGTTTTTATGAATTTAGATCGAGCTTCAGCGTCGCAATCAATTGAGTAAGGGCTTGCTTTGCAGGAGAATTTGGCTCCGACCGTCGAGAACAATTATTATGCTCCATGGCCCGTCAGCTCCTTGTACTACGGATGTTAACATCCCATCAATGATGTCTGTATTCTGTTCCATCAAGTTATATCGTGCATCGTGATTGATACGGAAGGCAACTTGAAGTCAACATTCATGAATGACCGCTGTCAAAGACGAACGTCGAACACTGAGGAATCGTGTCATGTGGCATGCGGCGATGTTCCTCTGTGACGCTCGCAGGCTGTTTTTAACCCGACATAAAAACACTGCCTTAGTATACTGTTACTATATTCACCCTATCTCAAGCTTTCACGGCGACTGCTTCCTGCACAAACGCATGGTCTATATATCCAACACCACTTCCCTTCTCCCAAGACCCCCTCGATTATAACTGTTGAGAGAAAGGTTCTTGTTGAATCTCAATGGTGAGTCAATATGTACACAAATTGAATAACGACTATGAGGGACATACCATAGTATTCGACGCAAGGAATAGGAGGCTTTGCCGGCACGTACATTTGCTAGAAAATTCTTGCCAAAGCTGAACCCCCGCCCCTATGAATCTATCAACTTGCTTGCCTCATCATCCTTATCGTAGCCTCCTGCTGATGTAGCTCCTGGACCCACAGACCTCGCGAAGAGGGTCGTTGGAATCTCCCACCTCTTTTGTCGTCTTCCCCGAAACCCTCGGCTCGATGACATAGAAGCAACTAGAGGCCGTACTTATTACTTCGAAGCACGGAAAAACTGAGTTGAAATATGAAAATAGGTAGAGGTTCGCATATATCCAAACTCGGGATGTCTATCTCGAATGTGTGTGACCAAGTGGATGAACATGAAGAGCGGCTCTGCATTCCTGCGACCGCGACCGCCACAAAACCGATTACGAAAACATCCCGTACGTGTCAGAAATGGCTTGTGATGATGAGAGACCGGTGGCCAATAAAGCTTCACACACCATTGAATCGTCCCGATGGCTAAGTCGTATCTTAATGACCTTCTGGCCTTCTGCCTCAGTCACCACATCAAGAACTCCTGAAGCAGCCATACACCTATCCTCCATCCTCCCACCATAGTCTTCCCTCCTATCTTTCTGAGGTGTCATGTCTGATCCCGGCAGTGTATTATCGCCTGAAGATACGAGAGGGGATGGATAGTTATGTTCTTCGAGTTCGGCGGGCAAGGCACCTCGCCCGAGCGCCACAACTGCATGTAGATGAAGGAGTGAACAGCGCACACGACCCGCTCTTCGGGTTGCAGCGTTTGTTGCGAGCATGTTGGGAAGGTTAATATACCTGCCTTCTTCCATGCCATGCAGCAATTTGTCCCTCTGACCAGATCCCGGGGACGTAAGGGTTATCCACCAGTCAGAGCGGAGATGAACGTACCTTCCGTTTGATGATGGCGTGGGGGAAGAAAAACACAGTCATGACAGGAAAAACGAAGATCAATGCGGGGAAGTTGGACTCAACGAAGAGAAGAGCTCCAGGAACGGCAGCACGCTGAGAATAGAGCTCGAGTGCGAGATCTCCACGGACATGGCCCTCATTTGCTTTGTAGCGGGTCATTGGGCGCTAAGATAATTCTGTGCTGTGCTGCGATTTCAGGCGAGCAAACTCCAGCGGCTCGAAAAGGAAGGAAGACATGAGGAGCGTTGTAGCGTTTTTGACAGCTGCGAAGAATGAAGTGAGGAATGGAGAGTAGTCGGCCATTGGACAGGCATCCATTGCCTGTGTTAATGCGCTGACGCGATCCTCGATGGCGCTATGTTATGTAGTGATCTTGAAGGAGAGGCAACAAATGTTCAGCTCCGGTCTGATCGCCTTTAACTTCAAGAGCGCGTCTACGTGGGAGTGGAGCTTTCGCGTGTTCGGAAGTTGAAAAGCTCGTACCGTACTCAACTTCAACAACTCCACGCTTCCCGGAGTATGATTTTGGAGTCCCAAGGAATGTTGAATGGAATGTTGCAAGGCAGAGACTCGGTCACAGTCATCCACAGTCAAAGTCCGATCATTATGAGAACAAAGGGATTTTGCGGCGCCGACCGAGTTTACAAGCATACTACAACATTGATAGAACACCAGGTAGAGAGAACGACGATTGTACAGATTTCTTGATTTAGCTTCTTCTCCTACGACCCAAAAAGAATAATAATGTGAGCCTTCTGACTGGCATTCCACGAAAAAGGACAAACATACGCACCAGGACACTCTCACCATCCATACTGCTCCGCCGTCCACCCATAACATTTCCCATCCGGCCCAATAGCATTGCACAACCTCTTACCCTGATCCATCGCACTAACCTTCGCAAAGTCCTCGTCGCTCAGCACAGGCAGCTGCACATCATCATCGTCGTCGTCGTCACAAGTTCAACTCGGCCAAAAAAAAATTGAGCAAACAGGAAAAAGGTACGAACGTCAATATTCTGCCTCTGCCTCCTCTCATTCGAAGACTTCGGAATGGGAATCACCCCCCGCTTAACATGCCACGCCATGATGATTTGTGTGCTCTCTACACCGTATTTCTTCGCGAGCTCGAGTATGGTCGGGTCTTCGCGGACGGTGGCCCATCCTGACGGGCTATACGCGCATGTCAGAATTCCGCGTGCGTCGCAAAAAGACTTCAGAGATTCTTGGGCGAGCAGTGGGTGCATCCTTTACATTGTATTACGATGAGCTGACCGTCCATGATGTAGGGAAAACTGGATGGGAACTCACTCGACCTCGTTCAGCGCCGGCACGACTTTCGCAGTCTTGAGGAGCTCGGTGAGTGTCTTGATAGAGAAATTCGACACGCCGATGGCTCTAGCTTTCCCAGCTGCGAGGGCTTCTTCCATCTGAGCGTACGTCTCGTTGAATGTGATACCATCGTCGATCGGCATGGCGTTGCCGTTTTCGTCGACGAGGTCGTTTTCATCATCGTCTATATGATGCATGTTGGTTATGTGATAAACATAGAGGCAGGGGGTTGAGAGGCGTACTATCGATGACGGCTTGGGGGAAGTGCATCAGGTACTATTTAATTCACGAGAGGGACAGAGAGTTTCAGCATATTTGCGAAGGGGTGAAGAGATGGACTAAACTGACCAAGTCGACGTAGTCCATCCCGAGGTTCTTGAGTGACTGATCTATAGACTCTTGGACTTTCCTGTGGTGGTGCGTTCTATGATAATATCCCCGTCAATCCCCTGGAAAGTGCACGAATGAAAGAAGGAAGTACTGACGGGAGTTTTGTGATCACGAATATTTCTTCCCTCGGAATTCCGCTCTCCCTGATCGCTTCACCCACATACTGCTCAGTACCTAAAAACACAGACTCAGACATGTCGCATTCCACCTTCACGTCGAATAATGCGAACTACGCACCATAGCCATACGCAGTGTCCAAAAGCCTATATCCAGACTAAGTAACGCGTAGGAGCGAGATCCGCAAAAACAAAAATCAGCACTTCAGCACTCAGAATGTGTTCATCAGGATTGAGCTGGCAGGACTCGGCGGCTTACTTACCTTCAACGCACTCAAAATCCAATCTTTCGACTTCGCCCTCTCCTCTTTCGTCACTCCGCCCCAGCATCCCAATCCTGGAAAATTAAACCGGCGGCGTTGGAATTTAAACTTCAATTCACATACAAATATAAATTGTGATGAGTGATAGGTGAGAGAGCGTACCGATAGCGGGTATCTCTGTGTTATTGGCGTTCGGGAGCTTGAGTGTGGGGATTTTGACGACCATTGTTGTGATCAGCTTGGGGATCAAGCCTTGGGTGAGTACTAATATCTGCGAATTTTGGAACGGGTATAAGTATGACAACGTTCTTTCTGACAAGCTACTCACCACGGCGAGCCGCTAGTACCGACTAACAATCACAATAGTTCAGATGATGATTAGATTCAAAGCCTCGGATGACGATCGAGTCGGTGGGATCACTGGCAGCCTGAGACTCTAGCGCATCTGGACATACTCACACTGTGCCAATCAAGCCTTACATACGCGCACAGACACCCAAAGGCACGCTTTCGCACTCGTCATCAGGGGTCGGGGGGTCGAGGGGTCGAGAGTCGAGCCTTTCCCTGAGCCCTCTGTTCGCATCGTTATCTTACAGCCGTTCTAAATGGGTCCTGTAACTCGTCAGCAGACCATATGTAGAGGCTTGAAGAGGAGAGCAGTCAGTGACGCACCTGGGCATAAGTTATTTTCGAGACGAGGCGGAGCGGCCCTCCGTCATGGTCCGCAGAATGGTATAGTCTTAGTTACAGGCAGACAGTTTGCCTGGGCATGGTGTATGAGTGTGTATGGGACACAAGTACATGTATATAAAAGATGGTGGCAACTGGCAAGTGACTTCGAATTCGCGCCTGAATACGGTGGCGGCGTGGCGTTTAGTTTGCGCTCTGTTTGCGCTTGTTGAATTCGGAAGGTCTCGCCGCCACCCACGTGGTTAACTTCCCTACGCCACAATTTGGGACTAAGAGCTTGAACTCAGTGGAAATACTTATACCTGAAGACGTGTGTACGTTCAAAAAACTTGGCTCGATCATTGATAGGTACCAGGGAAGAGGAAATCCCAATTCTTACCTTTGTTCTTAAGTTACATAAGTACATGATGGTACTGATTCATCAGTGCACACGATCGACCGGCGAATTTACAGCCTACTTATCAAGAAAACATTATCATAAACATAAACACCGTGACATCAAGACCAACTCGAGGCAATCAAACATCCACCATCCCACCGCTTTACACCCAAACTGCAAAACCCAAACACCCAAACATCTGGCCCCGGGGGAGCTGTCCTTTGATGACCTTATACTTACTAGAACTACGCCTCGGATCGTTCAATCTCCAAGTGCAAAACCCTTGATCCCGAGGTTGATCTATCATCTCCAGGATAATGGGTGCTTATAATTACTCCATAGCTACAGCTCAAACTTCGTCGATTCATCACTACCCACTACCC